AAGAGAGAGACAGAGAGAAAAAGAGAGAGAGAAAGAAAGAAGAGAGAGACAGAGAGAAAAAGAGAGAGAGAAAGAAAGAAGAGAGAGACAGAGAGAAAAAGAGAGAGAGAAAGAAAGAAGAGAGAGACAGAGAGAAAAAGAGAGAGAGAAAGAAAGAAGAGAGAGAGAAAGAAAGAAGGGAGAGACAGAGAGAAAAAGAGAGAGAGAAAGAAAGAAGAGAGAGACAGAGAGAAAAGAGAGAGAGAAAGAAAGAAGAGAGACAGAGAGAAAAAGAGAGACAGAAAGAAAGAAGAGAGACAGAGAGAAAAAGACAGAGAAAGAAAGAAGAGAGAGACAGAGAGAAAAAGACAGAGAAAAAAAGAGGGGGAAAACAAGAGGGGAATGCTTCTGCACAGCCAAGGAGGCCGCGTCTTCCTCCCCAGGCGAAGTCCAACGAAAATGGAGAAAAGAGGCACAGCCACATGCAGCACCACATAGATAGTGTTGTTGCGAAAGGGAAGGAAGGCAAAAAAACCGGCCCTTGCAGGATCTGCAAGGGCCTTGTAAGGGCTAATCCTTGTACCGAATTGGTGGCTTACGCGATAGACGATGGCGTGGCGAGGATACGCCCTCTGGAATCTCGGAGAAGAACCTGCAACTCCTTCTGCGCTCCGAGAGGCAGCAAGTGCGGGGAAGGAGAGAGCTGTATCGTCTGCACACGTGCTGTCTCGACAGCCATCAGCACGCTGCTGCTGCGGATGGAAGAAACGCGTGTGGAGGCTCTTTTTGAGTGTTGTTGAGGGTCTCTACTCGCATCGGAAATCGTCGTCAGTCGGATTTCTCCCTTCTGCCCTGGGATGGGAGATGCAATAAATCCTGAAGAACCCGACAAGACGAATACAGCGGAGCTCGCTGCTGCTGCAGCCGCTGCTGCCCTTCTTGACCACTCGCAGCAGTCCGCTGCAAAGCCCTCGCAGCACGCTGCCGCTGCTGCTGTTGCTGTTGCTGCTGCTGCTGTTGCTGTTGCTGCTGTTGCTGTTGCTGCCTCTGCAGAACCACTGCTATTCCTGTCTGCTATGGCTGCTGGTGCTACTGCAGCGCAGCAAGCTTCGCGGGATTCCTCCTCTGCTGACAAAGGCGTCGCAGACCTTGTTGTTGTCGCCGCTGCTGTCTCGGCAGCTTCCTGCTCCAGGAGATCTACAGTGTAGCCAGGCAGCAGGTACAAGCCATTCGCAACGAGGAGGGGAGGTATGACGCGAGTCTTTAAAAAGGGTGACACTGTGGAGATAACGCCGGTGAGACCAGAAGCCGCAAGGGCAGTGAGGGATTTTGGCTGGGGTAGAGGCAGCACGTGTACTGACAGCTGCGACACAGACACAGCGAGAAGAAAAAGGCTTTGCTAGCGCACATCCCTTTCCCCAAGCGCTACAGCGAAAGCAAGAAACGACAGATTACGCTTTCACCAAGGCAGACGCGATGCGTGATGAAGAAACTACAGTCAGAGAGACAGAGAGAGACAGACATAGAGGCCAGTGTCGGTGTGGCAAAGCAGGTCAAGGTAGAGCCTCCATGTATATATATATATATATATATATATATATATATATATATATATACATGTGTATGTATGTATATGTATGTATATGTATATATGTATGTATATATATGTATGTATATATATGTATGTATGTATATGTGTAAGTGCACGGAGTAAAAAAGCCGAGGTTGGCATATGCGTGTGACTTGGTATTAACGCCGATGGAAGTGCTCAGTTGGGCAGAAGGGGGGAGGAGTGCTGTGGCAGCTGGATTTGTTTAAAGAGTGCAATGCATGCGTTTCACGATTTTGGGGGCTTTTTTCCGAAGGCAGGAGAAGGGAGGCAGGCCTGCATGCATGCCTGCATGCATGCAGGTTCAATTAGCAGTCCTGAGCGTCTCGAAACGTTGTCACGACTGACCTCTCCAGCAGAAAACGACACCACAGGCCGATTGTTTCGGAAGCAGGCAACAGTGAGCGCCACTCGAGCTTCACCCTCCGACGCTCCAAGCAGCAGAACCTCCGCAAGCCCCCGTGCCTGCAACTGCGTCTGCCCCTTCAAGTGCCTCCGCGAGAAGCCTTGCCAGCTGCTGCTGCCGTCCTCCTCGCCAGCCTCTTCTCCCGCTGCATCTGCTGCTGGAGGAGACAGTGCGTTCACGAACGCAGGTTCTCCATCCGGCGCGTCAAGGGGGGCCAAAAGCAGCGCCCCCGAGCTGCCCCTCACCTCCCAGCTGAACTGACACTGCACAGCTCCAGCATGCGGCATCAATCCAAGAGCACCTGCGCAGCAGCGGCAGCCGATCGCCATGCAAATACATACAGCACGCAACACGCACACACACACTCACTCACGTAGCAGCCTTTGAATGGCGCAAAAAGAACACACAGAAGCGAGCGCTTTGCATACAAACAGGCGTGCTTGTTTCGAAATACAAGGAAAAAAGACACGCCAATTGCACCTACATACACATATATTTGTGTACATATATTTATGTATATTTATATATATATACTGCGCCTCAGGAAGCTTGCATGCCGATTGTGCATGCCCCGTCACAACATACCCCCTTTCTGAGGTCGCGTTCTCTTTGCCAGACGAAGCAGCCCCCTCCTAACCCTTTCAACAAAGCCGTTTTCTCCCCCTCTTAAGCACTGATTTCCCGCTCTTTACCACTCCTTTCCCCCTCTTTACCCCCCTCCTTTCCCTGTCTCGCATGTGTGTGCCAAGCAGCTGCCGGCACAGTATATCTCCCCCTCTGCCAGTGTCTCTGCCCCTCTAGAGGCGCTGCTCTGCTCTATGCTGGCGAGCAATGCGCAGACTCCTCGACACGCAAGCCACACCTACCAAAATGGAGCTCTCTCTGCGCCTCCTCCTCGCTGTTGCGACTCGCCAAGGCTGCATTCCTTAGAGGCCCCGTAGGCAGCAGGAGGTGTGGAGGGGTGAACTGGCGGTTCTCCTTGTCAAACAGTGCTGCATGCAGGGGCACTACATGGCCTAGGTAGACGATCGTAGAGCTGTGCTGCAACTCCCCGCCACTGCCCTCTCCACTCGCCGCTCCGGCAGCCACCATGGCTGCCCTGCTGTACCCCACACGAGCCGCTGGGGAAGGAAGGGTGGCTTGCCAGCCATCGCTCCTCTGCAGAGAGGCACCGCGTGCGACTCCCGTGCCGCCCAGCGGAGGCAGAGGCGGCCCATGCCGAATCGCTCCAGACCGCGGCAACGCAACCACCACGGGTATGACAGCCTCCGCCAACAGCTTCTTCCCACCAGCAGAATGCTGCAACAACCTCGCGAACACCCGCGTCTCTCCCTCCTCGCCAGTCAGGAGCAGCTGCGGGAACGCCTTAGACAGTCGTGCCACGCGGGCGTCCTCGACTGCGAAGCGCTTGCTGTATTCCTCCTCCTTGCTGTTGCCGTCTTTCTCGCTCTTGCTGCTGTGACTAACACCGTCGCCGACAGCTCCACTGCCCCCCCGACCACTCTCCGCGTTCAGAAGAGCTTCCTCGGGCCCCCCTCGGAGCGTCAGCTCGAAGGAATGCCCCCCCGGAAGCAGCACCAGCTCGCGAGGGACTAACTGCAAGGGCGGGTGGATGCGAACTGTCAAGTGCGTCGTTATCGCCGCTGCTCCAAGCGCCGCCGCCGCTGCTGCATCCGCGTACGCGGGAGGGGCCTCATGCGCCTCAGCATGCAGCACAAAGGAGCCTTGCACGTCGGAGGCGGCGAGGAAAAAGTGAGCGCAGCCTGCTTCCTCGATGGAGAGCGAAGAAAGGCGATTCCAACCCTCGGGGAGCCCGAAGAGTGCGGGCAAAGTCGCCTCTTCTGAAGGCACTGTCGCACCGTACGAAGCCGCAGCAAGAGGGGCCTCTGTGTTGAAACCGCCTTGGAAAAAGGGCGATAATATTTCTCCCCCGACACTTGCAGACTCGCGGAACGCTTCCTGAGCGTCTCGGTGCTGCCGCTGACGCTGCTGCTTCCCCCGCTGCTGCTGCTCCTCCTCCTCCGAGCGGCTGTGGTACAGAGGCGCTGTTCGAAGGAAGACGACGCCTTTTCCATCCATCTTGCTGCTGCCTTCTGCAGTCCTCCTCGCTGTGAGAGACAGACGCACGGCGCTAAAATACCGAGGATCCACGGGCGCTCCGTCATCCGCAATAAGGTCCACTCGCACGCCATAGATCTTGCCAGCCTCAATCTCTGCCGAGCCGTGTTGCTGTGCAGACGCCTCCTCTCCTCCTGAGCACGCAAAGTGCCCTTCCCGCTTCTCCTCGCCTCCCTCCCCAGCTCCTCCTGTCTTAACCCCGCTGAGAGAAACAGACAGCGGTGTCGGCAGCAACACGAGCCGCACAGATCGCAGCCGCACGAACTGAACCCTTGCAACGAGCTGGGGAGGAGGCCCACTGCTGCCACTGCTGCTGCTGCTGCTGCTGCTGCTGCTGCTGCTGGAGGCATCCAGGGATTGCCAGGGGCTCAAAAGCCGCGTATCCGAAGCCTCTAAAAGCAGCGTGGGCAGTCGCTGCTGCTGCAGCTGCTGCTGCAGCAAGGGGTCCTCTACAGCAGCAGCAGGCAGCGGGGGGGAAGGAATGAAAAGCTCCCGAACGCTGAGGGGGCACGAAGGCGTGAAGGGGTCTCTCGAGAATGCGTAAGGTGGGAAAGCCAGTGGGAGAGACACGAGGTCTTCCCAGAGCTTCAGTCCTACACATGCAGCATCTTCTACAGCCGGCAGAACGTCTGCTCCTGCTCCCGAAGCAGCATCTAGGAGGCCGCCTTTGAGCACGGCGAAGCGCGCGGCGGCTTCCGCGGGAGAGAGACACGCCAACGAAGGAGTCGTCGCGCTGCGAGAAGCTCCCACCAGCTCCCCATGCACTACAAGGCGCATGCCTCCTGCACGAAGGCTTCCTCCTCCTGCTGCGGCTGTTGGAGCAGACGGAGAAGCGGCGATATGAAAAGCCTCCGTGTCTGGACTGCCGAACTGCACCAGCAGACGGGATATATGCCCGGGGAGGTAGAGAAGACGCACTGTCTCGATCTCACGCCGCTGTTGAGCTCCTGCTGCGGCAGGTTGGGCAGCTGCTGCAGCAGGTTGGGCAGCTGCTGCAGCTGTAGAGCCTGGCAGCAGCGCCGCAGAAGATGGCAGAAGTCTGAGGGGAGGCGACAGCAACAGCGTCAGGCTGTCTTGCGTGTGCCCCTGCTTCCACAGAGGCAGTTGCTGCTGCTGCTCCCTTCCCGCGTCTGCTGCTTCCCTCCAGCGCGACAGAGAGGCTTCGAGAGTAGCCCACGCTGCCGAAGGAAGCGCTTCCTTGAGACGAGCAACATGAGGCCGTTCTGGAGGGGAGATGACAGCTCGCAAAGTGAAGGCTCCGCAACAGAGGGAAGGAGGCACTGCAAGAACTCCCAAGGAGGCTCCTCTACTGAAAGCCTCGTGGCGTTCTGAAGCTGCGTGAGGAAGCACCTGCCAAATCGGCTTCGTCGACACCTCTTTTTGTTGCTGTCGCGAAGTCAGCGCAGCCGCAGCAGAATCGACTGGCTCAAACTCCCACTGCGTTGCAAAGGCATCCGTTCCGTGCAACGCCCGCAGCTTGGCGTCATACGCGAAGACAGAAAACACGTGCAGTGCTCCACACTGCAGAAACAGCCCCTCCGATGCCTTCTCCGCTTCCTGCCGCATTTCCTCGAGGCGTGGCAGCGATATCGTGAGAGCCTTTGCGGCAGTCAAAGTCGCTGAAGGCACTGGCAGCCCTCCAAGAGACTTTCGAGCAAGCGAAGGGACTACTTTTTCCGCGGCAGCTCCAAAGTTCATGTCCATATAAGGCTGCGAAAGAGACGGCAAGGCACGCAGCTCCACCATCTCCGGCAGCCCACAGGAAATCAGCAGCGAGGCCGTGTCTTCTCGAGATGCTCTGCAGAGAGACACGCGAACACCATAAACGCAGTCGAACCCAAGCACATACACTCAACGCAGTAAGCCTCGCAATAGGCGCCTCACAACAGGCAAAAAACGCCTCTCCCCACCCACAAGGAACGGCGGGAAAAAGCGGAAGTAGCACCACCACCACTACACATACATACACATATATATATATATATGCACATACATATATGTATACTCACATACATACATATATATATATATATACATGCACATATATATGCTCACATACATATATGTATACGCACATATACATACATGCTCACACACACACATATGCATACATGCTCACATACACACACATATGCATACATGCTCACATATGCATACATGCTCACATTTACACACATATATATACATGCTCACATACACGCTCACATATATATATATGCATACACACATGAATGAATGCACATGTATACACATGCACATGCATGTGCACATACTGAAAAGAAAGCGACAGCGAGACAAAAGCTGCACAGCGTAAAACTTGCACTTGCGGAGGCCTTACGTGATGGCAGGTTGCTTTGACTCCTGTAGACTGCGAAATTGGATCGCGACGGGGATGCGGCTGGGTTGGAGACAAATTACGCGTGTTAAGGAACCACTGGCTTCAGACACCACAGCCACCACAGAGGCCTCCTCTTCGCCTGTGGCTCCTGCTGCTCCTGCTGCTGTAGCATCTGCTCCTGCTGCTCCTGTTGCAGAAGTCTGAGACAGCGGCGTTGCCGTAAACACGTGCCGATACACCTCGGGACGGATGGGGGGGCCTTCCTTTGTGAAGAAAGCCACAGAACCCCCAACAACTACGGCGATCTCTCCCTGAATGCTGCTGCTGCTACTGCTGCTGCTGCTGCTACTACTGCTGCCCCTAGTGATAGCCGCGACGGGAGCACCGTACTGCAGGAGAGTCTCTGAATTTGCAGAGGGCCCCCCTGGTGGCTGAAGGTCTAGATGCGCACGCAGAGCCGCCTCCGCTGCGCCCGATGGTGTCGCGCTGGTGGTTGTTCGGGGATCTTCAGTAAGACGCTGCAGCAGGGGAGCCATGCGACTGCTGCTGAGGCGGGCAGGCTGTGGCAAGGGAAGGACGGGAGAGGACATGAGCATCCACAGCTCCAGGGGAAGATACACGTCAAGACGAGCAGTGGCTCGCAGCCGCTGCTGCGCGTGCTGGTGTATAGTGGCCGTAAGAGAGGCTGAGCCTTTCCGGATGCCCCTTAGAGACACCACGCCACATGTGTACGGGATAGTCGCTTCACCCTGCACACCCACGCATGCATTGCGGGAGCCTCGTGAGATCAACGGAGGCATCTACAGCCCACCCGATGGGTGCCCACTGCCCACTGCGGCAACATCGTCGTCGACATGCCTCGAGGGAGGTTCGAAGGACAGGCTCTGGTAGGGCACGACAAAAAATCGATAAAACATGCTCCGCCTGCACAATAGGCTGCATGCATACCTTTGTGGTGATGACCACCGAATTTCCCTCGACCGCAAACTGCGCCTCCGGGCAGCTCGCCAGCTGCACGGAGCTAATCCAAAAAGGATGCAAAGGCTGCCGATGAGGCATCGAGGCGATCGCTGCATCTTCTTCCGCGTCTGAGCTTCCCTCTTGAATGCCTTCCTCGGCAGCAACAACAACCCCACGCATATACTCCCGCGCAGCCTCCAGAGTCTGAGGCCATGCGGGAAAGGCTGCACTCCCCGAGGCTGAACCCCAAGAGGCCTCTTTTCTCTCGCCTTCCCCTCCGCTGCTCTGCAGCCAGAGTCGAGAGGCTTCGGGGAGCAAAGGCAACGACTCAGAGAGATCTGCGAAGGCAATAGCGACTGCCTGCAAGGCAAACACGTGAGCACACACCCACACACGCAGCAGCAGCAGCTGCAAGGAGAAGATCGTGCTCTTGTAGCCTTCAGGAGGGGCAGCAGCGGGAGAGAGAGAGGGAAAGGCTGACTGACTGACAGACTGACCACCAGACATACACACAGCACTCTGGCAGCGGCTCCCACACGACCTTTCGGAACAAACTAACAAGGCAAGCTGGACAGAGTGCACGGAAGGAGAGGAAAGCGAGAGAGTGAGAGAGAAGAACCAGAGAGAAGAGCTAGACAGACTGCACAGAGAAAAAAAGAAAAGGAGGGAGACAACAAGGGCTCAGCAAGCCGTATCGAGAAGCGGCGGCGCGCAGGGCAGCAGGTTCAAGACTGCTCGGGAGGATAGGATTGTGTGTGTTTAGATTTCTTTGTGTATGCCTCTGATAGCTGGTTTTGTTTTGTATATATATATATATCTATATGTGTATTTGTATAGATATATATATATATATGTACAAGGCAACGAGGCGTACGGTAGTCTCGGCGAATGAGGCCCCAGTTTTCTTATGGCTCGGGTGTGTCTCTTTGACGAGGGGCAGCAGGAAGTGCTGCAGCCTCATTTCAAGGGAGGAGGGCGGTGCCACGACGACGGTGAGCAGCACAGCATTCTGCGGCTGCCTCAGATCCCACAGCAACAGCGAGGCTACCCCTGCAGCATGCCCTCCTTGCACTGTGAAGAGCTCTGTGGGTGCTGTCGCGATGCGACTAAGAAGGCCAGAGGAAGAGAACGGAGCACCTCGGGGAGAAGCGGCAGTGATCGTGCAGACAGACGGATCCGAAGAAGACAGCCCGTACTCTCCTGCACGAGGCACAATCCCACACGGCACGAGGCAGACAGCGTGAAGACGTTCCGCGCCTCAGCTCAGCATTTCACCGCTACTTCTAAGAGCGGCTCGCGCCTCCGCTGCGACTATAAGGCCAGCCACACACACGCACACACGTGTCGCTTGAAAAGGAGGCCTTTCTGCTCAACCAGTCACCGCTTCCCTGTTTCTTGAACAGCAGCAGGCAGCGCAAAGAGGGAAAAAGCGCTAGACGTAAACCTTCGCCGCAAGGCTGGCTAACAACTAATGGCCAAAAAACACACGAGATCCCCAGAGGAGGCACTTGCTCACCTGAACCTCCCACGGGTTCTAGAGAGATGCGCGAACCAGGCGCGATGAAAAGAGGCACAGTAAGCCTGCGAATCATTCTCCGCTGATGCATCCTGTGAAATGCCCCCGTAGCACTCGGTTTTTCCAGAGTCTCTAGAGTTGGCAGCAGGCGAAAGGCCACTGGCGCCACTACTCGAACCTTCACCGTTGCCGTTGGAGGGTCCAAGCCTCGCCATACAGGTGCTGGAGAGCTCCCGATTTGCAGCAGTGAGACTTGCAGCATCCCCTCGCCCAAGGCGCTGGCTCGGAATAACGCATAGGCCTGCATCCCCCCACACACACAGAGAACTCCCCCTGCTGCAGGCAGGCACACTAACGAAAAGCCTTCTCCCCGAATTCGCCCCTGCACTCCAGGAAACAAGGGGCTCCCCATTCGTGTCTATCCATCCATGCATGCATTCATGCAAAGATCTGCATATACATCCACGTAGGAGAGAGAGAAAGAGAGAGAGAGAGAAAGATCTACGCATGCATGCATGCATGCATACACACTGGTATACGTATTCACGAGCCCTTGAACTCAGCGCGTCGTGTATTTTACACGCAGCCTGACCTGCTGCGAGGCTACAGACTTCTCGAGAGGACATGAGAGCCTCCCATTCTCCGACGAAGGAGCCTCTCCCGCGTCTTTGCAAGTCCAATGCAGGACGGCATTCGACGGCAAAAGTAATCGGCTGACACCGTCCTCCAGAGCTCCTGCATCTCCCCTTTCTGCGAGACTGCCCAAAAGCTCCGCCTTGAAGAGATACTCGTAGCCTTTAACCAAATAGAGCAGCCCCCCCTTACGGCCTTCTGAGCTGCGCTTATCGTGTGGCGTTGCGGAAAGCCGCAAAGGAGGCAAAACCGTCGACACCTCCACGCCACTTCTGCCATCTTCTATCTGCGGCTCCTCAGACAGCTGCAGCAGACGCAGCAGCACTGCCTTCTCTGCCATCGTGCCAGCGTCCCCTGCTGCGTTCGAGCTGCCTTTTCCTGCAGTAGAACCTGCAGCAGAAGCTGCTGCTGCAGTAGAAGCTGCCGCTGTCATGCGCTTCCAGATTGCCTGCGCTGACAGCCCCTCCGTATCCTCGTAGAGGAGCCTCAACGCAGAAGGCACAACCACAGCGACATCCGCCTGCTGCTTCTCGCCGATTCGCAAGTCGCTGCAAACAACGAGCGCTCGACCAGTGAGCACCTCCATGCCCTCCGCAGTCTCGAGCTGCCCACTGGCTGTCACTACACCCCCGTCCGTCACTTGAAGCAACTGAGAGGCGCCTTCGGAAGGCACTGCGAGAGGGCCACTCAACGTAGACACGACGGAAACATCCTCAGCGTGCCAATGGAATGCAGGATTTGGCAAGGGAAGAGGCTCCTGGCGTCCATCCTCCTGCAGCAGCACCGACAGCACATACACACACATACATACATGGACATACACATTCATACGCATACACATACAAAAGCATACACATACACAAACATACACATACATATACGAAAACATACACATACGATATCATACACATACATATACATACACATACATATACATACATACACATGCACATACATACACACACAAATCTACACACACACATACACACATACATACAGAGAACACAAAAGTAGCAGCAACTTCTTCCCCGGATATGGACACGGCTGTCAGCTCCGGTAGAGAGCGCCTTGCTTGCTAGAGGGGAAGTGGCAGCAGCGAAATAGAGGGGGAACAGGCATTCCAGCCGCTGGAGGCTGCGTGGGAAGGGCAAGCGGTCCCAGACGCCCGTGCATACAGCCTACCCAGAGTCTGAGAAGTCTTAAGGAGAAGACTGCCGCGGGAGGCACGAGGAGGACTGCAGGACTGAGAGCCACCAGCTCGTGAATAACAAAGTGAACCTCCGCGGGGGGCACTTCCCCATACTCAGCAACAGCGAGGCGCGCCCTTACAGTCGCCTTGCCTGTGCTCTTGCCTCTAAGAACGATGGCGTCTGATCGCCATCGCATTTTCCCCCCCCGCTGCTGCTCCTCTTTGGCCCCGACTTCCTCTACTAAGCGACGCGCCTGCGTTCCTGCCACGGCATCTGCCTCGACAGGTTCTACTTGCACGATGTGGCCCTCTCCTTCGACATCCCAAACAAAGGGAAGCCCCTCCAGCGAAGAGAAGACATTGCCTTCTGCGTCGTAGGCGATCAAGCTCACGTCGCCAAGCTGCCCAATCGCCAGCCGCTTGTCTCGCGTGGAAAACGAGAGCTGCACGATGGGAGCTACCAGCACTTGGGAGCGAAAGGCCCTGCCCGACGCTTGCAAGTACTGAGGCGACCCCTCTGAGGAGACATCAGAGCTGAAACTCGTCTCTTCGGATGCGAAAATCCACGAGGAAGCGCGGCGTCCTACGCTTTGTGGAAGCGCTTCCACGAGCACGCGCGAGAAGCAGGTGCTCCCCGATGCCGCCGCCCCTACAGACTTGCGTCTTGCCTCCAATGATGACGACTGACCACCATCTATGCGGCAAAGAGCAGCCGGATGTACGGGAGAGCAGTCGGGGTGAAGCAGAGAGAGCACCTGCGGATTCTGAACTGCCCAATAGAAACAAATATCGTGGCCTTCCAAGCTGCCCTTGCTCCCTTCGAGCTGCAGCTGCGCCCGCACCGCAGGGAACTGCGCAGTGTGAGAAGGAGGTATCCACGGCAGCAACACCTGCGAGGGGCCTATAGAGAGGCCTTCGGGGAGGAGGGGGGGAAATGGCTGTTGCGGTTGTTCTTCGGCTGCCATCAGACCCGCGAACAGCAGCAGCACCAACGTTCCTCCCCAGATCCGCAGGCTCAAGGCACCAGAGAAAGGAGAAACGATTCTGGAGGCAGCCATACGAGCTCCGAAGAGTGCACCCGGCATCGTTCTCCACAGAAGCGTCAGCTGCAGCTGCAGCAGACGCCATGCTGAGAGCATTTTTGGCATGTGTCTTGCTGCGAGCCTGCGCGTATCCATCGGGTTCTTCGGGTACATTGTGGCAGTATATGTGAAAGGGGAGAATCAAAAGCCCGAAATAGCCATGCTGTGAGGTGGACACGAGGTTTTGCGGAAAGCGTGTGTAGGTACACTCGGGGGCCGCCGAAAAAGAAAAGTCTCAGCGGATAAGCCGACGGGTATGCGGCTGCTGGTAGCTTCAGACACCTCAGCTCAATGTCAGCGCATGAAGAGATTTGGGCTGGGAAGCTCTCCGAGGAGGTTTCTAGCCGGCGGGCCTAGGATGGTAGGCGGGAGCGATTGTACACAGTGCACCCTCGGGAATCCACGGACTAAGTTCTCCTCAGAAGGCTACTGAGCCTTCGGCCCACCGCCTTGCTTCAAGGCAACGACAAGGCGTGTTGCAACGGCACATTAAGAAAGACGTCATTCCAGACCACGCAATCGGCCTTAGGGCCCGCACTTCTTCAGCTTCTCAGAATTGCGCCATCAGGAGCCTAAACAGGTCTTGCTCACAATGTAATCAAGCATGCTGCCACAAATTCATCGAATTCGCTCCAGCTAAGCGCGAATTTTAGTAGGGCTTGGACGCAGCACTCCCAGGTAGTAGTACTCCAGTTGCATGCGGTTGTGCCACCCCACAGGTGGGAACGGGTAACCACGGTGCCCATGCGGGTTGTCCTGCGGCAAAGATGGAAACAACAGGCAAATTCTGGCCATTTTGACCGCTACATAGCATGCCGATGGTTTGCTGGGCCGACAAATTAAGCCGCCCCCCCCAGTTTTTTTGCTTACGCATGAACCACCCTCGAATCCTGCGTGGCAGTTGCAAAGGTTTTCTTAGTTGCAGCTACACCAAGCAATTTCAAATACTCAGCTACTCATTTCAGCGTCTCCATATTGACCCGGCACTAATTTTGGGGGGGCCTCCACAGCTGCTCGCGGGTGTGAAACAAAACGTGCTAACCCCCAACTCATGTGCTCCAAATGTGTCATTACAAGTGACCAGACCATGTGGTAGAATAGACAACGAATTCACAGTTTGATCCAGCTTAACAGCTACTGATGCTGCACCCAAGTTGCATGTATACGCCATGTGTTGTGTCAAGTAAGTGTAGTTCAAGGTGTTACAGCCAGTTTCGCTTAGATGTATGCTCAGGAAGTGCAAGTTCCTGCACTGTTGGTCTTTACTTGTATATTCTAAGCATGTCAAGCGCTTTGGACTTTTTTGCTTACAAATTTGGGTAGGCCCCAACAGATTGATAATACTCAAAATCAAACAAAATACGCGCATAAAAACGCAACGGAGATAGATCAAACTTCGGATGTACTCCTTTCCACTGGCACATATTTTACCACACCAGCTGCGTGGCCTACTCCAAGTGGTCGAAAGTCTGCAAGACATGATCGCATTATACACTTCAATATTCTTTTTTCTCGAGGAAAAGTATTTCGATTTTCGCTTATTCAAATGAAACATCGGCGCGGGGAGGGGCTGCCACATTCGTTCAATACTTCCAATAGAGTATTTTTAAGAACTGGGTGTTCTCGTGCTCACAATAATAAGGGAAAGCTTGTTTCGTGCTATTGCACATGCTGAATGACCTACAGTCATCTAGGGGATATGAATATGCTTTGGTCTTTAAATCTTACATTCTACACCGCCTTCTTGCCCTTTCCAGCTGGTGATCGGAACAAAATTGTTCCTACACCACTTCTGAGAAAAAGAATGATCACGATGTTAATTACCCTTACAGCCTCGCTTCTCTACTACATTAGTTTACATTCATTGGGCATTTTGTGATCACGTAAGGACAAGCGTGGTTGATTCCAAAGGAAGCAAATCCCATTCTTACAAACACAACCGTGTGTTTACCAGTAAAAGGTTTGGCGTAAATTTCAGGCTCTTGCAGCCCAAAAGTTCTTGTAAATATGCCAAACAAGAAAGCGTTCTGCACTCCGAACACCATTGGTGAAGTAGCGTTCTCAAAGCCGAAGGTCCACAGCTTTTGGTCGGGTAGTGGCTTCCAAGAGCTTGCTGTAGTGTTTGTCCGTGTAATGTAATGTTCCAGCTTTACCAATCGCAAGCTGGTATACCTGGCCTCCATCATTGACTGTTCGAGACGTGTAGTGGTGAAGTAGAACACTAGAAAGACGCCAATCAGGACAAGGGAGGCAAAAAATGCAATTGCACGCCGATCGCCGAGAAACCTGTGGAAATGACCGTCATCAACTGAATTCCGAAGAGCTCAGCTTGCATTCTTACTTCTCCTGTGATTCTTCAAGTCGTGCTAGCTCAGCTGTCAGGGCTGCAACGTCAACCGGTGCAATTGAGTCAACAACGGCTCCATTGGCATCGTTTGCCTGCAGACAGTCCAGTGAACACGCGAGATGCAGGCACCTTGAATTATGCTTTTACAGTAATAGGCGTTACGAGTGAAGACTTCAGTTCGGCGGCGTATGCTAGCTTTGCATCATCGACCCATTTTGGTATATTCTGGATGCAATCGGTCATGGTCGAAACCATTGCAGCAGCAATGTATATGCACAGAAAAATGGCCGAAGCCATTATTTTGCAGAGACTTCTGGCAGCTCCTACCCGACTAAAGTCGAAATATACCAAGATTTGACAGGCAGAAAGCTTCGGCGTCGTAGGAGGGGTCATCGGGTGTATTGACATCATCCGGTTTCATGAAGCATGCAGATTGCTGTCATTTTTCTAATCTGCATCTTTCGAATGAAATTCAATGCCGCGAAAGAAATGAGTTGGGGAAAATTTCTCGTCGCGCTTTTGGCGTTTCAAGTACTGCATCACCACTGGATATTGACCTCAGTGGACGCAGTTAATGTGCACGAGAAGCAAACCCACGTGGGTAATCTGCTCCATGGCTCTCATTGCGCATGCGTTTTCATCATTGGATATAGATGGCCAAAGGCATAGGTGATATGGCTGATCAGATGAGGTTCGGCGTCACTGGCTTGGTAAGTGGACGTACATATGTTCAAGCAGTTCATGCGCAAGTTTGCTACTGCAGACAGTGGAAGTTGACCCTGTCGAAGATGATGAAGACGACGGTATCATAGTACCTCTGCCGCTTAACATTACCCTTCCAGAATACAAAGAACTGAACATGCAGGTTTCCCTGGAGGCGGCCTGTGGTCGTACGAGTCGCTCTTAGGGTCACCTTCTAACTTACACCCAGAAGTAAGGCACCTATCTTAATACTCCTAAGCACTATTTGCTCATTATTGACCAGGAAATGTCTGCTGCCGAGGTAATATTAGCCGATTACCGCACCTAGCAGGGCGGATCGTAAATCAGCTCCGCTACTCAGGCAAACATATTTATCCCCCAGGAACTTCCTACAGCTGCGCAGGTAATTCAGTTAAAGATGTTTTGTCCAAGTGGCCGTAGACGTATATTTGTGTCTTTTTCTCCTCGAAATAGGAATCGTCGCCAAATGCGCTTCGGTTCTTGCAAGGGCGCTCCTAAACTGACTACAATGCCAAGTGCATTTACATATTGACAAGGCTTTTCATGCCTAGTCAGATATGCATGGTTTTTTGCTCCAAATGAAGTGTATGGTGTAACTGTCCTGAAGTGCACAATTCCCCTGCTACACGCCGCAGCTGGCTCGGCAATCGACCCACTCAAGCGTGTGTAGATTCAAGCAAAAGGCAGCAGGCAGATGTGCGTTCATAAGGATGCACGTAGGGCAGTCTCAGTGCCTACCCGCCTACAGCTAGTCTCTAATGAGTCAATGCGGATTTTCACTGAATGCTTCTTTGCGTCATACCAGCTGTCACGACCAATTGTAAAATGCCGCTCTACTAATTGAACAAAATAGGTTCATCAGGAGTGTTTTTAAAACCACGCAACGCTGCTACAGCGTTTGTGGCATACGCAAGTCTATTCAAGAATGAGGATACGGAGTGTAGCTTGGCACTGTACACGTACACTATCACTGAAAATCACATAAATCTTTCTGAGGGCCTAGAAGAATCGCTTCAGCGCCCTATCAAGATAGTCCATGCTGATCAACGTAATCATGGCATGTGGTGCAATTCGCACGTAGTACGTCGGATACCCCGTGTAAAAAGCAGTAATACCCTCCTTCCTGGTAATTTTTACGGCGGCGTCTAAAACGCCTCTATAAGGAAGCTCTCCGGTCACTGGGTCGGGCCGCATTTTCTGCAACCTGCGGAGGTGACGAAAAACACAATACACGACCCACAAATTTGTGAAGCAAACAAGAGTGTAACAGTACTGGCAAGTCCGGTAACCTTCGTAACTCGTACCGTGTTTTTAAGAAATCGAAAGGAAGAGACAGCGTCACTGCAAAGAAGCCCGAAATAGCGCTTGCCGTTAGTGTTGTTGCCCATCCCTTGCCCAAAGTGGGAGCCAGCATTTCCTTGCATTGGTCATTCGTTGCCAGCATGCCTTTGATAAGCGCACCGCAAGAACAAGGAGAGCTCCTCCCATGAGTTTACCAACACTCTACATGCAGATACACCGAAATCTGTCTCTGTATACCATTCGCTATACGCACCCATGTTGAGCGACATTGCGCGCAAAACCGTTGGAAAACTGCCTCTCCAAAGCCCAAGTAGCCCCTCCTCCTTGACAATCCTTGAAACTGCATTCATGACGCCAGTGTAGTTGCGCCTGGCTTCTGGAGGCAGGGTTGCGTCAGCCTAGATGGCAGATTTGCAGACAAAATACGGCCGCACCGCCAAATAACCGGCAACAGCTTAAGAGGCTTACGAATGTGCTGCTGCCCTTTGTGGTGTGGATGTTCATATTTTTTGGTTCTAACGCATACCTGCATGCGAATCAAGGAGAGATCAGCAGGGTTTCCAATAGCAGCGGCAACGCCACCTGCAGCCAAGCCTGCTGCCGCCTTTTTCCAAAGGGGAAGAGGGGGAGGAGGGGCTGTGGGGTCTGAACTCTTGGACATCTCCTTAAGTTTGTCACTAAAAACTCGGAAGAGACCAAGACGCGCGGTCGAATAAGTAAGCTGAATCCATACATAATCGCATACATGGGCCACGGTGCGAGAGAAAAGATCTGTGGGAACACGCGCTGCCCTACATGCTGACCGTTTCCCACGAGAAGTTTTGGACCACTTCGCGGCACCCCCGTTTACTGCCTATGGGTGGCGAAAGGGTCTACACACATACCTGACGTATGATACCGGCGTCCAGGCCCTTATATAGTGCTAGAGCACCTTCATCCTTTATCACTGTTCTCAGCACATGGATTGGACTTGTGGACCCTTTTGCGCCGCTCTCTCCTGCAAGTTGCAGCCGAACTTTGACCATGTCAACAGGCTGGATGCAACAAGTGGCAATGCATCCTGATAGTCCACCAACTACGAAGGGCTTTGCCTTCCTAAGAGCCGGTGGAGCATGCGTTGTAGGAGAGGCCCGAGGTTCCGGGCCTGCAGTCGAAGCCATTGCGGAAACCAGAGGCAGAATATAGCAGCCACGTGGAAAGGAGATGCATAACTGGTCTATGCGCCAGTGCGCAAGCTACCATGCTGCTCATAGATGGAGACACTGGAGAGCGCATGGCTGCTGCATGCGCTCGGCGTTCGGGCGGCAGCTCTGTACCAAAGTCCGAGGGTCGATCTTCCCCATCTAATGCTTGGAATGATGTGGACATATTAGCGGATCATCGGGAATCTGAAATTCCTTGGAATGTGTCTATTCCAAGTAGCGACCTGCACGGCTGCACTGTACGACTTCTGGGACCAGCAGCAGCAGCGCGTGTTTCCACCGGGTCATTTTTGGTTGTTACAGGGTGTCCGATTCTTCGTCCGCACCACGCACTCTGGTTGTTGGGTTTTGGCGATATTTTACTTACTCGGAATCACATTAACTCGAGTCTGCTGGCGCAAAGGCTGGCTACAGCATGATTACGCACCGACAGTGGGCATGCCTTGTGGGCAGCGAGGGGACTCCAAGCTGCACAGTTTTCACCTTTTCGGGCTATGACTCTGCAAGGTTCTAGTGACTTCATCTCCTGGAGGCTTTCACGCGGTCTTCCTGCCGCCAACACACCAAGAAGACCCCCGAAGAGTGTGACACATTTCAACTAGGTTCGACCCTGGGTGGTCCGAAGACGCGACACGGGAGGAGCACCTCGTATCTTCAGCGGATCCACTGAGAAGCGCCCTCGAGCGTAGGACAAGTGGGGAGCCACAACGCGCTGCGGCTTTGCCGAAAATGCAAAGTTCAGCGAATTCCGACGGTCCTACTGGGGATGTCGGGGCAGCCGATACCTCCTCGACTGTCCTCGGCTTCGAGAGAAACAGCCGCGAACGCATCCACTCTGAAAGAGCCTGGAATAATCTGCTGAAATCCTGGCGTCGCGATGCGAGGCAACCTCCCAAGACAACCGAAATACGACACCGTAAGGGGACGCCTCCAGCGCTCAGTTCCGCCTCCCTCTCTTCCCTTGTACTCCATATTCTTACTGTGTGAAGCTGGATATTGCGATTGGCTCATGAAGGCTATGAACGATGCACTTTGAGATGCGAACATCGGTGCCCAAAGGGGGAGCCCTGCATGACTCTACCGCTCCCGCTCCGGCTTGTGCATGTGCTTCAGGCGATGAAGACTGCGGTAAGCATGGCCTCCGAAGATCTCGCAACTAGGCGGCTTTCTAGAATAGGTGGCAAAAATCCTCTTCGTTGAGGCCCTCTGATGACCTTTCACACTCCTCCTAGCCCCATGAAGGCGTGCGTTTGTGTGTGCTGCTTTTCCTTAGTGTTCTTCCAACTGGACGTCGCTGCAGCCACTGCGTTTCAGCGTACAGTGCCGGATGAAATCGCGCAGAGGGCACGGCAGCTCCAGTTGGAGCGACAGGGGCAGCCCGCCGGAAGCTGTGGCTCGAGCAGTGGAGCACCTCCTTGCATAGTAACGCCTTCCTCCCTTGCCTCCGCTGAAGCAGCGAAGGGGAACTCCCAGGCACCAATGGTGCGCCTCTATGGCGTGACAGCGGATGGGCAATCGGTTATGTGCAACATACACGGCTTCTATCCCTACTGTTACTGCGAATGCCCCCCTCCGCTCGCGGCCGCGATCCGTGCAGCAGCCAAACAGCGAAGTGACACCTGGCAGCAAAATGCAGTTACGGAGGCTTTGTGTACACTGTTGGATGTAAGCCTTTCCGATTTGCTGCCGTCTTCACACGTTTCATGAGGCTGACTGAGCATGCAGCCGCGATGTTCGTGTCGCATTTTCGATTTGTGTGGGTTGTGGGATCGGAAAGTGCTCAGATATAACGACTTCACGTCGAAACATGGAGTTTTTCATCCGTGATTGCTTGCATGTATCTGACTGAGTCTAGGCAAAGCGAATCAGTCATGGCGTAGCTTGCTGCTCCTTGCGGCTGTAATGCTCAATAATGCAAGGCGTAAAATAGAAACACTTACGGGGCATCATGAATTCGGTGCCGCAGGACCACGTTTTAAAGTCGCACGCTCAAGGAAAGTCATACGATCGACGAATCGTGGATGTGCGATGCGAAGACAAAGAAGTGCGTCTGGCTAAAGCATCGCTTTTAAATGCGCGCGCCGCTGGATCTTTGCATTCTGCTTCCGGCTGTGTCTGGTATCTAAGAGGGGGGGCCTCTTCCTGAGTCCCCTGCATTCCCGAATACCTCCATTTACGTGGACTTTGCATCGCGTGTATATATATACATATACATATATATATATATGTGTCTAGGAGGTGGATGTGGAGGTGGGGGGGGAGGGGGGCAGAACCCGTGGATGGCTTGCTGTGTCTCCCTGTGTGCTGCGTGTATATATATATATCTCTTTGTCTCTCTGTGTGCATATAGGGGTATGTATGTGCATGTATGTCTATAGCCGGATACGTCTGTGTATGTAGTACACTTGTGCGTTTGCTCTGTTGCTTTAGTCGCTCATGCACTATTCACCATCTAAGGCGAGCCAACTCTTTTTCCGGATCACCGCAGCGGCTCCACAGATGATTGCGGGTTTGCGCGCCTTCATAGAGAGTGGCATACGGCTTCTTGTACCTGATGGTTTTGGTGCGATGAGCGGTCAGCAGCTGGTGCTCCCGCAGGTAGCCTATGAGGCGAACATTCCGTTTGTTCTGAGGTACATGGTAGACTCGGAGATCACGGGTTGTTGCTGGATCCGGGGTGAGTGCCCTAATTACCAGGAGCAAAGGCTCTGCAGCACGTCGCCCTGTATCTCTTTTGTCGGTAAAATCGCGTTTTTTGTTTTTCGCGTCCTTCCCGCCATCCCTTCATGCATGAGCAGAACGGTTCTTCACGCCGTCCTTTGCTGCGCCTGGGTGGTTGTCTGCCTGAATCTTGTTGTACCAATCAGCTTTTTTTTCTGGAAAGGGGCTACTTTGGCTCCATGCGGGAGTGCCACCACTTGGCGCCTCTGGTGAGGTCTCTCGGCTGAACTTCTCTAAGAGTGTGGCTTCTGCTTTTGTGTGGTGGTGGGTATTTCCCGCGTGTCTTGGGTGCAGTGAAAGGGGGAAAATATGTCGCCCGGCCGGCATCTCTGCGGGAGAGTCGCTGCCAAGTGGAGTTCGATGTGCATTATGCCGATATTGAGGCACTGCCCTTGCGCGGCGAGTTCCAGGCGTTGCCTCCCCTTCGTATGCTCTCCTTTGGTAAGATTTTGCTGGTTCTCTCTGCGGCTATGCTGAGTGGACGCTTGCGCGCAGACTGCCAGGGGCTACTGGATGTGTACTTGACTTGAGCTGATGCAGAGCTACGGTGCTCACAGCACCCCCCGCAATTATATATGTGTATGTGTGTGTATGTGTTCATGTGTATGTATGTGTCTGTGTGTGTTTTTTGGTTTTTGCGTGCGTGTACAGACATCGAGTGCGTTAAAATGAATGGCCAGGGGTTCCCGGAGGCTCAGGAAGACCCCGTCATACAAATTTCTTCAATTGTAGAGGAGCACCGCAGCAGCAGTCACAGCAAGGCTACAAACGCCTCGGACGAACCTCTCTGCCGTGTCATCTTTACACTCCACGAATGTGCGCCGATTGCTGGCGCGCTTGTGGTCTGGTTTGACGACGAATCTGAAATGCTGAAGAAGTGGGCAGAGTTTTTGCGGGAGGTGAGCAAGCGTCCCTTGCGAGATGGACCCTCTGCTGCCCTCGCATTTCTCCGCAGCCGCACTGCTTCATTTGAAAGAACGTTTTCATGACGGGATGCCATGCGTGTGACGGGATATACAGTTTTAATTGAGTGTACATGTTCCTCTCTGTGAGTCTCGGGGGGTTGGCCGCGCATGGACGTTTTGATTTATTTTCGCGGGGGCAAGAAAAAACATGAATTCGTTTGTGCTTGTGGCTAATTTCTTCCCGCGCCTCAGGTTGATCCTGACTTTTTGACCGGCTACAACTGCATCAACTTTGATCTATGCTACCTCCTGACTCGTGCGGCTGCGCTCAAAACAGAGGGTGTAGCATCTTTATCGCGTCTCAAGTCTCTCGAATCCCGCATCAGTGACACGCGCTTCAGCTCCAGGTAAGCAGCCCGCACAGGTTGTTTTTGGAAAATGGTTCCCTTTGTCTTTCCTACGCATTTGCGGGATGGCAGTGCACCGCGAGCAGAGGAGTGTAACCCCAGGAGGTTCTTTATGGAATGCATAGTATGATTTTCTACGATTTACACTCAGAGCTCTCGGCACGCACGACAATAAGGAAATCACGGTCGAAGGACGCGTTCAGTTCGACTTGCTCGAACTCGTGCGCCGCGACCACAAACTGAAGAGCTATTCTCTCAATTACGTCTCTTCCGAATTTCTGAAGGAACAAAAAGTGCGTTGTGGCGTGTAGCAGCTTTTAGCATTTGCCTTTGGTCTTACTCCCATGGCCCTCTCGGCCCCCCGCTGCATGAACAGTTGCGCTTCTCCGCATCGGTGCCGCCCGTTCCAGGAAAAAAGGGATTAGTGTATACTACACACACACGCACCACACACAATTGCACGGGTGCTAAGTGGAGATTGATCGATTTCAGGAAGATGTACACTACAGCATGATCGGCGACTTGTTCCGTGGATCCCCTACTACGCGCCGCCGCATTGCGGTGTATTGCCTCAAAGACGCCATGCTGCCTCTGCGGCTGCTGAACAAGCTTTTATTCCTCTTTAATTATGTGGAAATGAGCCGCGTCACGGGGACGCCCCTCACCTACTTGCTCACCAGGTGCATGACTGTCTTTCCCGTTTCAAGGGGGCTTTTGAACGGATGAGGGCACACGCGAGGGAGCTTCGAAATCTGGCTTTTCATATGAACACGAGCCGTGCTTGTTGTGCGTAAAATGCGTTTTCAGAGGGCAGCAAATCAAAGTAACGGCACAGCTTCTCCGGAAATGCCGGCAGCTGCATTACGTGGTGCCGTCCGTCAAAGTAAGCCTACCGTTCAGATGAACCTGAAGCACCTCATGAGCGTTTTTCGCGAGGCGTTGAAGGGATGGCTCGGTCCAAGCCCTCTATAATGTTGAGTTGCTCACCTTTTAGCGCATTCGGCCTGACGAGAGGCACGTTGTAGCCTATTCTGGATTATGGGCCTTCTTTCTGCAGCGGGCATATGGAGCTCTAATGCCAAAAAGTACCGATGTTGGATGGCCACGCCGCCACTCGCTGTCTCGCTGATGTTTGCGTACAGAGAACGGGCGGAGACCGAGACGACAAATACGAAGGTGCCACCGTATTAGAACCAGTGAAGGGGTTTTACGATGTTCCGATCGCGACGCTGGACTTTGCGTCCTTGTACCCGTCCATCATGATGGCCCACAATATCTGCTATAGCACACTGGTCAAGGGAAACGACATGAACGCAATAGAACCTTCCAACGTAAATAGGGGGACTCGCCTGGGGCGTTTCTTTATGCAGAACGTGTTTTCCCGTCAGAAATGTTCAAAATCTCATGACTGCGCAGGCCTCCTCGTCCGTTGAGAACACTTGATCTTTAGGAGCCTGCGTGGCGTGTCGAATTATGTACCTGTGGATGCAGCTTACGCACACGACCAGCAACCCGCGGCACACATTTGTCAAAGCAACAGTCCGGCGCGGCGTCCTACCAATGATCGTGGAGGAACTTATCGCTGCTCGCAAGGTCGCGAAGAAGGAAATGAGCGAAGCCGAAGACACGTTCACCAAGAGTGTTCTGAATGGGCGGCAGTTAGCCCTTAAAATTACAGCGAATAGTGTGTATGGATACACAGGAGCAACGGTGGGTACTTCGGCAATGTGCAGAACTCCGTGTAGCTGCGTGCGTGTCGTGCATAGTTGTATGGTGCGTGCAAGTCTTTAAGCCTTCGTGTACTTTTACGCCTGTGTGAGAAGGCCTCTGGGTGTGGGCATACAGGTCGGCGGCCAGCTGCCATGCCTCGAGGTTGCCACTTCCATCACATGCTTTGGCCGTGATATGATTGAATACACAAAACGTCGCGTCGAGGAACTCTACACAAGGGAAAACGGCTATGCCACCAATGCCGTGGTGGTTTACGGAGACACTGACTCCGTAATGGTCCGATTTGGGACGGACTCGATTGAAGAGGCGATGAAGCTCGGTCAGCTCCGTCTTGTACTGCTTTACTTCCAGCCAGCCCATACACAGAATAAAGGTTCTTTTCTCAGCTTTGTGCCTTAGGGATCCTCGTCCTCTTTGTGTTTCAGGGCAGAAGGCTGCAAACGAAATCAGTTCAGAGTTTGTTAGACCTATTAAACTCGAGTTTGAAAAGGTTTACTGCCCATTTCTACTGATGAACAAGAAGCGCTATGCCGGCCTGTTGTATACGAACCCGACAAAGTTTGACAAAATCGACTCAAAAGGCATTGAGGTACATCCACTGCACATGAGGGCACCCCTGTTACACTAGGATGTTTTTAGTCACCGAGGCCCGCCGATTTTGAAAGCAACTGGCACTTCATCTACCCAAACGCAACACTTGTGTGGCCCTCCGTCCTGTCGTGCAGACCGTGCGGCGCGACTTTTCGATGCTGGTTCAAATTATGGTGGACACCGTACTTAAGAAAATGCTTATTGAACGAGACGTGGAAAATGCCAAAGCCTACACGCGCACGAAGATATCGGATCTTCTGCAGGTTAGAAGACCTGCACAGCGCGGCATAACTCGGCGCAACACTCAAAATGCCTTGATGGGTTCCTCTCCAGGTTTGCAGGTTCACTCAAGTTTTTTGTAGCCATGTGGGTTATATGATGCTGCTGCAGAACAAAATCGATCTAAGCCTGCTCGTGCAAACTAAGAGTTTGGGAAAGCTTGACTACGACACCAAGCTCCCACACGTTGAGCTGGCGAAAAAATTGCGGAAACGCGGTTAGTTGTACTGTCTTCTCTGGGTTGAACTGCCTTTGTTTCTTGAAGGGGTCTGTTTACGGTGGCGCATCATTAAACGCGTTGTTTCATGCGTGGGCTTCTTCGTGGTATTTGTCCTTCTAGATCCTGGAACGGCACCTAATGTAGGCGACCGCGTATCGTACGTCGTTATCCAGGGATCTAAAGGGCAAGCCCAGTACGAAAGGGCTGAAGATCCGCTTTATGTGTTAGAAAATAACTTGCCGATCGACACGCAGCACTACCTTGAAACGCTCAAGGGCCCTTTGATGCGCATTTTCGAAGGGGTTATGAGCAACCCAGAGAGTCTGTTCAGTGAGTTCTGCACGGCAGGGGCACCAGGTTTAGTGCGTTTTCTCCCAGCCGAGGGCTAATGGGAAGCTTCTGCCACTAAAAGAGACCGCGGCTTCCTCATCTGCGCAGGTGGATGCCACACCCTGAAGAAAACACTCATGGTGTCAACACAAGGTGCACTGTCGAAATTCATCAAACGTGGCCTTCAGTGCGTTGGCTGCCGCGCTACGATTTCTGAAGGAGCTTTGTGCAAGCATTGCCAGTCTCAAGAAGGGCAGGTGGGCCACTGGTTGCTGAGTGCTATTCGGTGCAATGCTCTACACCTGTATACACCAAGGAGATTTGGCAAAGGCATTGTTAATGGAAGCTTACTTACGAGCATCATACAGGAAAAATGTGTTTTGCTGCCTTTTGCAGATCGTAGCATCAAAGGTTATACAGATGCAGGGATTGGAAAAGGAACATGCCGACTTATGGACTGAATGTCAGCGGTGAGTCCTCTCAAATAGTATTTACGCAGTGAAATGCAGAACCTCTTCAGGTGGCATAGAGCACTCAGTTGTGAGCGCATTGTGGCTTAACTGAATTTTTGGGGATTTCAGATGCCAAGGCTCGCTAATCCAAGACGTAATATGCGTAAACCGTGATTGCCCAATCTTCTACCGCCGAGCAAAAGTGAAGAAAGAAGTATCGGTGCTGGATGAGACATTACAGCGACTTCATGCTACAAACGACTGGTGACTAATGGGATTTATTCATACGAAAACGTTGGAAGCTACGCACGATGATCTACGATGATGTCTGGTGCACTTAGACAGGTCTTTACGTGCGAAATTATCTGGCCGCTCTTGGCGATGCCAGTGTACAGCTGTAACGTCCATGCAGATATCAGTCGCACGGGCAATTCGTTTGCTCAAGCCCGCAAACGTAGTTTGTCTGTTTTAAAGAACTGCTACTTGTTTGGCACGCTAAAGCCAAAGCTGGTGGCAGTGGAGATACGCTGTCATAGCTGGGTCTGTTGGCAAGCTAGACAGCCCACGGATATTGCCTGCGCGTCTCACTCGACGCACACCCCTTCGGCCACCTGCAGCGCCGGCCACTTTTCTCAAAAATGAAACTACAGCAACTCCATCCGCATGTGGCAGCAATATAGGTGGCGCCATGTATGTAGCCTCTCCCAGCGCGATGAATGTTACAAGATGAACCGTGTATGATCCAGATTCCCGCGCATCATGTTAACGGTGTCCATGACATGCTGTCGGTCGACGACAACCCTGCACACAGCGACAAGAGCACGCAGCGCTGATAGCAGAGAGCAAAGCTGCAGTTGCGACGTCAAATTAATACCTTCTGAGGGGCTTTTCTGCTCACATAGTCCCTGGAGACTGAAGCGAGGCATTCAAGTTGATGTCCTCCAGGACTCTGAACGGTACATAACGCACCATGTCACCACGCGGTGCGGATCGCCGCTGATTGTTGATTGCAAAGATGGGAAGAGGAGCCCCAACATCTCTGCAGAATTTGCCAAATATATTAGCAGCAGCACGATCATTGCCCATGCACCCAATGACGAAAGCCACTGTCACTGACTTTTCGATTATAGTATGAAGCCGGCGGGCTCCGATATTCTCTATCTGCGAGTTCACCTCCCACGCCACTGCAGTCACCGCATGCAAAAGGTGCAGAAGCGCATAGCGACCATGCAGTTTATATGGTGTCTCCAACTAAAATCTGGATATTTTCCCTTAGCCAGTTTGTGGAATCAAGGCCACGGAAAGTCATCCACCTCGAGCAACCTCTGCAATGGCGTCGTCGCTAAACTCCAGGACAACTCCTTCCGTAGCAAGCAGGGCTGCAAAAACAAGACGGCACACAAAGGGCTCTGGTTATATTGCCGACATATCTGCTGTTTACGGAAGTGGCGTTGTGAGCAAGAACCACGCTTACCTTTGTACTGTTCAATCAAATTATGTTTTGTTCTGGTTAGGATTTGTCTAAAATCCTCTTCAGACAAAGGATTCAGAGTAACGCGCACAGGAAGGCGCCCTTGTAGTTCCGCTAGCAGATCACTGGGGCGAACCGAGTGAAATGCTCCTGTTGAAAGCTCATAAAACACAATACAATGAATAACCTCCCGAAATAGCGTGTTCAACTTTGCAGGGGCTTACAAAGTCATGGGGTATTCTCACCTGAAGCTATAAATAGTATGTAATCTGTCTTGATTTCACCGAAACGGGTCGAGACGGTGGAGCCTTCTAGTAGAGGAAGCAAATCCCGCTGGACTCCCTCATCCGACGCATCCGGCCCGTGATATCCACCGTTTCCCTGAAATTTAAGCCATCACAAAACTGTCGTAAGAGCCTCCATCATCCGGCTCGTCCTCAAAAGCCGTCACATGGAGGGCGTAACAGCAAACTAATCCACAGCGAGTTTCCTTCAGGTGGGGTACGAGCCAGGGATATATAATTGCAGGCAGCTAGAGGCAAAGTGGTGAATCCATTAAAGTACATAAGCCCTTACACTCTTGGAACAAATTTTGTCGATCTCGTCAATGAAAACAATGCCTTCTTGCTCCACGGCTTCCACTGCCTGCTGGATTATCATGTCCTGGGGATCCAAGACAGGCAAAATTCTGCGACTACAGCAAGCATTTGAGCTACGTCACAAATTTATCTGCTTCACATAGCCACTCGACCTACCTTCGTAATCATCGCATCGAGTTCTGCTTGCGTTAGGCGTGCTAGTGCCTCCTTTATAGTTACATATCGTCGTTCCATCATGCGAAAATCTGTCAACGCCATCCACGAGCACAACAGAGTGCACTCAAAGATCAATTGGATATGCCACAAAGTATACGAAATCGGCTTCCAATAGAGCCCTGATACTTAGGCGAAAACCCCTGATCAGAGGTTCTAAGACTTGATTACTGGAATTCGATGGACTGATTGAACGTTCAGCGCACCGCTCGCAAAGAAGGACGGTATTTTTGAGTCTTTCATTTCCCGCATGGCATTTTCTATATCTGAGAGGACTATAATCAGAGGTACAACATAACACGACATCGCAGTTAGACCCACTGTTACGTTTAGAACTATCGAGTGCTGGTTTTTACATATTCTCTCCGCACCTCCTTGTGTAGCCTCAGAGGCCATCATCGGCATATCAATCTGGACACGCCTGCTGTCGAGCGACCCTCTCCGCAAATGCCGTAGCCACATGGCATACTCTTCAGCCTGTGTAATCGCATCGAAAGAAATATCCTTGGGCTCTAAGACTTGCATGCTCATTGGTACAGCAGTCGCATCTACAGAGTTCAGATTCAGCTTACCGGCATCTTTCCCCCCAGTGCTTCCAGAACTTTTGACTCTGCTCTCTCCTCCGCAATCGACTTTAGCCGAGTCTCAAGATTTGTCTTCTTTTGCTTCACGGCTACCTCCATAAGGTCCCTACAGGCCCAAACGAAAATTACCAAACTCTCGAGTCCAGCTGTTGCGGGCTATATATACTACCCGAAGGTAGCAGTGCATAGGTAACAAGGCTATGCTGCCACCTTTTGGTCTCACTTGATGATCTGGTCTACATCTCGCCCGTGAAATCCTACTTCAGTGTACTTCGTTGCCTCAACCTGCACGCAATAGGCATCACTCAATTCCATTTTTAATGAGGGTCAATCAAGAGGCATATGATTCGCCCGTTCAAAAGGAGACATTGTGCCCCAAATCTGCAGCAGCATTTTCGGGAAGAGAAAGAGTGGCCAAGCTTTCACTGAGACTGATGCATGTATAAAGAGACGATCGACCTTAAGGAAAGGTGCATCCAGACGTTGCGCCAAGCGCCTAGCAATTTCGGTTTTGCCGACCCCAGTCGGCCCTATTAGAAGAATATTCTTCGGAGTGATATCTGCTCGCATATCCGGATCGGGGACCTGAGAGACCATTGCAGGCATGCACATTTGGGGTGGGATATATAGCCCTGCTGTCTAGGTAGGTAGGTAATCAACCTTGCGCTCAAGAGAGCTTGATTCCTGCGCTGGAGAAACAGCATACGTGTTGTTGCTTGTTTATCTTGTCACCGCAAGAATATAGTGTCTCACTTAGGCTGCGTATAGGACCTGCAAGGTTTTAAGCTACGTTTGATCATTGCCTTGAGACTCACCTGGCGCCTCCGCCATCGCTGCCGAAGTGCAACTGCGACAGCTCTTTTTGCGTTCGTCTGCCCAACTATATAACTGTCAAGATATTCCACAAGTGCCTGAGGCGACCGCGATGGATCTTTAACAGCAATGACTGCGTTTCCGACATCAAGTTGACGAGGCGGGTCACTCTCAAGTGCAGCTGGGGCGACTGTCTGCAAGACGCTAAGCGACTGAGACCCCGTAGCGCTAGTGCCACCATCGGAAGCGATCAAACTCTTTCCTGTCGAAAGCAGAAGGGGTTCTTGGCTTTTTGCATTCGACCGGAAGAAGGAAGAGCAGTAGCGAGCAGGTGCCGTCTCCAAGAGGCTCCCAGTACGCGAGACGGCGACCTGATTCCTAGGCAAGCAACTTTCCAGGATGCAACACCGTCCTTCGGAAAACGTGGCTTCGTCGCATCTTGCATCAGCACCCTCGGTCGTCGGGCGGTTGACTACGCGTAGCGCACCGGAGCCGAGTTTATAGGGAACAAGATGTGGAATCGACCGAAGTCGTACCGGCACACTCCATCGGGCCAGCATCTGGTTACAACAGAGGCTACCTCCTCAAACACGCAACTTAAACCTGATTAGAGTCTATTCCAGGGGGAAGGGGCGTTGAAGAGCTTGAAGTGCTTGCGAAGAAGGGGTCACGATAAACCTAAAGGGCGGGGTTTTCTGAGCGACTTGCACTGGCATGAAAGCGGCTGGAAGTGTCGCACCACTGTGAATATGGCACATAGAACCACGATAGGGTGGATACTTGCAAATCAACAAAGTGGAAGCAAGCGCATGCAGCTTTTGGGCTTTTACTGTAGCTCAAGCACGTTGACCGTGCATCTGGGGGCCGCTAACTCGCACGGGAGAACAGGAGCGGTGCATGTCTTTCAGCGCATCAAAGACCATTCTGCTTTGCGTTAAGACTGTTTACTTTCAGTCATTACATGGATGACTTCTCATGACTTCGTCGGGGGAACAGTTGGACGCACTCACCCAGATGTGCAGAGAGGCCGACAGTCCTACGTTGGTAACCACCCGTTGTTACAGAAAGTTAAGGAACCACCTAAGCGAAGTATGGGCTATCCAAGTGGCAAAAGTACGGTTTTCAGTATTTTTAGAGATTCCATTTGCTGGATCTGTGCCGAATCTTCACTACTCGTGCCACCACAGCCCACCAAATGGTCACCATGCCTGCATACTGGAGCGGTCGCGGTATGCGCGCAATCTAACGATTGCCAAGCAGCCAAGAGACAGTAATTAGTTTCGGCAACAAGAAATAGCAATATTCACTCAAAGCGCTGCTACAGTAGGGTATGAATGCCCAATACTTCATGTTCCATGGAAGCAGTGGGCCTCAAGTGCGTAGTGGGCTAGGGCTGAGGGCCAAGGGAAGACATATTTACCAGAAAGTGTGTACGGCCTGAATTGCCCTGCGCCTTTTTGTATTGCTTCCTTAGAATATACAAGGCTACCTTCTGCAGCTGTTCTCTCGTTCCAATAGTCAACACCCATCCCCTCAGCGTCAAGCTCGCCTACTTTTGCTGCACAATAATGAAAATCCATGAATATGTAGTATAGGAGGGGCTACATACAAGTTCTGAGAGCATTCAGCTTCCCATAAGAGGGGTAATCGAGTTTGTGACGCCGTTGCACTCTGAGGAGGCATCCTCACAAAAACATATAAGAGCTTTACTTTTTACCTGCTTGATGCAGTAACTAGTTCATCGTGATCGAATGTACACTGCGATACATTGGGCGACACACCACCCGCATGGTAAGATACGAATATTAAAGCAATATCACATCACCTTTTCACACCGGGTAGAGCTCCATCTAAAGTTTCCTTCCATCGGGAGACACTCAGCTCCAGACTCAATGCAAAAGCAAGAGGAATTGAGTGCTTTTAAAACGGCGCTCTCATTCCCCTGCTTGCGTTATTCTAAGATCCCAGCATGGCGGGAAAGGGATAGTGATAGTGCGCGTAGCTGAACTGTCTCAGCACTCCGGGTATTGACAGCTACCGAGGCATAGCATCTACCGCACGCATGTACGACATTGCATCTTCTTGTATCAAACGAACAGTACTCTGCAGCAAGGAAAAATTTATCAGCAAACAAACCAACTATTCGATTTTTACCAATTTTCGTTGAACACGGCTAGCGTAATGGAATCCGTCACGTGTAATTTTGTCTGTTACTCAATATCCCCCTATTTCAACATGCCCTCGCGTTTCGTATTTCTTCTACACCAAATGCGCGCAGGGCACCAGACGAGTTCCCGCCATAAAGTTACTTTCCAGGTAGGCCTAAATGCGAAAACGTTGCAAATGAGAAAAACAAAGTGTGCTCCAATCCGCAGAGACACATGGTTGGGAACAAAAGACACACATAATAACTTACAACCAACAAGCGACCAGGCCGGCACAGCGGCTCACTGTCGTTTGAGTGGTAGTATGTGTGTGCATCCTCGTACATGAAAAACAAATGATATGCAAAATACGTAGAGGGTTTTGAATTATACACTAGCTCAGCGGTCTCTTCGCTCCTCATAGAGCAATGTGTGCATGCAGGTACACCCTGCGCACGGAACATAATCGATTACAAAGCCCGAAAAAGCTGAGGAGGAGAGAGCCGAGCATATCTGAGAGTGCCTGTGTGTAGATCTGAGCGTAGACAATCCCTCGACAATAGTAACCCAACATTTTTAAGAGCAGTACTTCTAGACAGAGGTAGCTATTTCAAGCAGGGCATGAGCGACAGAACGACAATTCCCAAGAAATGCGAGAAAGTTCATCCATAGAAACTAGCTTTACGAAACAAACAGAACTGCAAGTCCTATCGCAGGCAACGCTTTGCGCAGCTGCTGAGGCTGGCGTTGCCCATTGCATTTTATCAGCAACTTTTGTGTAATGATTTGCCGGCGCCCGATAACCCTAGATTTGAGCACTTCTGCAACTCTCTGTAAATCCTCCCATTTGGATAGATCAGATGACTGCGCGGAAGAAATTGGGGATAGTTATATGAGTTTTGAAACGTTTCAGGAAGCCAATTCAGATAGCTTTAGGGCGCCTCCAAATTTGGGGGATATCCATGACGTAAAGAGAGCATAGAACCGTGAGAAAACTGCGAAGGATCCCAGTCAGCTGGCCCCCAGCATCCTTGTCTGGTCATGTGGTGCACCTTGTAAAACCTTCCAACCCACCACGACCAAAGCTCCAGGGTCAAAACATGCCGCCGACCGCTGCTTCTCATGATTCCATGCTTGTTGCTATCGAGCTGTGGGCATACAAACACGCGCATTAAGCAGGTTTTCCCTAAAATATAGTTGCTGCTAAGAATAATTGGTGAAGCCGGATCATCAGGGCCAGGCTTGAATGAGAGGGGGGCTCCTTAGTGTCGACCAGCGAGGAAGGAGAGTAACGGATAGTGCGTAGACTGTTCTATTTTCAACTTGATTTTCACAAGAAAGAAGTCACGCCAAATAATTGGATTAGTGTGGGCACAGAGCTTTCAAAATTGCAGAGCTACGTGGTTGGCACGTTCTCTCTGCCCTTCTGCTTCAGGGTGGTTCGCCGTGGTCATCCTAAAATTTGTGGGGGGTCGTGAGGCACTCCTGAAAGCTCAAGCAAACTTCGTACCCCTATCAGTAACAAGAATAATAAAGCTTTTGCACATGAGTTAAGAATGACTGAGCAACTGCCTCAGCCGTCACAAGCCCGCAGCAGGGGAAGAGTGAGCATATATGCTCAATCTGTCGATAGCTGCGTACATGTTATTCTGAACCTTGACATCTAGCGGACCGACGGATAGAAAGTCATATTAATCCTAGGCCTCTTAAAACCAGAAAGGCTTGAGGGTGGGTGGGTTTCAAGAGAATCGTGCGGCTTCAGCGGTGTGGACTCTCTGGGCAGGACAGTACATACACCCTTGCCAAGGGACGTATGTGAAGTTTGTTCCTTTTCTAGTGAGGGTGTCACCGTTAGAGAATATACAAAGCAACTCAGGCGACAGAATGCTTCAGGCATAAACAGCCCTGTCCTGATCGGTGAGCCTCGGGGATGCCACTCGAATGCATGCAATAGCAAGCCATGAGGCTGGCTCTCAGGTGCACTCGAGAGCACTCTGAGACATAGGGGATATGGAGACAATACACACTAGCTTAAAGAGATGCTAAGGTAATTTTAAGCAGTACCTAGAATACCACGGAGTCGAGCTCTCCACTATCATGCTGGATTGGTAGAATGGGTGGCAGGTTGGGGCCAACTGGTTGGATAGTCGGGTAGATCGAAAATATAGATCCATGAAGGGCAACGTAGAGTACTCTAGGCACATGGAGCTTTCCTGAACTATTTCACTCCCAGTATGAGCATATTTTTACTTCACACCATCGGCCCTAGAAAGACCGTGAGAGCGTTCCCACAGTACTGTGAATCCTACCATGGTTCTAAAGAACATGATACTGTGCTTTGCACAGAATGGCACTGCGAACCAAAGTAGGACGGGACAGGCAAAAAAGCGCCACGCTTTGTGTTGAGCTCCCCGAGCCATCCCCAACGTGGTTATAGTCTATGATTTTTCCATTGTGAAGTTTGGCTGTAGTAGCTGATGCACAGGCGTCTAAAAGCAGAAGACTTATGCAAACCTCTAATAAATTGTGAATCAGCACGCACAAGCCTGATGAGGCTGTACAACGTTCAACCGATGGAGCACCGAACGAGCGCGTCGGCGACGGTGTTGGTGATGCACTTGATTTACTTCAGCGTACATTTGTACTACAAGAGGCGTCCAAGACATTGAACACCTTCAGGATTAATGAAGACCTGAAATTCCTTCGTAAGGTGCACTAAAGGCGGACACTCAATCTTTCAGAAAAAGAACGTTAATGAAATTGGTGTTTGTACTTCGCGGTGCAGTACACAGCAAACTGTTCTTTTTGCCTCACTGAGTGTCGTCGCTCTGTTTTGTTCAAGCCATTGCAATGAATAAGCAATTGTTTGATGCTTTGGAGAGCCATGAGCATGCTGAAAGAATTTAGAACAATATATGTCACTGGCTTTGTTCGTTAGGAAAAAATGACGCACCTAATTGAACTGCGCGAGTACTAAACAAAAAGTGGGGCGGGCGATAAACATCCTTGATACAGCACCAGCCTTGTCTGTCCTGGTCATACGTTGTGTTTTTCTCTAAAGTAAAGCACTCAGGAAAACATGGATTTCAGCAAAACCAGGAAATGCATTTAGATGGTAAGATGTGAGCCTATAGGACTTCAGAACGTCCGTGCCTTTGCGTAACGGCAAGTGTCCCTCCTTGGTTGTATTCATGTTGCCGGATGTGGCTCACTTCCTGTACCCCGAAGAAGGACTCATAAGAACACAGCTGCTCTCATAAGAAGAAACAGTGGCGCCTCTTCGAATACCACTGCTCATCCATCGACAGCTCACGAGTACGCCGTTGGTGATCTAGGTGCTCTTGAGTGTCTCGGTTGAATACTTATGCGCTAATATTAGACAGACATCCAGCCCTCCCTAATAGGGTCAGAAAATTTCTGATTGACTTGCTGCTGTAATTCAGCTGGGGCATTCGCGAGTTCAAAGTTGGCATACAGGTACATGCGAGTCTGCGAGTGCGGGTGAAGAGATCACTGTTGTGCTTGCGACCTGGGTGAATGGGGATTTGTACGAAAGCGTATGTGACGCCAAGTGCCGTGTAGACTATTGATACGTGCAGCTTGGCAATCGTATCGCCAATATGATGTATTGAGAACCTCTTCTTTGCAGTGACCCTGTTCAGGAGCTTGAAGTTAGCACATGCTCTACCTTCCGTCCCTTTACGGCACCAACAACACTTTATTCCCGAAGGCATTGGTCTATTCCTGCGCTTCGTTACTTCAGCGAATTGTCTGTCGATTGCTTAGTCGTGAAGCTTCCGATACAGCGGAACATAGCTTGCGGCTGACCCTGGAATAAGCGCGATGCAGCCCGCCAGCGGTCAGCAGGTGGCCATCTGCGAGTTCCTGGAAATTTGTTCATTCCTTGTGTTCCTCGGCTAGGATTCCGAAAAATGATCGAAATAATAAATTGGTCATGGAGCTACGAGGATAAGGTGCGTGCTCAGAACCGTCATAGCTTACTGTGCTCCTGAGCCGCCCGCCTGGGGTTTCGGCCTCGTCTTGTAGAAGCACCGATTTTTAGCCGGCGCATCATAGATGGAACGAACATTGTTGAGGAGAGCAGGAGTTGACTTTCCTAAAGTTTCTTGGCTCACCAACCTGCACGCTCATGGCATAATAAGTATTATGCCGTAGTGCCCTGATCTAGCATGGCAGTCACCGATCATGCTAATGGACTTTATTACATGTATTAGGCATTCAACTACCTCAGCCTTGAGGATAGTGCCGCCCTGCTGGCCCCCAGCAAGCCTGAGGTTTGAAGACTGCACTAACAAGTGCAGAGGCAAATTGCGCTTTTGGGCCGTTTCCTCGAAAAACAGAGCCATCGCTCACCAAGCTTTATCCAACGCTACCAATTCACCAAACCAGCGAGCTTGTGTCAGCACAAAAGAAAGCTGTACTCGGCCCCTCACTGCGACTTCCTATCCTTTTAGCCCTAATCACTGAGTCGCAGCCTGCGTAAAAGGTTTTTCATTTCCCTAGTGTGGCATATCTTTTGCCAATCGACATGCTTCCTCTAGACCCAAACCACTGTCCACGGTCTTTAACTTCATCCATGCACTTGAACATTTGCTTATGTGACACAAGTTTTTACACGAGGAGAAAGTGAATTCTTTTGGCACTGTCTAGGACTGACTAGAAGCAAGCGCTCTCCCTGAGATTTGCTGATGCCTCTAGTTGTGGGCTAGGGACAGCTGATTCAGCCCCGACTGCCAAAATCTTAGTTCGGCTCTTTCTTCTCAGCCAAAGACCTAGGTTTGTGCTCATTCACTATTAAAATTCCCCAAATTCCATCGGTTGTAGAACAATTAGTAGTCGGCCTCTTGATCACTGGAGTGCTGCCCATCCGGCGACCCCTTGACGTGACTATCCGTTTACACCTGGAATAAACCACTGATATAGCAGCCATTTGTCTACGTTATGGTTTTTGGAAACCTAGCTTCTATAGCGCTCTATTCACTGATAAATCGATAGATTCCTTGCTCCAGCTTTCTCAATTCTCCCAAAACTTGATGCTATACTGATATCGGCATGTACCAAATTTGTCACAGCTACAAAAAAAGGTCTCTACTGTGGTCATTCCTCCGGGCGGACGACTTACTCCACATGAAAACAGCCTACATCAATTTTATTCTCCATTTCATAAGCATGATCTCATCAAAACTCGTGTTTCTTCATTTAAATGCTACAAAGCGCTGAACATCTCCAACGAGCAGATGAGTATTCGAGAAATTGCCTATCCTCAATGCTGTCATGCATTTCTGGTAGGCAAGGCCTCATCAATGCATCCGTAGGCACGTTTCTGCTGAATCCTCATACCTTTGCATTAGCTGTAAAAAGAATAAGTTTACATCGGCTTGGGGGCCAGCTTATTGAGTCTCAACAGGCTCTGCACGGCCGTCAACATCCATCGCCATAGAGTTCGTTTGTTTTTACTGCTGCCACCCAAACCATGCAACAAAGGCACCCAGTTGTCTGGTGGAACTCAAACGAGTGTTGTTTGCTCACAAGAAGCCTGATTTCTTATTCAGTTTATAGCCACTGGGAGAACGGGCAGCAGTTGCATCAAAGATGCAATGCCACCAAATTAAACGCTCCCTTTAGAATCACCATAGGAGAACACTGAACTACAGGCTCAAAACACAGTTGATAGAAAGTTATCGGTTTCCACCGAAAAATGCTCTCTTTCCCCTGTCTGCGCCACTCAGAGACCTCGACATTAGTGCAGAGGGGCAGCTAGGTTCCGCATAGCTGCAATCTTCATGCACTCCGGATTTGCACTTGGTTGCAAATGATATCTAGGGCACACTGCTACAAAATTGCACATTCTTGCATCGAGCTAACAACACTCTACAGTAAAAGGAAAGCACGAATAGACACACCAATAGTCAATACCTCAATGACTCTTCGGATTCTATGAGTAGTGTAGTTGATATTGTTCAAGTACGACTTTCCCCGCCCATCCTCCATGTGAGGCAAAGGCTGGCTCTCAAAGAAGATGCTTTAAGGCTCTATTGCGAAGCATGTTGGTCACTCAGCCTGTTGTGAGTTTAATGAAGACAGCTACTAGCGTGCGAATTTTTTGTATTCAAGACTGGCAAAAATCCAAGGGTGCTCCTCGATATAAAGGTTATGCTGTTACAAAGCTTAGGTAGCATATTCTGGCTTGCTGCGACGGTTAGCTTGCAAGCCGTTGGTTTGTACAACTTGCCGACTGTTTGGATCGCTAGCACAGTTTGCATGAGTACAGAAAAAAGCCATGCAGTTTCAACACAGCCCATGATGTTAACTGCTGCTCTTTCACGGATAGGGTTGAAGCAGCACAGACCCACTCTAGTCCAGCCAAGGCAAAAAGTGGTCAGCCACGCATCGTCCTTGAGAGTGCGTCGTACTGTTTGTTGTTTGTCACTGGTTATATTGCGTGGACGTGATGGGTTGATGAGCCTGAGGTAGTTCAGCAAGCTGTTTTCGAATTTACCTAGTGCAAAAGTCCTCAAGGAGCTATTGAACAGGTATACGTCGGGCGTGATAGAAAAGGCCAGTGTCAAGGCCTGCGCCCAGCTAAGTGCAGAGCCACCATGCAGCTGCAGTTTCCTGAAGAGAACTTGCTAGTCTATTTTGTTCGCGACGAACAGCACATCTGGTTATGCTAACGCACTGCCTGAGGATGCTCGAGGACAGCATTCAATATCAGTACCCTGGATATCGACGGAATAAATCAGTCAGTGCCATACTTTCTCGACTTGTATGCTCTTATCCTCGTGAACTTTGTTCCTATAAGCAGTCCCTTTGTGGGGGAAAGTCACGTACTGTCTATTCCATGCCTGCACTGCGCGATACTGGGTCCCCGAAAAATCATCTTTCTATCAAAGATCTTGCTTTTTCTCCTCAAAAGAGCCACTCTACTTTCGGAAACCCGCCTACTTTTTTATGTTTTGTCAATAGTGTTTAGTTCAGGCCACATGCGGAACACTACGTTCCCCAACCATTGATTAGATGCAAGCTTATTATTACATCGCTTTCACGCCTATGCGTAGGATAAAAGCAACACAATCCGCCTCGCATGAATATTATTATGTATGGACAGAGGCTTGTAGGTACTCGCCTTCAGGCACCCGAAGGCACCCTCTGCTGCTCTAGGATTGATTAGCTCACCATTCGCAGCATGGCACAATGCTCCTATACAACAAAAATTCGGGAAGGATGAATTTTCATTGAAACTAGCCAATATATCTTGGTGCATATATTAGAATGATTCAAGGCTATACCCTGGCTTTAGAGCAATGGGCTGAATGGAAGTACAAGTCAGCTTCCCAGCACGGATCCCATGAGTGAGGGCTTGGGCGGCCGATATCCCCAGATCCTCTTTAACCCTGGAACATCTGTTCACCAGACGCGGAAGACAGCTTCCCCTTGATTTTTTTTGTGGTACGTCTGTGACTCCATGGGTAATTTGTTTATTGAGGGATCTCAGGCCGCCAGTACTGGTGCTGTGCTTTGACTCCTTCCTTGCAACAAGCGAACTAAGCGCGTCTGCCTCTTTTTTGGTTGCTCGAAGTTTTCATTTGTGATTTCTGGTCGAATCATATGTCGTCCAACCCCAGGTTTCAATGCGGTCGATATCCGTCGGCTGCACTGCAGCCCCCTGAACCACTTGCTAGAGTCTCTTTCTGCTGTGAGGTCTTCCTCCGAAATCTTGAAGGCCTGAGAAGGGCAGATGAGGGCATTGCTGTACCCCTTCTCCTTCTTTATTGAAAGTCGCCGGGTGGACTGTGGAAGTAAGCTCAAATTCAGCTGGCATTTTTCGTTTGCGTTCGTATTGTCTACTGCACCGTTGCTAGGCTTGTATCTAGGAATTCTAGGCAACGCAGCTCAGGACCATGAATACAACTTTGTATTACCAAGCACAGAGCAAGGCTTTCAACCTCAGGAAAGCGACACATCCAAAGCTTTTGAAAGTTTCGTCCCGTGGAGGAATACACTTAGAGAGCTCGATGTGGTTGGCAGTTCTGAAGAAAAGAGTGCCCCTTGGGAAGGCGAAAATGTAGCCGCACGTGAATACAGCGAGATACTGGAAAAGCTATCTCGTATTACACGCCACGAGAGCTCCGATACCACATGGCTCAACATACAGCTACAACCCTACAGATCAGGAGTACCAGGAAACGCGCTTGGCAATGCTCTAGCAACCGAACACGCAAGTGCAACTCGAATGCCCTGGCGCAACTATTCTGACCAAGCTGGCAATCCAACCCAGGAAGTCCTCTTCGGTGGATCCATGCTTGAGCTGAAATCATCTGCGAAGCTGTCAACGAGTCCAGGTACCTTTGCAAACAAAGAACGAACAAAATGGAAAATCGAGGATCTTAAAGTCAGAGATTCAGAGTCTTCGATGCAGGGAGGAACTACAGAGGCAAATGTAAGGGGAGTCACGGCAGAGCACGAGGCATCCGCTAGGAATTCAGCTGAAGGGGCAACCGCGCATTTCACCTTCGGTACGATGGATAAATATCTGGAACCGGCAGGCTCAGCTGTGCACATGCCCGATAATAATCAGCTTCTCGACACAATGGATAACGATTTTCGAGTAGCCATAGATCCAGGCTCGCTTGGATCGCAGCTAGACATCCAATACACGTTCCCTACAGAAACGCACGATTCTAAGGATATTGCTTTTATTGTCCTAGCGATCCCAGCTGGGTATACGATTGAGGAGAAGGCCAGTGATACGACACTCTGTCGTTCTGCCGACCCAACCATGCCCCCCTTAAGGTGCAGCTTACGGCTGCCACACGATAAGCGGAAGCATGGGGGAGAAGCAACGTTCTTGGTAGTATCAAGTGCTGATACTTCGCGAGACCTCCCACTGGGAAAGCATTACTTTGCTATAAGCACTAGCCTGCCGTCCACTAAGGCAACGACGGAGATTCCGCAGTCGTGGTTCGCAACCTTTCGCTTTACTGGAGGTCATGCAGTTACCAAACATTTTGAAGACACAAGGCTCATCGCAAGATACAGATGCGTCTGGAGCGAGTGGAAGCAAGAAACTCCTTGTAGCACTACATGCAATGAAGGGTACGAAATCTGGACTCGTATGCTATTCGCGGGGCCTAGCGAGGAACACTGCGGAGGAGCAATATTAAAGCGGAGGTGTCAAACAGAAGCCTGTAGCCTTAGCTGCCAGCTTTTGGGGTGGGAACTCCTTAGCAGCTGCACAAGAAACTGTGGTGCTAAGGACGGCGAAGCATTCAAGGTCAGCATTCGCCGGGTGTTGATCCAAGGCGCTGGATGGGGTCACTCGTGTAGCAAGTTGTATCCTTGGGATGACATCACCAGAGCAGGCTGGTCTGAAAGGCTGAAAGCCGTTGTTAGCTTGACGCCGTGTGACGACAGGTTCAAAGCACCGTGCCCGGCGCAGATGGGATGCAGAGTGGAAGAAATCAATAGCAGGACAATGCCAGCTTCTTTCCCCTGGGGCGTATGTCCGTTTCCGTGCGGCGGGTTTGGCAATATTACATCTATTGTCCAAGTTGCGAACGGCATCCCGCGTTGGCTCGGCGAAAAGCTGTACCCGGATACATTCCAAATACCGTGCAAAGCCGACAAAGAGCCTTTGGTAACTGCACGAAAGTGCAATACTCAGGCATGCGAGGATTGTTCTGTTTATCTGGAAAACCCCGAGTTTGGGAAAGCAACAAGAGCTTGGATATTCTTCTTGCCTACACTTGAATGCGACAAAATAGATATTACGGTCCCTAAGGGCATGAGTATCTTGTCCAGCACCCTCTCCCAGCAGCACGCTGAGGTGCTCCGCAAAGGTAGGATTTCACGACTATCGCATATTCTGCCTTCGCCTGTCACCTCACAGGCGACAAACGTAGCGCTCTACTTCGCGGAGGAGGATTTAGGCCAAAAGGTAATCGGCAACTGCTCATTTATGGCAAACTCTTTCGGTGGCATTAAAAGCTGCAAAGTCGGTGCTTCGCAACTCTACCCTGGCTCTGAATCTGCACAAGTATGGGCGCGATCCTTTATCGCTCCCTCTGGCACACACACGGATGCCAGTTCCCCGGATAACAAGAAGCACAACAACACCAGACCCCACTGGATGGCCTTGCCAGTTATCCTTGGCGAGCAGGCGGCTATGCAAGACGGTGGAAACTTTTACCTGTGGCTTACCACCAGCAGCATGCCGCGTGATCCAGAAGTTTTCACATGCCGGCTAATGACGTATCTCGCTATGCCAAAGCAATGCGCTTTTCACTACACCCCAAAAGATCCCAACGAATGCAACAGCTGCGAGCCAGACACAAGCCAGCCCATTACATCGTATCGCGAATTCGTGCCAGCGAAGCACGGTGGTTCATGCAGTATCCCGGAGAATATGCGGACGCCGGGAAGCATTCTCACAGTTGCACCATGTACACTGAGCTGCGGTCGGTTGCCACATGGCAGCGCGAAAATCAAGAAAGAGGCTCCTAATGCGAAGAAGCGCGACAAGAGCCTTTCAATGGTGAAGCGCGTTGCCCTTGTAAACTTTCGGAGGATGCTTCAGAGTTACCATCTAAGCGCAGCTTCGGGGGAAAAGCCGAGGCGTCTGCACACCGCAGTTCTAGGGGCAAACACTGCGGGGGCCGAAGCCCATGCAAATACTGGCTCCCTCCCAAACATGAAACAAGAAGAGCCTTCATAAAATCGGTTACTATTATACCAGGAATTTAAACGGTCCTGGATTGCTTGTCCACATTCTCAATAGCCGCGTGAAGCAGCCACTTGTTTTAGCGGGAGCTGATGACGGGAAAGTTTTGAGCACTGCTGGAAAACAACCTGGTGGAACAAATACGTATAAAATCACCCAATTCCTTTAATGCATTAATACATCCTAGGAGACGGAGATGCTAATGAACCTTCCCCCGCCAGTCGAGCCGCAAGATATTCCAGAGTGCAAGCCAGCACATCGACCCCCTGAGCAGCGCGCGCAATGCACAAGCATGCGTCACATCGGACTGAGCCTACTGAAGCAATACTAGGGCGTCATTAAGCCTTTCTCTAAAAGCAACTGCTCCCCTTATTACCCCAAGTAACGAGTAGTTACTCGTCTGCCGGCCAACTGCGAATTCCACACATGCTCACTCACCTTCTCAACCTGTCGGATTCCCAGGCGCTCGTTCGGCAAGTGCGCATTATCGCTAGCCTGACCAAACGGCAGCTGACAAATAGCTACTTCTTCAAGACCCCCATGGGATCCATGAGGTCCTGTAAGTTTGCGCAGGGAGTCAGCGAGGAAGGGAATGGCAGGCATAGAGCCGCCTTCCCGCACGTACAGAGGGTCTACACCCCAGACCTGCAGAAAAACAAATTAGTTTCTATGCACCAGCGTTACAATCTAGGAGTTTCGAGAAAGCTCCTTCTCAGTAAAACCCCGAGAACAGATGTATGAAGGGGCTGACTGCGGAAATAAATTGCAGACGTGCTGCATCTTCCTTTAAAAAAAACTCTGCCCTGCCCTCCCCCCCTTTCTTGAGCCAAGTCCATGCTTTTCAGGCAACAGACAGACACAGCATAAGTATTACCTCTTTAATGGCTGCATGCGCTGCTCCGTAAAGCGCACGCGTTCGTGGAGCCTCCAAGTCCGCGCGCCAGGAGCGGCCTTGTCGGAGGCACTGCACAGTCAGCTTGCTCGTGCAAGAAATCTTCGCAAACGATTCCTCCAAGTAATTGCGGACGAGAGCAAATACTTCCTTCGGACTCTGAAAAAAAAGAAAATGGGCGACTTCCGAGTGGCTCACCTATGGGAAATGGTGCTGCCGCAATTTGAGAGTCTCAAAATTATCTCTTTTGCAGACTAGAGCCAAGAGAGGGAGAGCAGGAAGAGGATGCCACTGGCCCTACTTGCTGTGGCACGAGACGCAGACTGATTTCGGCACAAGCCGTGGAAGGGATGACGCGCATAGCCCCCCCGACGTGCGCGCATTTCCCCTTCAAGGAGGTGTTGATACCCAGAAGCGAGAGGGAAGGTTCTAACCAGCTGAACGCAAAGGAGGCACTCAGCAGCGCCATACAGCACCGTGCTGCAATCCCGTTTTGTATGTACATCAGAAGGACGCGGTTCCCCCCCCTAACAGATCACACGAGAAAGCGCCAGCCAGAAGCCTCTGGCGTCTCTCTCTGCACAGCGAAAGAGAAACGAGGAAGCTGGAAGGGCAGGAGCACTACAGCGCCTGCAGCCTGAGTCTGACTGCCCCCTCGCCAACTAAGGTTGAGATGGGGTGTACCTTGTTCTAAAAACCTCTTGGAGATCCTTAGCCTTCCTGAATTCAACCTGCCGGCGGCACTCCGGAGTCACTGACGCGGCCGCTATCTTTATGCGCTCGAGCTGAGAAATCGCAGTGCAATGCATTCTACGGAGAAAGCGCAGGCATCCGTAAGAGCCACAATCACGCTGAAAAAGCCGCACCGCAAACCTTCTCCGAATCGCCGCTTGGCTGCTCACCTCAGTAGGATCTGGAGGCAACACGGAGTCGTAGAATCGAGGCACCGTCACACGTCCAGTGGCAGGGTCCGCTATGCAGCCCAGCAGATGCACCAGACTCTGCGCTCACAGTCACACGCACACCACAGGGAGGCTGTGTGAGCGTGCGTCTGTCTCCGAGAGTTCTGCGAGACAGCTCCATAGGTGTAATAGCACCCTACATACACACAAATATACATACATATGTACATATATATATGTGGAGGGGGAGACACTATCCGCCTCCCTACATATACCCTCGCGCAACTGACACGAGCTGCAGTGCAATCGAACCCCGAAACATTTACTTGCCTGCATGGGTTCTTCCACAACGCCACCATGCACCCCCGAGTGATAGCCGCTGAAGTCGGAGCCGCTTGTGGCTTCCACGCGAATATCCAGCACCCCGCGCATGCCGTAGCTGTTCACATGAGAACAGCAGCACGCGAAACAACAAGAAATCCCCAAAACAGGCAGTGTAGAAGTGTGGATGCCCTGGGGTCCTACAAAAGAAACGTGCCTTACACCTGCAAGCCATAAAGGACGGCAAAAAAGGCAAAAGAAGCTGTATATACAGGACGCACACAAGACAGGGCGTGGTGTCGTCTGCCCAGTAACTGTTGTTGCAGATGAGAAAACGAGCTCCATGTAGCCAACTGGCCTTTTGCGCCACCGCATCCGCCAGACCTGAGCAAACGCCATGCCAGCCACACGATTTTAGCCGACATGCATGCCAGCCCCAAAGTTGGTGCCCCCTCGGCATGTATAAAGGCCATAGCAGACATGCCGGAAACACACAACGTGTGCCTGCGAGCACGTCTCGTCACACCTTCCACAGAGCAGTTCCATACATCCATACATGTTTACATCCATACATGTTTACATCCATACATGTGTACATCCATACATGTTTACATCCATACATGTCTGCATACGTGCAGGCATAGATCGTACAAGAAGGGAAAATCCACTAGGCGGCAACAGGGTGCACATTGTGAGGACTAGAGAGGCCCTATCTGAATTTCCTGTTGTACACTTCCCGAAGAGCGGAGCGCTATTCCGTGAAGGGGCGGCTCAAGCGTTCTAATGCCGCGAACGGGGAATAATACTTGAAAAGCACGTACCTATGCTACCGTTCTCTTCGTCGCCTTCGCAGATCCAAACGAAGTTGAATGGCACTGCAGGGGCACTTCTGGCGGTTAGGGGGTCTTGGCCAGAAGCGGCGTCCCCTGTGTCTCGTGGTTGAGGCTGTTGATGAGCAGCATGTCGAGCTTTGTGTTTGCGTCTCCATTCAGAAATAAAGTGCTTTACCGCGAGGAGTGAACAAATGATGGGGCCTTTGTTGTCCGTAACTCCGCGCCCGTAGATGTAGCCGTCTTTGCAGTGAATCTTCCACGGATTTGTGAGCCACCCCGTTCCACTCCACTCTGAAAGTGGTTTGTTGGAGCGGTGCGCAGGGTGTCTCAGTTGCTCGGTGGTGCCTGAGGCTTCACAGCTGCTCCGAGGGCCTAAATATGGCGCAGTGGCAGCTCGCCAGAAGTCTGTAGCGGGGCGGTTCGGGGAGGGAGATCCGGAGCTGGCTAAGGGAGACGATGACGGGGTGTCAGGACACTCTGCAGCGGTCGAGGCACCGAAGGCGGGGCTTTCTCCGGGTGATACAACGTCATAATGCGAGTAAAACACAATGGTGGGGTGTTGTGGATTCGTGCCGAGGCGTCCGAACACGACAGGATGCGGCCGATTCGCACCCTCATCCCCGTGAAATTCGGAGGTTACACCTGATTGACGGGGCCATACGATTTCCACGGTGGCTCCTAGTGCCTGCTCGAACAGCTGGGCGACAAACTTTGCAGCCGCTATACAGCCGCTGAAGTGCAGGGGATTCTTCGAGGCGGATACCGACTTGCATGCCACGAGGTGTCCAAGCAGAGACAGAAAGTCGCTCCTTCGCGGCTCCAGTCCAGTTGCACTCTTGAGTAAGGGCAAAGAGGGCATGGACGCTCCGGAGGTGATGACCATGTTGCCGATGCGACTTGAAAGGCTACGTTGGATCTGTGCGACCGCGTCCTTTGAGGATGCAATCTGAGCAAGCGTCCCTGCACCCTCACTGGGCTGTCCCTTGCGCCTGTCTGCACGCAGCAAACGCTCACTTGCGTCTGTCGCAGGTGCCCCTTCACATTCGGACAGCAATCCTTCGGAGAGGCCACCCTTGGCGAAGCCTGCCGTGCCCTTAGGGTGGAAAAACGGCTCCTCGAGCTCTCCCACAGACGCGTCCTCGAGCACATCTGTCTCGTTTAGGGTCCAGACTCCCAGTTTGCCGTCTCCCCGCCCTGCCCACAGCTGAAGACCTCCGCGTATTGTGCTTCTTTGCGGCTTGCTAGCTCGAGGCGATATTGCGGGAGTCTCGTGGTCGTCTTCAACGTCCAGCATGGACGCGTCGGACACGAGCAACAGATCTGTGAAAGATACGCCTGCCTGCTGGCTGCCGGAGGAACCCCCGTGAATGAGCGCGTTCCGAGCTTCGCTAGGTGTGGAGAAATATCCTCTGTCCGCGTCGAAAGACGGCGATACATTCAGACTAAGGCGGAAGGCCACTACCAGCAGGTCCAGCTGCCACACGAACAGCTCGCCGTTCGCAGAGCCGCTAATGAGTATGTTGCGGGAGGCGTCGGCAGCAAGAGCCAGGACCTCCGAGGTGTGCGCATTCAGGGTTTGCATGCACACCAGCTGCTCGAGAGCCCACACACGAATGCTGGTGTCTCGGCTGCCGCTGAACAGCAGTCCTTGGAGACACTGAGACTCCTCATCAGTGCTCTGGGGAGCATCCGCCTGCGAAGGGGGGCCATCCTGCAATCGTTCCCTCGGTTCCCCGCCACTCAGATCCTTGCAGAGAGCGTCCACGGATGCCTCTGTGTATGCGACGCAGAGCACCCCTCCGTGGTGTCCAGACAGCTCGCCCACGAGACGACCGCTTTCGCTCCATAGGAGGAGTCGGCCGTCACCTCCGCCGCTGCAAATAACCTTGCCGCAGCTTGTGAGGCACTCCACAAAGCCGTTGTGACCACTCTCGTCTAGCCAAGGCCCCACTAAGGACTGGTGCGACGTCTGACGCTTCACGCCGGACTGCTCGAGCGGCAGAAACCGCATCTCGATCTTGAGTCTTTCTCCGTTTTCTTGAGAGGGTTGCGCCACGATCTTCAGACTGGAGGTGCTGCTCACTACTCTGTACGTGCCTGGAGATGCCGAGGCTGCAGCGCCTTCTGGCAGAGGGACTTCGAGCTCGTGGGGAGCCTCGAAATAGTAGATGGTGCCCGTTGGGGGGTAGAGACACCTGAGGCGCCCTGAGGAGTGGCCGCTTTTGGCGGGCCAGAAAGTCGTTGCCGAGTGCGACGCATGCAGCGTGACATTCCGAAGATTGCGCGCGAAAGTGGAGAGCAACGACCGGAAGGAGGCATCAGCTGCCAAGCCGGCTGCCCCCAAAGGGGAGACTGCACAGGTACTGTCGCTCGGGGGGGAAGGAGGAACGCTGCGCGACAGTCCGGCCAGATGCGTCGGTTCTCGGGTGAAGAGGGAGCGCAGAGACTCCCGTTCCTGCTCGCCGGAAAACATGACTCTGAGCTGCCCCGAAGCGAGAGTCTTTAGCTCGAAGTCTCGGGATACGCGGAGGGGCAGTGCCTGCTGCTGCGTGGGCTGGAAGGATACTGCATTCGCGAGCACGGAGACCATCACCTGGGTGTGACGGAAGTACCTTAGCAAGTCGCTGAGGCGCATGGCGCCGATCTTGGTGGATTGAAAGCCAATAAAGAGGAGAACCTTTTTCCCGGAGTCCTCTAGGAAGGGATTCGGCTGCACCTTGTGGAGACTGGGCATCCAAAAGGTGGATATAGGGGACGGGGAGAGGTCCTCGTTCGCTCCGCTGGCTCCTCCCTCGAGCCGCATCGCTGCGCGAACCCCAGGAACGCAGGCGTCGCAGGCGCTAATCGTGCAGACTCGGGTAAAGGGGTCGTGCATGCTGCAGCTTGTCTCCCGCGCCGCACCCTCGGAGACACGCTTGACCAGCAGGGAGAGCACATCGCCTTGGTGAGGAAGAAACGTGAGACGGACGGCCAGCAAGTCTTCGGGTGCAATAGACACTCTTGGACCGTCAAGAAGTACCTGTGTGCCGCTCAGAAGGCGAGGCTCGTGACCTCCAAAAAGGAGGGGCGAGAGATCCCACACGGCTAAAGACGTGTCACTGCCTCCCGTCACCAGAAACACTTCGGGCAGGGCTGCGCCGCAGCTTGCACACGGAACGGTGCGTGCTGAGCGCACAGATCCTGCTGTCCATGTGTAGACGTGGACGGCCATGGCTAGCACGCCTCCCACGTGTGCGTGGAAGGATATGGGCGCCACAGACGAGCTGATTGCATCGTACACGACAACGTCGCCGCTCTGCATACCCGCGAAAACAAAGGACTTCGCTGCCACAGGCAGCGATGGCGGGGACTGCTCCCCCCAAAGAGACGCTTCCCGCTGCCCGCCACCCCGTTTGGCGACATGCACCATTATGGATTCCAGACACAAGATTGCACAGGTGCCCGCAATCAGCTCGTAGCACTGCTGACTGCTTCCCACGCTGTCCGACGAGAAGGCTGCTGCTTGCTGCAAGCTTGTAGCTGGAAGAGAGGGCATCCCTGGGGGCGAGGCAGGTACACTGCGAAGATGAGGACTGCCTTCAGTTTCGGACCCCCCCCGCCCCTGTGCTTGCGCTGCACGCAACTGTTGCTCGAAGGCGTTTAGCCGCATTTCTAGTGCGTTCCAAGCCTTCACTCCTCCCTCTTCGCCAGCCCCCCCTTCGTAAGACTGCCCCTCCGCGGCAATCTGGCGGAAAACCGATTTCAAGGAAAGCAGCATTTTCACTGGCAGCGCCTCCGAAATCGCATGGACCGCACTAGGAGTTCCCAATAGCATCTCCTGCAAGGAGCTGAACTCCCCCTCCAGTCGACTCGCGAGGGAAGCTGCTAGGCTCGACCGCAGGCTGAGCTGTTTGTCGAAGGACCCGCAGCTATCCGCAGGGAACACCGCAGAGATCGACCTCCGACGTCGCCGCAACAGGGGGGGCAAATAGCCGACGCTTGCAATCGGATAGAGTAGTAAGTCGATGGACGGCGTTATCAGAATCATGGTGTTGCGGGGCACAGGCATCCAGTCCTCCGGATTCGAAGTCAGCGGCTCGCTGGTGACGATGCAAATATCCGTCCTGCACAAAGGACACGCACAGCCAGAGAAAGCGTGCGTTTTACCACCAGTCTTTGCTGTGCACAGCTCTCGATTGGCTGCACGTGGGGATGGTGGTTGCACGTCGCTCCGTGCAGAATCTACTGCACCCAGAGAACAGAGTTCCTGGGGATCCAGAAGGAAGGCAAGAGGGCGAGAAGAAAGATGAGATAGGCGCGCATCAGGCGAGAAGCGTCTTTTTTGGTGAAGGCTGATGGAGCCTGTTGTTGCCAGGGTATACCTCTTATCTCTATGAGTCATGCGGAACTCCCCCAAAGTCTCCTCCTGCTGCTGCCAGGCCGTCCCCGTGGCGAAGTAGAGGCTTGCTGGCATCGCAGGGCTGGTTTCTCCCGTGAAACTCGGCACAGTAGACGACTTCCCCGATTCTGCAATTGCAGAAATCCTCCACAATTTAGGTGTGTGCATGCGTTTCTTCTGGGGGACTTTCCCCACGTGTACAGTGCACCTTCGGCAAAGGCAGCTCTTGAACCCCCGACTCTGCTGGGGAGCCTCGCGTTGTGCTGTCGACGCAGCCGCACCCCTCCCCCCCCTCCCGCTTTTTGATGCCAGCTCTTATCGCAGCAGGTAGAGTGCAGACGGAGAGCAGCCACTTCCTCGCGGCACTCGCGCTTACCGTAGGCCACTTCTTGAGCGTTCGTTACGAATCTGGTGGCTACAATGCTTTCCCCATCCGACACAACGATGTTGATCAGCGTCGTTTCCTCTATCTTTTCCTTGTCAAGGAACCAGCAGATCGCGGAAATCATGCGTTCCACGGCCTCCTTCATGGCGGAATGGCTTGAGGGCTCTGTGGGCATGTTGGGCAGCAGTGCCAGAAAGACCGCGAACAGACACGCGCTGTCGATACAGCTGTTGGTTATTGCAAAGGAAAACATGGGATCGGGCAGAAGACTCAGAAGGTCGCTGCAGCGAAAATGCACAGCAGGCCACGTCTGGGGGCAGTACGTCCACCGAACGCTCGCACAGCCGACTCGGAACCCCTTACCGGCTGTGCCCTTAGGGCAGCAATCACAATGGGGTGGCTGCACACAACAACTCTCCCCGAATATCTCTCTTTCCACATGTACAACTGGGAGCGTTATCTCCGGGTTGCTGTCGCAATGGGCTCGCTACGCCGCAGAAAGCAGAGCCTAAGGATAGGCCTACCGACGAATTTGGTTGAAGCCACCGACGCTGCCATTGTGCATGAAAAGGAAGCGTCCACAGCGGAACGGATGGCAGCAGAGCTCGGTGCTAACACTGCCGTTCGCTACTGCCCAGGGAGGCAGTCCACCAGTGCATGTTGTGCATTGTGACACGCCGAGGGTGCTGCTTGCCGCTCGAACATGAGCGAAAAACAGGCGGCTTGAAATCTGTGTCGATAGCCAAGCACATAGGACCACCTAAAGAAGCGCTGCATTCCAGAGAGAGATGCATAATGCCGGCAAGGTTGCCGGAGACACCTAACGGGGTCTAGCTGGCTTTGTGGCAACGGCAAGCGGAGTCCCCGTTGCACTAAAACACGGCGTATTCGCTCCACAAAGCGATTTCGACATGCGAACGTGTGCTCGTGTGTGGAGAGAGAATGCCAAAGAAACGCCTCTAAGACCATTCTCTGCAGGGGTCCTGCCACCAGAACGCAAGGGTCACTGGCTCTTGCATCATACACAGGCATAAGCCGAAAGCAGCCAGTAGCATAAATATATATATACCTTTTCGGCAAGGTTGTAGAGGTTCCTGTCTGCCCATGCAGGCTTCAAGGAGGTAAATACACATGCTCCTCCGTCATCCAATGAGGCCCCATTGTCCTTTGCTCTGGTGTCACGATCGGGTACTGTTGCCCCTATAGCGCTGTCGCGACTCTCACCGCAGCTTCGTAGGAGGCACAGGTTTTCGGCTGAGCGGGCACGTTCAGCACGGTCGGTAACATACCAGCCGACTCCAAAGCCATCGCCGTTGAGTGAGGCCTTCTGATACGCGCTCCGAATATCGCTTTGAGGCAGGCGCTCCTGTCTCGCACGCAGAACCGGCATACGGAGTAACTCCAGGATCACTAGGTGTCAATACAGAGGACCTGATGCTTGACGCACAGTGTTGTACCTACTCAGTACAGTGGATGCCCAGATGGGCGTTTCGCAGCCTGACAGCTCCTTGTCTCACCTGACAGTTGAACGACTGTTGAATGATGCTTCTTCGGGGCCTTGTAAGAATATCTGCGAGGAGAATTGGGTCCCCCCTGGTAATGATGGCTGTTAGTCGGCACATCGCGGGGCTGTACTATCCACGGAATGCCCCGTTAGGGACTTTATTGGGAGCCACCAAGGAAATAGCACATTGCTCCTGTAATCTAGAACCCCCAGTAAAGGCTACCAGCACGCCTAATGCCAGGCGACACTGAAAGGCTCGTTCGTTGTTCAGTGCGCCAGCAGACGGCGTGAAACCGTAAGACAGCTAACGGGGCTACCCAAGCAGGCTGTGGCTGTTCGAGACCTGGCGGAGCCGGCTGCTTCGAGAAGCACTATTTTATCTAGGTCGCTCAACAAAATTGCAGCTCGGATGGCGGGAGGAGGCCTTGTTCGCCCGTGTGTCAGAATGTCTTAAGGGGGGGTTCCTGCGGGGCCGCTGGTACATTCCACTTGCGCAGCTTCGACCGCTGCGTCAATGAAAGGGTTGATCACAAGTGGCGAAATGTGCAACTGGGATGAAATGTAATGCCGGTAGAAAATCTCGCCGGAGATTGATGGTTCTCTTGCCTAGTACCGTTGCCGCCAATTCCGCTGCACCCTTTCATCTCCTTGCGGAGGTGCCCTAGCAGGTCCGCAGATCGCTCAATAGGATTGCAAAACCTCGACAGTGCTAATGAATACACTCCATCTACGAACCGCATTATGTGCATCGCACTCTTTTTTTCCTGAGACACAGCCTCATCAGCGCAATGCCAGGCAACCATGATGGTGCTGCCCTGGTGATTCGATGTTCCACTGTAAACTTCCACTGATCTACTGAACTACACAGGCCTAAATTCATCTAAATACAAAGGCGATCTAGTCGGATCTATCCTGGTTCAAGCCAGTTCTACAAGGGCGTTTGCTACTCGGAGGACCTAAGGGAGTTCAGCTGCTTGTAGCACTTGGCGGACCACGCTTACTAGTGTTCACCTTGAATGGTTGTGGCTTTGCTGTTTCATGGCTGGAAGGCTGAAGTCCTTGCTTTTGCCGCTCTCCACTCTCCACAATGTGAACACATGTATGCAAGCATATTTATACACACGTAGGTGGAACAACGGAGGAGCAAAAAGACCTTGCAGATCATTCCCTTTGACAAATGTGGAAGTGGTAGGAAGGTAATAGAGAGCAAATAGTTCTGAAGGCGCCACCAGGGAATTCGCCTGGTAGTCACATTTCACGCTCTGGTGAAGTGACTACCGATCGTTTTCTGGCCACAGACGTGAGAATTAATGAGAACTTCTGTGCATTGCCCCATACAAATATGGTTAGGATTTCACCCTTGCCCATGAAACTGTTGCCTTGGGATATCGTCGCCTTGCTCCTCTCAGTCCACAGTTCTGTACAACCTGAATAGTTCCTTGTGTTTGCATATGTGGATAGAGTCTAAGGACCTCCCAAGATTTATCCGTTTCTATGAAGTTATATCATTCGATATGAAGGCACGTTTTCAACAAAGCGCTGAAACCGCGTTGAGCAGGCTATAGATCAGTTACGAAATAATCGTAGGGGAAAAACAAGCATAATATTCTGTATTCTGGTGGAGTAGAGGCTAGGCCGCTGTATGGGAGACTTGCATGTCGCAACTGCACCGGGCGCAACCAAGGGTCGCTGCCCACTGCAACAAGATTATAAACTGCTTTGAGAGTATAGTCCAGCTGCTGGGTAATGAGCCGTACCATTCCCGCAGCAAACATCTCTCAAATTCTTTGAGGGCAAGATACACAAAAATAGAGATGTGCAGTTTAAGAAAGAGTAATCCTTAAAGTGAAAACTGCTGTTCCGACCCTTGGACAGTGTACTGCCGGGCCCAGCATAACAATGGAGTGCCTGTGTCACGTCCCTACACAAGCGCCATACGGATTGACCTGGCTAAAGTGCATGGCAAAGTTGAAGGGCAATCGCCTCGGGGGGAACACTGACAGAGTGCTACCTCTGAAACAGTTTAGCATATGTACGCGGAAATACCAAATTACCTTGGGATCAAAAGGTATCTAAAGTTCAAACTAACAAGTTGGCCCCTCAACTACACCCCTCGAACGGATGACAGTTACAAACATCGGCGGCCTCTTCGCATTCCTGCAGACGACAACCACAAAGGCCTTCGGGCATGCATGCAGGTAATGAACGTTTGTTGCAATGGAATGCTGGTTATGAAGGTTCCGTGCACAACTGACTCATGGCATGAGGGACAGAACTAAGTCAAATTTTTCAGGAGCTACAATGGCATGCACGATGACGGGCATTAAATTATTCAGAGGAGAGAATCACACTAGCATATCTGCCCCTCAATTTTTGCAGAGGCTTTGTCGCACTTTGGCAATTGAGGAGAGCAAATCCGACTCCTTCGTGGAGGTGGAGGAAGGGCTTTCAGGGCTTTCAATTCGGGAGGCGTACATGGCGGCTGCACAATCACGCACGAGCTTGCTCATGGCCATCAAAGGGTGCGCCAAACGGGTGGGTAAGATGGTTCATTCACCAGCTCCGCTTATTAACGAGCGCATGCAAAGGGAAACATTTTGGTAGGAATGGACTGGAAATTCGAAGAGCTGCGTAGAGAAGACGTCTTACCCAAGGTGCACAGGAGTAGTTTTAGCGCCGCCACGGCAAGCAACTCCACCATTCCGAAGAATGCGACGCGCAGAGATGCCCCATTCACAAGGAAGAAGAGATACACTGCGTAAACGACAGGAACAAGCGCAAACGTAGGCTCCACTCTCAGCAAAAATGGAGCATACTGCGCACGTGTGAACTGTGCCAGTGGTGAAAGCTTGTGGCTACTCGTGACTACGAAACTTCACAGCCCATGCGTCCGAACGAAATGCCTTGAAGGGCATTGCCTGCACACATACCGACGATGTGCTTCGGCATTGTTGCGGCGACCGTCATGGAGAAGAGCTGCTGTTGCCTGACGTCTCCCGATAGGAAGAACCAGAAGCCAACGCTCCAACAGAGGAGGTCGGCCAAGGGGGGAAGGCTGAGCGCAAGAGCGAGGAGGCCCCACGAGGAGGCGCCAAGGGGGTGTGTAAGGCTTGCCCACTTCGCCACGGCAGTCGCAGCAGGAGAAGTCCCCAAACCAGGTCCCTCCATTGGAGGCGAGACGACCAGGAGGCTAGGATTCACAGTCTGTTGGTTATTCCCCTGAAACCAAAAGGAGTTCACAGGCAGTACCCAGGAGGGCGTGCTTCCATGCGCCGACTCGGCCCTTGGGAACGGCTGTGGCCATGCCACAGCAAACGAGGTGTTCTTGAGCCCAAACAAATAGATGCCAGTCGCCGCCATGTGAAGAATATGGAGCACCAGGGCCCCCGCCAAGACGTAGATCCTGAGGAAAGACCCGAAAGGGTGCAAAAACATCGAAACAACCCAGGCCTGACTCTGTGGAATGAAGCGCGCAAGAAAATACAGCTCCCCCGCCACCCCTAGAACCAGGGAAAAGCACCCACGAAGAATTAAATGCAAACGGCCGCACTCATTCTCGCAGGCGGAGATAGAATTTCAATGTGCTAGTGCGGCTGGTGTCAGGCCACGCCCTGACGAACGTCTATCTAGGGGTGGCATGCGCATGGGTATAAAGAGGAGAGCTTTCGACTTGCCTCGCCATCTCTGTGGGAGAGCTGCGAAAGCGGAGCCGCCTCCATGCAAGCTGTAGTAGTGGTAGAGGGCGCAGAATACTTCTTTGCGGCGCAAGAGTCTCGTGCGGCTCTACTGCGGGCCGCGCACCCTCTGCTTCGGGCTCTGCCGCGCTCATTGTTGTGATTCGCGAGACTTCCGCCGAGCTCTCAGGGTGTACCGCTGTAGCGCTGCTCTGAGGCACAGTCCCAAGCTTGGCACGAGCGCTCTTCTGAAGCGCCTCCACCGCATCCCTGAGGTGTTGGGCATCTGCCCCAGCTGATCGCCTCGCAGCGTCAGCAAGACACATGACTAGACACTTTGCAGGCCCCCCAGCCTCCTTATGGTGGGTCACCCTCGTGCCATCCTCCGCACGCTCTCGGGGAGAAACTGGACTGGTTGCATGCGACTGGGGGGAGGAGAGCTCACTGAACGGGCTCACAACTCTTCGGAGGCCTCTTTTGCTGCCTGGCACCTGCTGCTTCGGCGAGGGAAGCACCGATCTGTCGAATGCCTGCCGCAAGGTAGGCGGACCACCAGAGCCGCCAGAAGTCTGCGGAACTGGAAGCGCTAGCCCTGCTCCCCAGTAGGGGATAGACTTTTGGAGCGCCGTGGCCGCTGCAGCGGTGTAGGGGGCTAGAGGAGGATTGCCTGGTGACAGTCGGCGGGGGTCCAGGGGGGAGGTTACTGCTGTAGAAGAAGCGGGGGGAAAGCAAGGGACTGCAACTGCCTGGGTACTTGCATCCCATGTGACGCCCCTTTCCCGCGCGCTCGGAGCTCCCTGCTGTACCTCCGCGCCAGACTCCGAAGCTTCCTCCGTAATAACGAGGGCAAGCGCCGCCTCTCTCTCCACAGTAACAACACCCTCTCCCCAACGCTGATCGCAGTAGCTTGGCCGTCCCTGCTGCGGTCCCGACCCCAAGGCTTCAAAGGAAGCAGTAGAACCCCCTCGCTCCACATCGTGGCGACTGTCCCTTCGCCCTGTAAGAGAGTCGGCTCCTAGAGAGCCTCCGCTAAACGTGGCCTCAAAGGCCGCATCCTTGTCTTCTTGGGTGCCGCCGTTACGCCTCAGACTGTCAAGGAGAGCAGACGGGGATGAAGCTGCTCGAAGCAACAACCGACGGCCACCTAGCGGCCCCCACGGTGCAGGCGGTACGGCGTCGCCAGAGACGGCCCCTCTCTTTCCAGAAGAAAGCGCTGGCAAGCCTCTGCATCTTTGACGCTCATCGTTGGGCAGTGGAGGCCTCCTAGAGCTCCGCTTCGGCACTCTGGAATGAAAGGCGGCGATTTCCTGCGGAATGCCCGTTGCTCTTCGGACCCCGTCTGTTCTGCTAACAAACCCACGACTCTCCAGGAAGACGACGGCAGCGCTAATGCCATGGGGCTTGAGGAGTCTGTTGCTCATCAGCCGAATGCCTTCACAGAGTCGCGCAACAGTGCGAAGGGCGTAGAGAGGGCCCCCCATAAGCATGCCGAGAGGCCCACCGCCTCCCGAGGATGCACAAGCCGAAGGCAACTGTAACTTCCCACACCTCCCACACCTCGAAAAGGGGCTCGAGACATTGGGGACTGCTGTGCGCGTCTCTGGCGGATTCGAAGGCAGAGAAGTGCCCATACACTTGCCGACCTCCTGGGAACCCCCCACTTGGTAATCAGCGCCGCCCTTGGCACCCCTCCGGCCGTCATCAGTTTCAAGGTTTCTAAGGGCTCTGAGGGCACCCAGTTCTTCCGTCGTAAGTTCTTTTACTTTCTCGCTAAAAAAGTCGACAATGCAGGCCCACACCCAGGGCGAAGCCAGCTCCTCAAGAGCACCTTGTAAGGGATCCGCCGGGGTGCCTTTTTCATCTGCTTGGCGGAGCCCTCGAGCCGATCTGGGTGCCCCTGGTTCTCGAATTCCCCTGGCAAGTGTGAAGGGCACAGTCCGACCGTCCCCCTGAGTCAGCAGAACCAGAGGGAGTTGCGGAGAGCAACGGTAATCCAAAATGTTTCGATCGAGGTCCAGCACATCCACGAACCCCAGTGTGCAGTCTGGGTCGCAGCCGAACTTCAGGGCGAAGGACAGCTCTCGCGCGCGGATGCTGCGCCAGAACGACGCCGTAGCAGACACCCCAATGCCTCGACGTTGGCTGCTACCTCTCGCGAAACGCAGCAGATCCAGAAACCATCGCCACGGAGGGCCACGCCGCCCCCAAGGCAAGGCACCTGGCGATCCACCGTCACTCGCTCCTGAAGGCCCTCCAGAGAGAGTGCTGCAGAGTGCAATCAGTTTGTCTGCTCTGCGGCTTCTTGCTCTCCGGAGAAGCAGCGCCGCCAGAGGGGGATAAAGGAAAGACAGGGCGCCGTACAGACACACAAACGAACGGCTGAAACCGCAAAGGGAGTTCGCTGCTGCAGCGAACCCAGCAAATCGGTGGGGGATTATGAGAGGCTCCAGAAACGAGGGAGGCTGCCCATCCAAGCCCCAAGGAGAGTCAGGGGAATTGCGGCCATGTAGATAGATGCGCAGAACGTGGAAGGGCAGGTCCTCCAGGGTAAGGTGATGTACCGCCAAGTGCATCCGTCTCTCTTCGGTAGACCCACCAAGAAACCCCAAGGAACTCGAAGGAGACGGCTGCACCCCTCCAAACCCAGCGGCTGTGACGCCGCTTTCCAGTGCCCCAACATAAACAGGGATCGAGGATCTGGGGGATCCGAAGAGAGCTCCATAACCCCAGCCCTGTTGGCTGCGTCGCCGCGCCATCTCCCTTATGAGGGCTGCAAGGCCCAAGAGAATCACACACACAGCGCCCATGGGAAGCAGGACGGCGAAGGAAAGCAGAGCGTCCAATACGAAGCGGAAAAGAGGCAGGCAGCGGGGGTTGACAGCGGCGTCTGGATAGCCCTCCGCACACGCAAACGGGCACTGGGGGTCGCGCACGCCCTCTCGCGTGTAGAATGCCGCGTCCGACGGCTTGTTTGTGCAGCTGAGGCAAGCATCTCCTCCTCCAAGAGAGAAATATCCTACTGGGCAAGGGCTGCACCGCCAGCCGGCGTGACCAGGGGGGCATCCCAACGCGCTTCGCACCTCTCCAGGAGAGCCAGAGTAGCCTAGAGGCAGCTGCAGGGGCCCGCAAGCCGTCGAGGGGTCGCTACGCCCCCCATTGACGAGCAGCGATCCGCTGAAACCAGCCGCAAAGTTCAAAGGGCGAATCCACGGGATGAAGGCGCTCCCACCCTGGTGCCCCTGCAAGGCACCCGCTTTCGCTTCCGCTTCCGCAGCGAGCTGGCTGCTAACGTCGAAGCCGTGGCTCTTTGGCAGCCGCAGATCCGGTTCTGGAGGCAGGCGTTCTGGCCAGGTGAAGAAAGCTATGTCCCATAGAAAGTCGATGGCTCCTCCCCCGCCTCCACCCCCGGTGCAGCGGCCTCCTGAGCCGCCCTGCGCAGACACTGTGCCCCCCCCCAGGAGAATTGCCGTCTCAATGACTACGGAGCCTCCTGCCCCGCCACCCTGCCCAAGTTGTGCAGGGTCAGACAAAATACCGGAGAGCTGGCACGAAACGCTGTCCCTTGTGAAGGGGCTCCCGAGGGTAGCCTTATCATCCTCCTCGGAGCGTGACCTTTTTTGCGCTGGTCTCGTAGACGACAACAGTACTCCGTCATGGACGTTTGATTGGGATAGCGCCCCGCTCGAGAAAGACCCCTCCCCCACCTTGGTGCCCACGCCGTTCCACGCGGCAGCACCCGTTGAAACGGCAGCAGCCGCAGCTAAGGCTGAGAGGCCGGAGTCGCCTGCGCTTTCTGAGGACCCCCTTTGCGCCTCACCAACCGGGGGAGCAAGGGGTGTGCATTTCTCGGGGTCCACTTCAACGTCTATGATGGCATCTTGCATCAGCTCGCCCCCTCCACCATCAGCCAAAATCTGGCCCTCTACTGTAACGACCTGCCCCTGAACCCATACAACTCCTCCTCCACTCCCAGCTCTTGCGACGTCCCCTCCACCCCCTGAGGCGCTCGCTGTCGACGCAAAAGCCCTAAGACGCTCCCCCCCAACAGAGGCCTCCTGTGCTGCGGCAGCTTTAGAAGAAGGGAGGATCCTTTGCAACTTCGACACGAGCTCTCGGTCATAGCCGACGCCCCCACTACCCCTACAAGGAAATCCAGTTACCGCGTGGACGCCGTCTCCTCCAGACCCCACGTGCGCCCCACCTCCTCCCCCACACAACAGCGCAGACTCCACGGCTATATTCTGGGAATTGGCAGCTTCGCTGCTTGTTGAAGGCGAATCTAGAGCAACGCCTCGGCTTCCAGCACCAGGCCCTGAGACAACAGACACGGGCACACCGCAACGTCGGCAAAGAGCCAGCAGCTCGCATTTCCGCTGCACAGACTACCATGCAGAGGACATGCAAAGATCCGTCTTCCCTCTTGCTGTAACCTGGAGCAACAAGAACGTCGGGAGAGCACTCTAACAAAGACTCGCGTTCCAGGGCATCAGCCTGCAGCGCCTCGAAAAAGGGAGTGCACATATGGGTGTGCTAGACAGAGATGTCAGCAGGCCCCAGGAATCCGCGTTTTTCTTGCTGACTCAGAAGCAAGGCACTATTTGGCGTCGGACGCTCACCGTGAACCGGTTGACAGCCGCGGCGGCTTGCGTCGATCGTTCCCTGAAGCTGTGTATTGCCATGACCTCCACATACTAAAAGAGCTCCCCCGACAAGGGATGCCCCCGCCTCCAGCACGACACCGTCCCTTGCAAAAATAGTTGCGTCCAGGTGACCCCAAGGAACTGAACCTGCCTGAAGAAGTTCAACATCTGCCAAAGTTGCCGACGCTGCGACCCCATCGTTCAGGCGAGGGGCATCTTCGCCTCCAAGAGCAGCGGCAGCAGGCGACACCCGCGAAGTCAGTGGGAAGGGCTCCTGCTCCAAGGAGGCGAACGGCGTTTGTGAGGGCCATCGCAAGGAAGAAAACGCCGATGTTTCAGAGGATTCAGATGCCCCCTCATCAGACTGCATTCCCTCAAGACTCCGTTGAGGCGTCTTCAGTGGGGAATCACGCCCGGCCGAGGCTGATGCCTCTGCGCCCTCTGTCGCTGCTTCACTCTCAGACGCTGGAGAGCGAAGCGACGAACGGTGAATGCCCTCTGCGGAGGGAGCTTTGGGAGGTGAGAAGGCGGCCTCGGGCTCAAGCAATGCAGCCAGTCCTCTCCAGAAGCCACGCTTCTTTCTCTGTTTGGCAACTTCGCGAACGGGAGGGCTCAAAGCCTCTACAACCATCACTTTTCCCGGAAACCCCACAGGGGCTCCGTCTTCCAGGGAAGCAATCCCTGAGGCAGCAGCGTCTCCGTGCGGCTGCTCCCCTCTAGGCGGAGAATTCGCCCTCTCCTGCGAAAGGCCTTCCTCTTTAGCGTGGCGGCGTGACTCTCGCGCCTTCCCTTGGTGCCCGCCTTCTGGAGAAATCTGGCGAACGGCTCTTAGGAGCCTGTCGCTCCAGGACGCCTCGTGTGGTGCAAAGCCAGGCAGCGTGTTGCCCAAGCAACCAAACGCCATGCGCGAATCGGCAAGCGGGCGTCCACTGCAGCTGTCGCTGACGCCGACTCCCAAGGGATCTGCGACGTCTGCTTCCGCCGAGTTTGCACCAGAACTGCTTCGTTCAGCGTCCCGATAAGAGTCGGCACCCTGCAGCCGCCAGCCCTGGTATCCGTGCAACAAGGAGGGCGGAGAAGTCACGCCATCTGCCGCAGCAGCTGCCTGCAGCTGAGGAGCCACTTGGGCAGCAGTGTACTCCTCCACAGCAGTGCAGACGGTACTGTGATTCACGGCCGTGCCGTTAGAGGGCTTGCGGAAAAGCGGTGTGCGCCGCGCAGTGCAGCGATTGGGGGCTCCCACCGTGCAGCTCCCCCCCAAGGTGACCGTTCCCTGGCTAAGCAAAACAAGCCTGTCGAGTTGCTGCTCCCCACGCACCGACACCTCACGACCTCCAAAGAGAAGCGCCGTGGTTTGCTTCACGGGCACAGGGAGGCAGTCACTCGGTGTGGCCGCCACTACAAGGTTTCCATGCAGCATTAGCCGCTCTCCTGCGAGCAGACCAATGCCTGACGCTTTCGTCGCTTCGAGGGATCGCTGCTGCGAAACAGCGATTGCGGGAACAGTCTCCCCCCCGCAGAGAAAGTCTCTAGGTCCTGGAATGATCCGGATGGCTGCCCCCTCCCCGACGGATACAGAGGCTACACTTGACACAACGACGGCAACCCCGAGGAGACGCCCCGCAAGGGGGAGACTCTCGGAGCTGCAGGGGCCCTCTAGAGGAGAGCTCGCCGGCTGTGCCTCATTGCTGCCGCAGGGAGCCAGCACTAGGGCACTCCGTTGACGGAGGCGGATGCTTCCCTCTGCAGCGTGTAGATGGAGAGGCGCCAGGACGTGTAGCGCAGAGCCTGCACGGGCGTACAAAAGTAGGCAGGTAGTAAGCCAACAGCTCGCGCCATCAGAGACGCAGCGAGTACAAAGGGGGGCCCACATGGGGGCCCCCTAGGGCAACTCGGGGAGCAGCTTTGCGGTGTGCTCGTAGTGCGTTGACGACGCCTTTACTGCGCGTGTTAGCCCCCAATCCCCCCTTGGCAACTTCGTGCCTTACACACCTCGAGTGCCACCATGCAGCAGCAGACTCCCTAAAACGACCTTGGGCTCCTTCCGGGGCCCTCCTTTCTCAGAGGTCTCCTGCCGAGAGGCTTCAGGTCCTTTTGGCACTTCATGCCAGCCTCGCGCCTCGACGGCTGCTGAGACACTCCCAAAAGTGACCACGGCTGCTTCCACAGCAAGCGTAATGGAAGGGGCGTAAAGAGGCACCGGCAATGGGGTTGGCTGCACACTCAGGACAGCAAGAGCTTCTAATCCAGAGGGAGCCCCCATCGGCGCTCCATCCACAGAGGCGATCCCGAGCAGTGTGCCCGCGACTTCGCCTCCTTCGAGTACTGGGCTGTTACGGCCCCCTTGATTGGCAGTCTCGTGCGTGCTGCGCAAGGGACGAGGCGCCGCTGGCGTGCCGTTGGATTCCCACGCGTTCGGCTGGGAGGCAGCAGCTGCGGCGATGGCCGTTAGCTTGTTCGCAACAACTAACCGGCGATGAGCCCTCGAAAAGATGGTTCCTCCTCCCCCGCAGAGACAAGGCATGAGGTCCAATCGGTTGCTGCGTAGGCCACAACCCCCAGGCGCCAAAACCTGAGACGCGGCGGAATAGAAATCACAGAGAAACGAGTTCAGAACGGCCCTTGGTTTCTGAATGCAGCTGCAGCCTGCGAATTAGCGCGAGTATTCGCGGAAGGGAAGTGCCAAGTGAATGACTCCTGAAGGCTACGTACCACGGGGTCCAGAGGGTGCGGCTGCTCTGCATATATCGCAATGCGGCCCCCACCCCCCGCTGCACATTCCCAACTGCCGGCTCCTGAAGACTCCTGAGGGGAAGCGCTTGAGTGCTCCGAGGCGGAGCCAGAGCGCTTGCCTCCTCTACCCGGACGCCCTCCTAAGCAGCCACCTCCTGCGGCTGTGACCCTCCCACTGCGCATGTGGCTAGCGAAACTCAAGGATTCCGCTACTAGCACTATCGACCCCCCACTCCCCCCAGCCGCGCAGGTCGCTACAGGTCGCCTCGACGTGTGAGCTCCCGCCGCTGTCACGCGTCCAGAGGAGAAGCTAACCAGCCTGAGCATGAGAGATTTCAACGCTCTAACGGCGCTCCGTCTCGCCGGCCTCGACTCAGCGATGCCTACCGCGCTGTGGCTCTGATGCGCAGACTCTGAGAGCTCCCAGTGCTCCTCCCCACATCCCCACCCTGGCTCTCCCGAGGAACTGACCTGACCCTCCACAGCAAGATGCCGCGCCGCTACAATGACAACGAGGCCTCCTCCTCTAGGGGGTTGGAGGGCAGAGTCGTGCTGCGAGGGCTGCCCGCTAGAAGCATCCTGTAGAGGGCGTTTCGAGCTGCTCACACGGCTGCTGTGCAGAACGCCAGCCTCGCCCTTGCTGAGGGGCAGCAGCATGTTGCCTCGCACCTCAAGAGGAGCCTTCAAGGGGTGGCCTGCAGTCAGAAAGCGGCTCGCGCACAGGGAGAAAAACCCGCATTTGAGACTTGAAGTCTGTGGTGGAAGCGCTTTAGCTAAGAGACTGCGGAAAGGGCTGAGTGGCACCAGGCGGCACGAGAGAGTCGTACTGAAGGCGGTAGCTTCGCAACGGTCGGTAGCAACACCTCCCAGGCCCCCATGGCTTCCACCTCGCAGCTCAGCCTCTGAAGTTGGTTCCAGCTGAGGCACCCTTTGGGTGGTCTCCCCCTTTTTTCCTTCTTGTGGAGCAGCGTCGCTGAGTGAAGCTGGACCGGAGATGGGGGCAGTCGCAGGCAAGGAAGAATTCCCCTGTGGCAAGGGGCCCTTCTCCCCAGGCATCCGCCCGACGGCCAGGAGTGCCTTTAGCCGTCTGGCGATATTCTCGAGGGGGGCGTTCGTAGAGAGAGGTTCTAGCTCGAGGGTTGCATCGGGATCTGGGGAGGTGTAAGGGGAAGGGCCCCTCAACTGGACGGTGCCTGAGGCGGTAATATCTGCCGTCTCTGCCACAGTCACGGAGTCACCCGTAAACAGCAACGTCTCGGTGCAGTGAAGCCGTGCACCTCCCAGGAGTCGGATGCTGCCCACCGTGCATAGTTCTATGCGTTGATCGGGGGGGGGTCTTGCGGCTGAGGCTCCTCGGACTGTCGTGGCACCCCTCGCAAAATTAGGGGCCCATGCAAAGCCTGAAGGCCCCCTGACGCGGAGTCGACGCCGCTTTCCTGGAATGGCCTCTCCCCTAAGAGCTGACTGCGTGCACTTAATAACAGCGCCTCGCACCTCAATGTCTCCCTGGCTGCGAATCCTTAAACCCTCGACCCAGCGTGGCTCTGGGGGCCCCCGGCGAGGCGCCGACTCCCGCCATCGTCGACGGCGGTGCCACAGCCTCATATATCCCGCGGATATGACGCAGATCCCATCTCTAACGAAGTCGCAGGCGCTTAGATCCTCGGATCCCCCGCACACGTCTTCCACAGAGGGTAGGGGGGCCTCGTGCTCGGGGGAATCGACGCCTCTGAGAGCGGCGCTCTCTGACGGTTCGGTGACACCCGGCGTCTCTCCATCCTGAGCGTAAACGGCCCTTTGGAAAGCGCCCTCTCTGAGGAGGATCCGAGGCAGGTGTCCAGGCACCAAGACCGCCAAGAGAAGAACGCGAAGGAGGGTCCAGTGCATCGCCATCATCACCACGAGCAGTCCAGGCTGCTTATGGCCACCACGAATCCTCCAACAGCCGTGGAGTGACCCTCACGCCGATCCCTCTGCTTGGCTTCGCCCCGATCCATTTGTCAAGGGGAAGCGTGAGGCTAGGGGCCCTCCCACTCGAGGGGCTCTCAGTTTTCGACGGCGAGGAAAATGTCCTTGCCTTGATGCTACACAGGTATATAATCATTAACAATCGCTGTGATTTATAGTGCTAAAAATTAGAGAAGACATCCAGAGGGGGACGAAGAGGAGCGCTGTAGCTGGGCCTTTATTCGGATATACCTTGGTACGAAGACAGTGTGGGACAGTCAGAAGGCTGCTCCTCTTTTGTGTTCGCTTGAGGACCTAAATAAACACAATTTGGGCATAACGTCCTGCGTACTGGCAAGAATTTCGAGGCATCAGGGGGCCAGCGCACGTCCAGTAGGGAGCATCTGTCTGCCCATAGGGCGCTGGCTCATGGGCACTTGTTGTAACGAAATCCAGCAGACGGACCCTTACCCAAAAGCTGTCCATTTATTCTCCCACATAGCATTTTTCGGCGTGTTTCCCTTTGGCGGCTGAGGCCTGGTCGCTTTCCATGACAGTAAACACTAACTCCTTCATAGAACTGCCACCTCACAGGAGATAATGGGCACTCCCGCCCCAGCATTCGTAAGAAGTCAGCAGCGTTTGCCATAGCTCATGATCATTCCAGAGTCAACAAGCCGTTTAGCCGCACTTTAAGTATTTTTAATGTCGCTACTACCCATGGTTAACGACCTTGGGCCCCTTCAACGAGGTAGGTCACCTGCCCTCGGGCAGGCTTGCGCATGAAATGGCGCAAGACATAGTCAGTGCAACCTGGAAAGGGCTGAAGTTACTTATAGTATGCTGCTGATCTCCATAGAGGGCGTCTGTTGTCCATTTTTTGGAGACTGGTGAGTAGATGCCGATGCAAAAGTTTGTTGCGTTTATAGTACTTTCCAAATCGCACACAGAGCTGAGTCAACCACTTGAAGGGGAAACCACATTCGCGTTTTGTGTGGACTGATGGCTTTGACTGACTGCTGAGAGGCGTAGGAAGGATAGCACTGGCATCCCCCATGACTAGCTACTTCAATACAATGCGCTACACCACCGGCGGTTACATTCAAACGGAGTCGGGAAGTGGTGGACGCCGTCTTGCGAACCTGAATATATCTCTGCACTTGGCATACAGGATGCGCCTGATAAAGCAACGTGCAATAAATTTGCCTAAAGAGCATTTCGCTTTGAACATTAAAAATCATTGGCAATAGGCGGGCGTAATCCCCAATAAAGAGCCTATGAATAATACATTTTTCAAGACCCATCACGAGTTTCGCGTTCTCTGTGTGCCTACGCCGAAGAGGCTCTGCCGATATTCAGAGAAAGCATCTCATGAAAGGATCAGAATTTCCCGTAGGAATAGAGCTCACACTAGTGTGCACTTGTAATCACCGCAAGAAAAACCATCATTACGCTGCCTAAGATTAGTTTAATCAAAATGGAGCATATCGTTTAGGTGGTGCGGTGCTGTATATAACTGTCTCACCCATGGCATGGAAGCAGCTGCTTGAACAAACTGCTGTGCCGCCTGTTCATCGAATTCGGAAATCTGTAAGGTAGCACAGGTTTTTGACACGATCACTAAGGCCACAGAAAAAGTCTGAAGCGATAGAAACACTTAGGGAGAGCAAAATAGCAGAGATTCCCATCGCAAGAGTCCAATGGCGCTGCGAAGTTGAGATGTCTTTCAAAGTAAATACAAAAAAGCCCTTCTGAAATAATACTTCGTCAGGTAGAGCTTTACATGTAAAAGCAAGTTGGAACCTTTATGTTCCCCTTCAATAGTACTGTCTACACTGCGTACACCCATTCACACAGAGCAAAGAGCCTTATGGGTAGAGGTGCCCAAAGAGTTCGGTGGTTGGAGGCTGGATTTCAATTGTCTTGTACTTTCAAGGGCACTCGGCTCTATTGTTTTAACGCATAAAACTACTAAGGCTAAAATCCCCATAAGTTGCCTGCAATCTCTATCGGTTTCACGGTAGATGGTTCCATAAAGTTTGAAGCTGAGTAGCTCACCACTGGGAAAGCAGCCAGGCGCTACACTACCTTCTCAGTGCCAACTCCATGAAGCTGTAGCACATGTACGCATTACGACAACTGCAGTTGGTAGCCAAATAGCCGCCCAATAATTCTCTTCGCTCTGAATCCTGCCATTCGAACAGAAGCTCAAGAAGCTACTACTGCACGTATTGTGTACTTTGTCAAAGCTGAGGTCTCCAGAAGCTCTAACCGAAAGCTAAGTGCACCCAGCACTAGCTCCTCACTGTCTGCGCATCTGTCTGTACTTCCCTTTATAGCCTATCCAATTTTCTTACGCTCCAGTGACAACGGCCGTACACAAGCGAAGGAAGACCCATTGCTTTCGGCGCTCATGGGTGATTGAATTATTAAGAACACATATTTCTGGCATGTTCCTCTATGGTCGAAACGCTTCGTTGGCCGGTCGCCGAATATTCTGTCGCATTTTAGAATGGAACTCCACTCCGCTAAGAATTACCTGGGTTGTTGTGGAGGGAGTGTGCATCTTGAGACAGCTAAATGTTTCGCGCCTCCTACAAGACAATATTAGAGTGTGCAAAGGCTACATGTGTTGGGAGTCAAGGTAGCACAACCTGAGAACTTCGGCCAGCCGACGGCCGCAGCCGACTGCTGAACGCATGTCTGCATGACCGTTTGTGCGCACGTTGCAGCTCCCCAAAAAGAGAGCTAAATTCCCCTTAACGCTTCTATCACCAAAGACTTTAATGCCTCATGTGTGTTCTTTCTCCCTGCCTTCTCTGGACTCCGCGACCTGCCAGCTCTCGACAGCTGGGCGTGCCGTAGGCCACCAGCGCCGATGATCAGTTGCTATACAAAGATAAAAGCGTGTATCGCTCTCTGCTGACGGCGAACGCTAAAATTCGTGACTATTCTGCTTGTGAAAGCATTAAGCGACCCAAAAAAAGCGTGAAACTGCTTGTTCACCACCGCTGCCGACCCGCGTGTAGCTGCGGGCGCGAACACCAGCCTCGCTGACCTCTGAAGTACGGCGCATTTCCGGTGTTTCTGTGCTCGTTTGCTTGTGCTGGCGCATACATCCATCCCCTTTAGCCATTGACGAGACGTGAGAGAGCGCGTCTATGGAAGAGCCGAGCGCATGTGGCGACCGGCCTGTGGGCACTACGGAGGCGTCTGACGCTATGGCTCTCATTGCTAATGACCTCCTCTCTGCGTCCGACGCAAATGAAGACACGCCATCTATGCTTACGGCTTCCGAAGAGGTGTGGGGGACCATGAAAAGTGCAGAGGCACCAGAATGCCGAGAATCGTCGGACCTGCTTACCCATACCTTGCAAAAAGTGGGCATCCCCCCAGCTCCACTGAAGAACGAGAGCCACAACGATAGAGACAGCTGCAGTGAAGAGTTGATTAAAAGTCAGGTTACAGGGGCTTTTGCGTCTGCAGACGCGCATTTGTGTGCACCAAAATTAGCCGACGCGGAATTTCCCGCAACTCCTCATGCAGCGAGTAACTTGGAGGAGGCTCGGAAGGGAGAAAAGGAGGAGCGCAGTGCATCAGAAGACACAGCAGTCCCTTCTTTGGAGTCTGAACCAGGCCAGGGCAGCAGCTCGCTGCTCCCGGAGGGAGTCTACGCTGTGGGGGAAGGAACACTCGTAGAGGACAACTTTGCGTTTAATGAAGATGACATGCATGCTATAGCGACTGCGTTTCAGACCACCAGTGATATCACGGCCGTGGACCTCACAGCTGATAAGGAGAAGACGAGAGAGCGAGCTGCCAGTTCTGGTGCCGCCGTTCCTCCGCAGAGTACCCCGTCAGCTCGTCTGACCGAGCTTTGCACAAAGGCGCAAGGAGCTGACAGACACAAGAACAAAGCTCCACTTGGTGAAGCATCGGGTGATACCTCTTACTGGCCTTTTGAAAGTGGCTTGAGGCCGTGGGAAGACATCGGGCAAGAAGCTCGCGAAACTGCCGAAGGAGTGAACGGCCACCAGCTTGAGGATTACAGAAAGATCCGTATTTGGGTTGTTTATAGGGTATGGCCGCTCTACCCTATTGACAGTCATAGGTTCCCTTTTCTAATTTCCTAAGAGGTTTCTAGCTTCTAGCATATCACTCGTGTATCCTGGCCTGAGGTCCAGGGAGTACAGGTCAGTGGGGTGTCTGACGGGGGGCGACTAGATCTCTCTCTCTCTCCTACAACTGAAGACTCAAATCGCGTGCCTTTTCTCCGAAATATCGTCATCATTGGTGCATGCATGCATATTTCGCACGCACTGCTGCGGTGTCATGTGTGTCGTGCGTAGGGTGTATACACGCCCGTTTCGTGGCCGTTGGACACCTGTGCAGAGGACGTGAAAACGTCAGTGCTGTGTGCATGCGACGTCATGGCGGATGAAGGAGAGGACTCGGAATCTTCGAAAGCAGGAGCCGGCTTCTGCCTCAGGCAAATTCGCCCGTTGCCAGACTCGTGCGTTGCGAAAAAGACGATATGCGGGTTTGAAGTCGTGCCCTAGGGCGGAGGGCCTTCCTTTGGCGGTTTGATCAGCGCATGCATCGCCTCCTCGAGAGGTGGAGTGTCAGTAGGCGCAGCATCCACATTCCGATCTCGCAAGAGTGAGATTCATGGATCTTGCCGGGCGACTTTTTTTCCTGCGCTGCATGTGCTCAGAGCCGAGGTTGATGGCGATGATTTGTTTCGGGGGGTCAAAACGCTGACTTTGCGCTCTGACCTGCCCCCTCCAGCGGAGGAGGCGGAGGGGAATTCTCGGCAAGGCAGCGAGTCAAACGGTCCTCTAGACGGAAGCTCGAAAGGCGAAAAAGGTAGCTCTGAGGTTCGTGTTCGCGTAGTGCTAGGCCCTCGTATGTTTTCAAAGGACTTTCCATCGCTGACAGACGGAGCCACCTACTTGCTAGAGCCCTACTCCACAGAAGCGGAGGATGCACAGCAACGCGCGGAGCTGTCCAACCTTAGGAAATTGACCGGCGATAAGTGGCGGAGGATCTCTGTCGCTATAGAACCAATGCGTCACATCGAGGCTCAAAAAGCGATCCTGCAAATGCGCAGAGGCAAGGCCGACGCCGTTGGCTAGCTAGGAGCGTTCCCAGGGCGCGTAGAACCCCTTCAGCTGGCTTAAATCGTAGATTGAATAAGGGCGATTCCTGCGAGGGGGTTCAGCAGTCAGAGAGCCAGTCGCAAGCTGGGCATATGGAAGGAAGCATTGCTCGATACACTGCTAGTGCGTTCTGTCGCGTCTCAGGCACGAACCTGCTGAAGCACACGCGGTTTGGGCATCCACACCTCCGACAGTTTCAGCTGTCTACTGACCATCAGCGGCTGCTTTGGTACTCTGCCAGCAAGGGCAAAGACGCCTCCATGGTCCACATGGGAGACTTGGAGGGGCTTGTTCTCGGTCAGAAGTCCGTAACGTTTGGGGGTTACAGAATACCCACGCTGTCGCATTTGAGCTTTTCGCTCGTGTTTAGGGACGGGGAGCCTTCAAGGGCATACGCAGAGACTTTGTTGCTTCCTGATGCCACTTTGGAAGAAGCAAGAACCCTGGATCTGACGTGCAAAGACGAGTTCGAGTTCGACGCTTGGGTAACGGGGTGCAAGGCGATTATTGCAGCAAACAAAGGACTCAAGCTTTCGAAGATGCACCTCCTCTCGCATTCACGGCGATTTTTGTATGTTCTGCCGTTGGGAGTCTGGTGGGGGACTGCTCTGTGGTGCAGCACTTCCAGGCCCTTGTAGTTCTGCGCTGGACTCCCCAAACGTTTTTGTCGAGTATACGTATATGACAGAATATGCGTGAAACACTCGACGTACGGACTCCCCCTGAGCCAAACGTCATTCGCTCCCGCAAGTGGTCCTGCTCGTGTCAGTCCCTCCTCTTGCCTTTGCCCTTGCTGCGCGTTTAGGAAAGCGATGCAGCGGAGTCAAACAACCGTGCAACTCACAAAGCTGCCAGAGGTCAAGGAAAGCGCTGGTCTCCAAGACTGCATGGACTTGCCATGGCATCCCCCGGAGGAGCTCGAGAGGTGAGAGCGTCAGGGAGGCGCATCGCCCTTGGAATCGGCACGGGGCACGCAAGCAGCGCAACGAGCTTTCTTCAACGTCAGCCCTCTTCCCTGCGCCTCCCCTGCGGTTTTGTTCTTGCTGCAGAAAATACGAGGAGCAAAAGAAGCGGCTCGACGCAGCGGCTGAGGAGGTTCGTTGGCGCTGGAAGGCCTCGCCCCGTGCCGTGCAACGGTCGCCAGCTTCAGAGGGGAGACACGCAGGCAGAGAGCTACTGCATGGCAGTCTCTGTAGGACTGTGAAATTCGAGAACAATGATTCGAAGCTCTCCACGCTCACTGTCTCGGCTTTCCTTGCGTTTGCAGATGCGGGGCCTAGACCGAAAGGCGATCGTGCGCTCAAACGTAGATTTATCGGTATTCGTGGGCGCCGTAAGCGGAAGCTACAACTCGTAGCGTCATACAATACTTCTGCCGTCCCTCCTCAATTGGGCTTTCTTGATCTCTCTAAAGAGCCAGGCTGCCGTCCGCATACCCAATTAAAGCCCACATTTAAGAGCCGATTCTCGAGGCAACAATACTCCCTCTTGCGCATTCGGTGCATGGCTCCTTCAGGGCCCTGCGTACGCCACCATCTTGGGGGATTGCGCTGAAGTGGACGATGAAGATATGGAGTTTGAGCGTATGCTGGAGCTTGTAAAAGAAGTAACGCAAGTGCTTACCCAAGCAAAAACAGAGTTGCGAGGTCAGAGCCGGCGGGCCCTCTTTCTTTGCTCGTGGCAGCAGCGATTTTCATGCACCCTAAATGCACAGTAATCTAGCTTGCGCAGTAGCAAAGGCTCGCGAAAACCAGCGCTCAAGTGTGTGTGGTGCAGCAGACAGTCTTGCAGTAGCGCGTAGACCCTCTTGCTGTCGAGTCGTCTCTGCGCGCCGCACGGAGAGACGCGTCCACGATGCGTCCTCGATGGCTGACTCTCTACTAATAAAAGGTCTAGCAGCGAGTGCAGAGAGTATCACACAATGCGTATGTCGTCACTTTGCTTGTTGCTCTTGCTGCAGAATACAGAGAAGCTGAGAGTACGCGGTTGCAGCAGGAGCGCGTGGAGGCTTCAGCCTGCATGGAGTGCACAGTCTTGAACCCTCCCGGCAACAGTGAGGCACCAAGCCCCGCATCCGAGGAGTCTCCACGGGGTACCGACCAGGAAGGCCGCCTGTCTCCTTCGCTAGAAGGCTTGGATAGTTCTTCGATCCTTGCCATTTCATCGGGAGGCCAAGTCCTCACGCGGTCGGGATCCCCCGGACTGACGTTTGAAGAGCGCTTCAAGATGGCATCCGGCAGCTCTGTAGACCTCGATGCAGTGCAGGAGCAGTTGAAAGAGGGCCTTTCGACACTGCTGCAGCACGCGGCCTCCCAAACAGCGGAAGCGCAACAGCTTCTCTCCTCGGCTCTCGCAGCGGCTGCCTCGGCAGTTGGAGTGGAAGCCAAAAGCGAAACAGAACCCCCCCCGACACTGCCTGAAGAGGACGTAAGAGCAGCGCTTCGCCACACGCGTCACGGGCAGCGCGCCAGCCACATAGGGGCATTGGTGTGGGCCCGAGGGGTAGCAGTGCCACGAGCAGACAGACAGAGCTGGCTCTTCTCTCTTTTTCGCGTGATGAGCTGCTACAGCCGGAGCGTTACCGTGCGTTGTGTGCACCGAGATAGCTCTTGGTAGTACGGGAGCCGGCTAGAGGGCCCGCGCTGGCTTCTGTCCCCTTTTTTTGTAGGTGGTTAAACTCAAGTCCATCAATCAGCTGCTGTGGAGGGCAGAGGTAGACGTCGAAAATATCGAAGATATGCTGGCGCGCCTCCAGGCCTCTAGCGGATTCGGAGGCCTTGCACTGGCGGGTACCGTGGCCAATTTGAATCAGATGGTGACTGAGCAGGTTAACAAGTGGGGCGGCCAGGTCAGTGTGTCTGCACTATGCAAACTATAGATACATGCCTGTGTATCTTCAGCTTGCGCGAGTTCACGCCTTGATGGGCAACTAGTTCGGACGTTGCGCATGCTGCAAATGCAGCTCTAGAAACGCTGTTTCAGGGCCTTCAGTATCACTGGAAGCTCCGCATGTAGTGGGGCTCATGCTTGTTCACAATTGCCAGATGACAAACGCAACGGGCCTTGTTTAGCCACACCCCGCATGCTCCACTCGTGGCTTTGGCGAAACAAGCTTTGTCCAGCTTCATTGATGAAAAGCCTATGCGAACTGGACTGGCCCTATGTGCTGCTGTGGTGCCAGATTGCGTCCATGGTGACGGACCTCTTGCGGCGAGCAGAAGTCCCACAACTTGTGTCGCCTACGGGGCTTCATCAGTGGCCATCGGTTGCATATTCGGACTCCGAATACGAAGACGATTTGAGCTAAGTATAATGAGGGCCTTGAGGGTCTTGAAGCGATGTCTTCTCGCCTGGAGTTTTTCCTTGGGGCGTACTTTTTGCAACGTTTGATGTAGGAGAGTGCACGGAAGGGCCAAAATTCCACCATAGTCTTTTTTAGACCAACCCTTCCAGACTCTTATAGGACTATTGGTGGAAAACTTGCATTGCCTGGTCATCCTATCAACACGGCAAACCAAGGGCTCCACAGTTCTCCAAAATTCAGGCATAGAACGTGAGCAGGCAGTGCTACATGTGATACTACAGAAGAAGTTGCTGCCTCGCCGTAAGCTTGGCGCGACCAGCTGGATAGGATGCAATATGCTGCGCCTGAGTCCGAAGCAAACCACTTATAGCAGCAGGTCACCCGCGGCATTGGCAGCACTAATACATTTCGGACCGCTCGGTGCACGAGTGGGGAAGAGTGCACGTTGCCGACGCACGCCCTACTGAATCAGATTGGTCCACCGCTAAGGAAGGGACGCCATGAGGGTCCCGTGGCTGCGATACAGATGATACGCTATAGGCGGAGTGCTAAAGGGCCCTGTTCCACTGGCCAGCAGTCTTTAGTACAGAATTCATGCTACACTCAGGATGAGGACGAAAGAAGGGCTTCTGCAAAGGGTGCATCGCATGGCATGGAAGGCCAACCTAGAGGCGTTGCGTGCATACACCTCTTGACGACTTTTGGCAGGGATCTAAGCTTCCTACCCTGTCCTGATACCTCAGGAGGCCAAAAGTGTTGATTGCGTATAGTAAAGCTCGTAGGACGAGAAGTGGTGCTGGGGAGAGAGTTAGGCTATAGAAGAACAACCGATACGGCTCTCCTGATCAATTTGCCGCCCACTTCCACAGGCCACTGCACAGCAGTACTCCTTGGGTGCCCACATTTTAGTGCAGTGAATCAGCCATAAGGAAATCGTGGGGAAATTTTCAGACCTAAAATTGGGCTACAGCATGTAATACAACCGCAACAAACCTAGTCCGTTCAGCGAAAAACGCTCGCTCCTCTCTTGAGTGCTCAAGGGGTTAAGGAGTCGAATGAATTTACAGAACCCGGCATTACGATCACACAGAAGCCACACTTTGGAAAATTATAGAGCCTCTATTTAGTTACAAGAGGCCCCGCGACGAAGCGCTGAAAATCACTTGGGAGCTCCCATGAACCCTACAGTAGCAGTGCTGCTTAACCAGCAGGCCTTCCTGGGTGTTAGGTTCCTGTAAATGTGTGGTTAATGTGAGATTGTGCTATTGAATGTCAGTACAAATCTTCTGACTGCCCATGCCCCTGCTGGTCAGAAGGAGGTCCCTGCATTTGTTCTCATGTGAATCCCTACAGAGCACGGCTCATTTGGGCTTCTCCTTGAGGCCAGAAGCGCCTTTTTCGCTTTGAGGGCTGTTAAACGTGCATTACGTCTCACTGGTCCAAGGAGTGTATGACCGCCAGCAAGGGCAAAAAGATTTGGCGCCACCCCTGGCGGCTGCTCGGTCTCAAGTGCATGCATGTCGGACCTGCATGGCTGTGAAGAAGATGCAGTTGACTTCATTGTTCCATATTTAGATTCAATTAAAGCCATTCGTACTTTGCTTTTGTCGCTTGCTGCTCTTTTATGCAGATCTGCTCATGATTAAAAACACGGCTTCCCTGGTACATGCATACCTTGGCTGCAGTGTGGCGGTTGATCTGCCTTGCTCCCGAAGCGAACTGATACGTGTATTTTCCTGCTTCTTATCGGGATAGTCCCTTTATAGATTGGGAAATCAGGACTTTTGTCTTTGAATGCTGGCCGCAGGGCAGTGGTGGCAGCGGCAGTTCCCTCCACCCCGCGCCGGATTCTTTTGGTCTTCCTCTCTTTCTCTCTCTTGTTGTGTCTCTGGCGCTCTGTCTCTCTCTCTCTAGCGAAGATGTATAACGGCATTGGGCTGCAGACCCCAAGGGGAAGTGGCACAAATGGATATGTACAGCGAAACCTCGGATACCTCCGCCCGAGGAGGACAGACATGCCAGGCTTTGGCCAGCTCGGGCATAAGCCTATAGACCAGCCTAAGGTGCGACAGGCGGACCCCGCCCTGCTACTTCATGAGCAGCTTCGCCGTGTGGAGGTGAAGTTGATGCACGAGAGGGCCAAACTGGAGGAGCAGGGGCTGTCGGCGTCCAGAATCGACAAGATGATCGATACACTGCGCTCGCAGCTCACACGAGAGGCTCATGTAGAAAGCCAGCGGCTCGGTTCCCGTATGGGTACTCAGGAGGGCATCTTTGGCCGCAGCTTGTTGCAGATGGAGCCCTCCATGGATACTCACGAAGGCGCAGCGTGGAAGCAGCGGCAGCTCGAACAGGTTGCGTCGGCCCTTGGAGTAACCAGCAGCCACGAAGTGGGGGCTGCATTCAACTGGGAAAAGCAGAAAGAACTTAAGCTGCAGAGGCAAAGAGAATGGGAAGAGCGAAAGCGGCGCATGATAGAAGAGCGAAAGGCAGCTATCAAAGAGATGAGAGAGCGGCGTAGGCGGCACAAGGAAGCACAGCGGCCCGCAAAGAAGCACAGAAAGCGCAGCATCAGTAGTAGCAGTACGAGCAGCAGCAGCAGCAGTAGCAGCAGCAGCAGCAGTAGTAGTAGCAGCGATAATAGCAGCAGTGATAGTAGTAGCAGTGATAGCGATGCCAGCGGCAAGAACAAGATGAAGGAGCTCGTGCAAAAGCGCATGAAGAAGGAGGAGATCGTGGACCCTGCAGTGAAGAGAGAGTTGCTGGAGAAGCAGCCTTCGCTTCGCGCTCTGACCGAGCACGCGAGCCGGATAGCGCAGGAACGTGAAGCGGCGTTATCCTCTGGAGGTGGTTTGTGTGGGGAGGCCTCTTTTGGTGGGGTAGAGAGGCGGGAGGAGAGTCCTCTGTTGTCTGACGACCAGGAGTCGAGGCTAGAGAGTCGGGTAAAGCGTAGCCGTAGTCATGATCATCCGAGCAGCGAAGGGGAGCACATGAGGCGCAATAGCCAGCGGTGGAGACACTCGGGGAACACGGCAGTGCAGGGGGCTGCTGGCGAGCCTTTACAAAGTCGCAAGGGAAGGCGCGAAGATGAAGACGACGCAGAGGGGAAGCCTTTGAGAGGAGAAATCTGCCATGCGCGCGGGGGAAGGGGGCCAGTAGAGGGCAGCCGCGAACGCGATGCAGCAGACGAACGTTGGCGGATTCCTGTCCGTGGAAAAGGCTGGGGAGACAGGCATCGCGAAGTCTCCTCCAGAAGCGGCAGAGGGCGAGATGATGGTGAAGAGCATGGAGGGGAGAGGAGCAGACGCAGAGGGGAGGAAGGAAGAGAGAGGCTTGTGGAATCACGACGCGACGATCGGGAGCGGAGGGCAGGAGACGCCAGGCACGGTGAGAAAGTACAGGAGGAAAGCATTGGCGAGCAGAGGAGGGCTAGGGAGAGAGAGCGCACGCTGGTGGCAGAAGAAAGAAGGCGTCATCGTGATCGAGATGATGAAGACAGTGGTAGGCGTAACCGTGATAGAGATGATGAAGACAGTGGTAGGCGTAACCGTGATAGAGATGATGAAGACAGTGGTAGGCGTAACCGTGATAGAGATGATGAAGACAGTGGCAGGCGTAACCGTGATAGAGATGATGAAGACAGTGGCAGGCGTAACCGTGATAGAGATGATGAAGACAGTGGCAGGCGTAACCGTGATCGAAATGATGAAGACAGTGGCAGGCGTAACCGTGATCGAAATGATGAAGACAGTGGTAGGCGTAACCGTGATCGAAATGATGAAGACAGTGGCAGGCGTCATCGCGATAGAGCCGATGAGAGGGAGACACGAGATAGGCGGGAAAGAGACATGGCTGAAGCAGACAGGAGCCGAGGAAACATGTACGAGGAGAGGAATGGTGGAGAACGTGGGAGATGCTGGACCAGAGAAGAGGATCGCGAAGGGCGAAGCCATCATAATTCAGATCGCCGGCGTCCTCAGGAAAGCTCACGCTGGGAGTTGAAACATCCAGGAGACGCCAAGGAAGCGACTAAGGAGCGGCTTGGCAGCAAGAGACCCTCAGAGCGAGAGAGAGAAGAAACGGCTACTGAAGAGCGAGCAAATGGGGGTTCGCGTTGAAAGCATGCCTTTTCTGCACACCAGGGAGCACTTCTGCCATTTTGGGGCGGGAGAACAGGCGTTCTTCTGAGGTTACATGCAAGGAGTCTCTGTAGATGGGGTGGCGTCGTAGGGATTGGGGATAGGCTCTGCTGCGGCAGCGGCCCTCTTTGCCTGCTTTCACACTTCGTAGATATTCTTATGTTGTGAGAGCAGCGTGTGCTGTCCTATCTTTCACTTTACTGCCGCGAGAAGTGGTGCGGCAAGAGATGCACGGGTATCTGGCCCTTATGGCCCTTTCCCACGAGCAGCTTCCAGTAGAGTGCAGAGTACTCGTCCCATGGTCTTTATTTTGGCGGCCTTGGTCTGGCAAATGGTCACTTTTCAATTCCTCCCGAACTTCCGCCACATGACGGCTGACCAGTAGCTGTCTGACGGATTGCAAGTGTGCGAGTGCTGCTCCTCTCGGAACGGGGAGCTTTTAATTTCCCAATTCGTTGAACCCGTCTACAGATGAGCGCGCTGAGGCGTTTCCGCACCGTATATAGTTGTTCCTCTAGGCTACTAAGCTATGGTATTCCCAGAAAAGAGCGGCAAAGAGGCTTGTCTCGTGAGTCTTAGGGAGACACTCCGATGAGCCGGTGGCCGTTGGATGGGAGGGGGAATATACATTGTGACAGTCCTGCTCTTCCCCCATCCATCTAGCTTGCCTAGCGGCCTATAATCACGGGGGTTCTAAGTCGTAGCGTCTCTAGCTGCTCTCAAAAAGATTTGTGTGGCACTTCAGCTGCACAACAGAAGGCTGGCACTGAGGCGTCGTCTTACGCACTTAGAGGTGCCAGGTCATAAAGGGAGGCGTGCGGCCACAAAGAGCGGTTGTCCGGCAACTTTCTTTTGCCTTGTCGCTGCCCGCAAGCTATAAATCCTGTGACGCATGCGTCGTGTGTTACCACCGTAAGGAGCGAAAAGGTGTACTGGGAGCTCGGCGGGGGGCGAACCGGAACACAACGGCCGTGATGCTGAAGGATCTGAGGAGAAAAGTTCTACTACGGCAGTGCGAAGCTGTGTCTAGGTGCTGGCGTGTCCATCATTCACGCAACCTATATGGGCTGCGGTGTAAGGAATCTACATCCGGCGCCTTTTTTGAAACCGTGTTTTTGCGTGTTTTGCCAGCGAGATGAACCCTGAGGAACACTCGAGTGCTTGACTGCCCGCAGATTGAACATCGATGTGGGTGTCCTCTGTTACTCTGTAAAAGGACCGTGAGCTGAAGTGTATTGTTCAAGGTTGGTTCTTTGCTGATTTTACGACAACGTATGACCACCGCTCAATGGTGATAGCAAGAACAATTTGTAAGGGGAAAAGCAGAGCTGCGCCTCCCACCCTGGTGAAGCTGTATACCCTACAAGAGCTGAAGAAGTCTTCCGAGTTACAACATTGGACTGTTTGGTTCGCTTGGGTATCAAGGGCTCCTACGAGGAGTGTCTTTTGCTCCGACAAACACCGCTGAGTTAACCATCTAGGCTTAGGGGAAGATCTCATGCTCTAGGTTGCTCTAAAGATGACCCATATACGCTCACTGAAGTATGGCATTAACTCGGTGATGCAGTCCTGCGTGCCAAACAAATGATTAGCTTGGTTGTCTCTCAGTTTTTTAGGATACAATTTTAGTATCTCCCTGCAAAGAACAACAGGTTACTGAAATTAAGGATTTCTCCGTATTCCAGCTTCCGCATGATTATTTGCTTATCGTCAACTGTAGAAAATTGCAGTTGGCTCAGAGGGAAGGAAGCAAGCCGAATGGGCCAGCTCGCCTGGACCCAACCAGTCTCAAAGCTCCGGCCATTTCGGTTCTGGCGGGTTTGGTTAATTTCATTGTTTGTTGGCGATATCTCATCATTTGCTGCGTTGCTCTTGCATTCTCGCCTGGAGTTAGACCACAGGCTGAGCCTGGGTACGCAGGGCAGCAAGCGATCGCACGGCCACGAGCGGCTAATCAAGGTTCAGGGGGTCCAAAAAACATGCAGCGAGTCATGCACTGCAGCAAAAAGTGGAAAAAGCAACTGGCAGCAACACCAAGTGGGCACGAAGTGGACTTGGAGTGCTAGCAACCCTTAGGTGACCTTGACACAGGAGATGGAAAAGGAGCTAAAGCGATACAGGGTAATAACTAAGCACAGCATGCTTGACATCATGGATGAGTAGGAGAAGTTACTTACGCAGGAAGATTGTGCCTTTGCAGTAGACGCGAAGTACAGGGGATGAGGGAACGGGAAAGAAAGTACGGGGAAGGAGCTCGTAAAGGAGAAGCACCAGTTGAAGCGGGCAAACACGAAGACACGCAGAGAGAATAAAGGCATCAACTGCTCTGATTCGTCGGATAGGATCTGTGGAACAATGCCGAATGCCTCAGCCGATCGAAATGGACCGGAAAAGGAGAAGCGCAGCCCTCGCATCGCTCCTGCAGAAGCGCACGCGTTTGCGGCATTTTTCTGATAGAGTCCCTATCATTTAGTAGGTTGAATTCATCAGATAAGAGCAAAGTTTTTTAGCGGCCTCGGATCTGTTCACTGGCATGGTGCAGCATGTGTACTTAATGGTAGTCGTCCTTCCGCAAGGTGCCGTTCGGCCTGATCGTTGGTCCAGCGTGAAGGGCGGAAAGGCGAAGGCCGTACGGTTTGAGCCCTTGCCCATGAATACATATTCGTCTGCCTGTCTCTACCAAAAGAGCCTTCCTCCTTTCTCTGGCGTTTCAAATCCCTTGGTCTCTATCGGCTGTGGGGCCGCTGCCGACAGGGGCTGGACGCAGCGAAGTAATCCACTGGAGAGCTAGAGTTGGCGAGTAGGGTTCCTGGACAAATCTAGGAATAAGAATCAAAGGGTTTCGCTGTAAGAATCACAGTCCAGAAGGCAGCGTGCTTGTTTGTGCTTGCGCTGTTTCCCGCCACAGCAGACAGACCAGTGTCTCGCCTTCAGTGCCATTAATAAGAGGGTGGTCATTCATTTGGAAACACCTAGGCAAGAAGAATTTCGTGAATGTATATCCCTAGCGCAGGCATGATTAAGCCTCTGAGATGCCTCTCCATGTACTTCGAGACTGCCATGCACCATGATGCTCTTGCTGTTGCTGCTACATGCAGCAGTCTCCTTATCTGCTGCCGCAGCTCGGTCAAGATTTGTCACATCAGCAGCAGCAGCGGCAGCAATAACGCAAATAACACTTCAGTTGGTGGCACAAGGAGGGGCCGAAGATGGCGAGGATGTCATCAGACGCGGCGCTGCTGCCTACACGCAACTAATGAAGGAGTCTCTAGAGAAGGGTTCGGCTACCAGCTGTTGGCAGCAAGTCAGCGAGCAGCTCATGCTTTTGCAGCACCAAACGCACGAAGACGCCTGTAGCAGCAAAGGGGAGGCCTTTAGGGAGCTCATTGCTCTAACTCGAATGCGGTGTATATACACCAGAAGCGGCCGGCCCTTTCCAGGGCCGAAGGACGGCTGCTTCCTGTTTCCGCACGAAGTCCCCCAGGATTGGATTGGTTTGTTTGCTCATGCACTTAAGCAGCGGACTTGTATACTGTAGCACAAGCTAATTTAATGCTGCTCCTTCACGTACCGCATGTCGCCACCGTTGTCGCTCTCTTATTCGTGTTTACACGGGTCTCTAGGCCTCCTTTGATTTAGACAGAGGTCTTATATAAAATAATCCGTCTTTTGGCTTGTTTGGCTTTGCGTTTGGATGGTTTGCAGCCCCGTACGGGCAAACTGAAGAAGATGAAGACGGACCTAGAACTCGAAGTCACCCTTGCGTGCAGCTTGACGCTGTGCTGCAGCAGCTGCAGCAGCAGCAGCAACAACTGCAGGACGAGGCGTGGGAAGAAGCGGACGGTGGCAGGGAGCATTCAGATTCCCGATTCAACCGTGAAACAGGGCAAACAGCATCGCATTCAGCAGCCACCCCCGATGCAAACAGAGCTGCGATAGTACATGTGGCTCTGGATGCGCCCGCAGCGCAGCTGCAGAGACTTCAACAGCTAAAGCAGCAGCTCCATCGGCGTTGCATTGCACTGACGCAGCGGCAGGCTGCTGCCTGTCAGGAGCACGGCAAAATGAGCTTTGGGACTTTCGCTCTTGTTCGAGAGCAAATAAATCATATTGGTGAGCTCATCCGTGTGTAGACATTCGGACTGCCCCTGTTGGGTGTTGCTGGGCATCCTTCGGTTTCTGAGCCTGGAGTGAAAATTCCGCGAAAACGGCTTCCGCGGAGGCTCGGGGTTTTTGGTGGATGCACGTGCCACGGTTGCGGTGTTCGCTGCTTGTGGCGTCGCTTGGTGCGTCAGCGCGCTCCACGGGTGCCCTCAGTGCTGCTGCTGGGCAGCTGCTGCGACTTTTGCAGACAACATCTGCTTCTTTCTGCATAGCTCCGAGAGGCAGAGGAGGACAGAGGAGGCGACCATGCGGCTCTCCGCTGCGTCTGAAGCCGCTACGGCTCGCATGCACGAGCAGCTGCAGCATCTGGAGCACCTGGAGCGGCTGCAGCAGGAGCTGCAGCTTCAGCAGCTGCGGGGAGGGAACTACTTGCAGCAGCTGTTGCAGCAGCTGCAGCAGGGGCTGGAGGACTCATTTGCAGTGCTGCAGCAGCTCAAAGCCTTCCACAGGGCTGTGGGGGAGTGGATGGGTGAGGCGGAGGCTTTTGTGGTATACGGCACGGCAGCCTTCGTTGCCGTACTGCTGACAACCAGCAGAAGAGTTGCTGCAGCTCGTCTTGGAATATTGGGCCTCATTTGCGCGGCTGCCGCGGCAGAAGTGGTGCTGCACCACGAGGGCATCTCCCCGTATCTGCTGGAGCTGACACAGCGCCGAGAGCCTCCCCGCAGCACCTTGGAAGCCGCGGAAAAGAGCAGCAGCATGCAAGGCCTGCTAGAGACGTTGCTGCGACAAGCAGCAGAATCCGCATCTGCTGGCCTTGCTCTTCATGGCACATCGCTCATCCGCTGGGCTTGCTGGGTGGCTTCCTCGTTGTTGTGGATACGCTGCTTCCGAGGGTACAGAAGCCCTGAGCAGCGGCTTCAGCAGCAGCTGCAACTGATGCAGCAGCAGATGGCAAAAATACGCGAGGAGCTGCGGGAGGCACAAGCCGCTGGCGACCCCAGAATGCCACGGGTGCAGCAGCAGCTGCAACAGCTGCTGCAGTGCGTTGCGGCGAAAGACACGGCAGTGCTGCTGCGCCTTCAGAAACAGCAGCAAGAGCAGCTGCAGCACCAGCCACAGGTTGGAGAAAAGCTGCAACGGCCCCAAAAGGGCCGCAACCTTGCGAGACGCGTGGTGGGGCTGGCTGCGGCTTCTGGCGTTGCAGCGATCCATACGATTTGTGCTACTGCTGCGAGGGCAGCTGTCATCCTGTGTGGGCTCTGTCTCTTCCCTTGGTCAGTCTGCCGGCTTAGAAGGAGCGCCAAAGACACCCCGTCCCCCTCTCCCTGTATCCCGACTGGCGGAAGTGTTACCAGCGTCCACTGCACTACAAACGGCTTGCAGACAGTCAGCCGTACAAGGCCGGCTGCCTTCTTATCAAGTCGCTGCAGCAGCTACTGCAGCGGGATCACTAGGCCCCAGACGCTGCCTCGCAGGCTAGGCCTTCCCTTGGCGCTTCGCGAGCAGTCTAGGAGGCATAATGAAGACGAAGGGGAGGCTGTCGACCCCACTTATCAGCCCCTTCCCAGCAGCAGCCCTAGCGGAAGCGATACTGGGGAAGAAGAAGACAGTGCTTCTGCTGCTGCTGCCGCTGCTGCTGCTCCTCCTTCTCCAACTGCAGGCCCAGATAACACTGAGAAACACAACCACACGGCACCGAGTCAGCGTCATGCGCCGAAGCTGTCACAAAAAAAGCCTCGGCAGCAGCAGCAACAGCAGCCACATAGGGAGACGCCATCCCCCCAGCCACTGCGTCGAAATCCTGTGCGGCGCTGCCGCGTTACGAATTATGCTAAACTTGAGGAGCCCCAGGATCCAAATGTCTTCTTTAGAGAAATGATTTCAGTGAGGTCCTCGACACAAGCTGATGAGAGATGGCGGATGCTCCTTCTCTTCCACTCACCCGGAAGCAACACCCGTTGGTCAAGAGCGTCGCACTCCAGCGTTGAAGTGCCTGCTGCCGCTATGAGGGGTTAGGGTAGACTTTTTCTCGCTGCGCCTACCAGGGGATAGGGTAGACTTTTTCTCGCTGCGCCTACCAGGGGATAGGGTAGACTTTTTCTTGCTGCGCCTACCAGGGGATAGGGTAGACTTTTTCTCTCTGCACGGTGCTGTCCGCCGTTACGATAGCTCTAGAGCTCCCAGTCTGCGTGCCTGCTGCCTCTACACGTACTGTGCCCTGTCTCGTCTCGAGACTTAAACCTGAATCTTCCCGCTTGCCGCTGCTGCCATGTGTCGGCTGCAGCCAGAAAAACTGAAAGACCTACGGAAGGACCCCTGCTTTGCCGGTACCTCCCCCTCTACAGAGAGCAGCTGCAACGACCGCAGCACCCCTCACAAAAACATCTTGTCCCCTTGGGAAGACAGCAACGGCCCTGACACGGAGAAAGCCACAGCGGAAAACTCTCAAGTAAGAGGCCTCTCAACGTGCCCTCAGACGCCATCCAGGCAGCCTACGCCAGCTTCACTCAAGCCCAAGCCAAAGCAGCAGCAGCAGCAGCGACGGATCAAGAGTAAGGAAGTAGCGCCTCAGCGGCAACAGCCGCCGGTATCTCCGACATTCTGAGCAATACATATGGGGCCAACAGATGGATATCCGTAGGAGGCGAAGGGTGAGTGCTGCCCTGCGCATTTGCTTCTACTGCCTCAACCCTGCGTACGACCTCTCCCGGCTCAGCATCTGAAGTGTGCCTAGCCTCCTAGCACCATTTATCCTTTCATATCTAAGGACAGCCCTATCGGGGGGCCCACACGGTAGCAGCAGCGAGCACGTCAGTTACAGACACATCAGTAGCAGGCTAGACGAAATGTTCAGAGCTTAGAGGAACGAGCCAAGTCCGAGCCGCGTCACCGCAAAGCTCAGCCACGAGGGAAACCTGCGTTTAAGCGTTTCCTCGCTGAGGGGGAGACAAAAGGGCAGCAATTCTTTCCCAAGCTCCTGCTGCTGCTCGAGCTGCAGTCGCCTGTCGGTCGTGCGCAACAGCGCCAGTAGCTCTAAATCGCGGCAGGACGAGCGAGCACTCAGATTTGTGCTCCCGATCAGTGACACAGCAGCCCATTCCTTAGCGGTGCAGGTGGTACTGCCACCGCTGCTGTTGCCAGAGCTGATAGGGCCTTTGAGACGGCCCGCGAGGCTTTCACGCAGCAACACACGCGTGGCGTTGATGGCTGGAGATGGCGGAGCTGCAGCACAACAGCTACTCGTGCGCTCACCGCTGCTGCCGTTCGCATTGCTGCTGTGTGTTGTAAAGGTGTCCCCCACGATCCAAATGCCCTTTGCGTGGAAGGTCCACGCGGGTCGGGCATATTCCAATAGCATCAGGGGGCCGTTCAGCAGCGTCGGCTGCATCGGAGGACGATCCGTGGAAGTGCGTGCTGGTGCCGCCGCTGTGGCTGAAACGGCAAGAGCCCGCGCGGTTGCATGCGCCGCAACAGCGTAGGCGGGAGGGATCCAGAATGATAGGCCTTGAGATTTGTAAAAGCTGTTGGCTTGCGGGGACGCCGTGAGCAACATTAGCCGAGGCTGCACGTTGTTGGTGTCGCTGTCACTACTCCTGCTGCTGCCAGGGGCCGCAGCGCCGGCTAATGATGCATGACGCATTTGCTTCAGCAACTGCTTCAGCCGTTGCAGAAATGCAGCAGTAAAGTTCAAGTAGGGAGACGCGAGGATCACGCGCAGGCCAGTAGGGGCTGTAACGTGCTCTCCGTGCAATGAATCTTCTTCTCCTCCTGTGGCATTTACGCCCCTCCGTTCCAGCAGGCCTCTCATTCCTCCGGAGGATGCAGAGCCTGCTGCTGCAGCCGCGGCAATAGAGTTGGCTGCGATGGAGCACACCCGATCCAGCAGCATTTCCTGACCCTGAATCGGCGGAAACGTGAATCCAGCCTGCACTGCCAGAGATACCAAGCAGGCGCTAGAGGGGTTGCTGCTGGTGTATGTGCACTCTCTGCTGCGCTGGTTGCTGTTGGCCATTGCAGCCCTCAAGGAGCTGGCGAGGCTCTGGCGGAATGTCGTGGGGTTCGCCTGCGGCATTTCTGAGGGATTAGTTGCTGGCCAGCAACATGTAACGTTCCCAATGTGGAGCGTGTTGTTATGTCTCCGAACGTCCTCCGGCGCGTTGGACCTTGAGGAGTCGGTGGGTAGCTGCCGGTGTGCATGGGGGAGCAGCTTGAAAGCGTGCGCTTGCGCAGCCGCGAGAACCCGATCCACTGCGTCTGCAAGTGACCTGGAACGGATGAGAATGCACCGGTCCGTTCGGTTGACAAAGTAGTCCTCACTGAAGTTTGCGCCTGTCAGCAGCACCAAATCGTCGCTCACGACGCACTTCATGTGCTGCGTTCCCAAGGCCTCGCGGTGTCTGTGAGGCAGCAGCGTGCACAGCAGCTTGTGCAGCCCTTGGAGAACTGGGTTGCGGCTGTTGCTGCTGCATGTCAAGGGGTTGCAGAAAAGAAACACTTCGCTCGAGCTACCCCCGTCGCTCTGCTGTTGCCTCTTGGATACAAGCGGCAGCAGCAACGCTGCCGGTCCATCTCCCCCGGAGCTTCCCGACCGTGTGCTGCGCAAAAAGTCCACCAGCAGGCGCACTTGTAGCTGCGGATGCTGCTCCTTCGCATCCTGTAGACGACGCAGCAGCCGTCTCTCCTTACTGCCCGTGCCAATGTAGAGCGCTGAAAGCAATAAGCGCCGTCTCGCAAGCTGAATACAACCCTCCACAGCGGAGTAAAGCCCCTCCGGGCCATGTACGATGCTCACACAGCGAGGAGACACGGGAACGTGGAGCTGAGCTGCTGGCACCGCCTCCGCGCCTCCTTCCGAAAGCGGAGGAGGCGTCAAAGAGGAGCTGCTGCAGAAGAAGCGTCTAAACGCTGCCTTCGGTAAGCAGCCAACAGCTGCACCAGAAGGCGCAGTGTGGAGTGCAGCTGTACAGAAGCTGTGCATCAGCCCAAGAACGCCGCGTGCCTCAGCGGCGCCTGATTCGCCCTTGCCACTGCTGCCACAGCTCTATGAATGCTGCCCTGCTAGACACCTTGGGAGAACTCTCCTCACCCTAGAAGGCGCAAGGTTGCTTCTCTACCACTACTACTGCTGCTACTAACGCTGCTAATACACTCCTGTACTGCTACTACTGCACTGCTGCCGCCTTCCTAGCACGGCGTTGCAGCTGCCTTGCCGCTGGAGACGCATCCGAAGTGAAGCTTAGACCACGGCGGCTCTCTGGCAGCTGTGCCTCGACAGCTCCTACAGACATACGCTGCGTGCTGCTGAAGCGGCAAGGCCCCCGACGTAGCGCAGCTGCTCTAGAGAAAAATAATCAAGGTTCTCGAGGATCTCAGTGCTCGGATCGGCAGATTTATGCGGGTTTGTTAGCGCAGTTGATAGCGCGCTTGTTAGCCTCACGACGGGAAAGTAGAGAATTTTACGCCCGTTAAATGCCGAATTATTCTGACAGTACAGCACCCTAGCAACACGGTCCAATGAATATCTGTGTAGGCTTTTCTCATCCAGGAAGGGAAGACGGAACGAGGCACGAGGAAGGGGCCCCCTGCCGGGGGGCCCCCCGAACCCGGGGAACTTTTTTACCGGAGAAAGGCTCCCTCCTATCTGAGAGTACTGCGACACGAAAAGTAATGCCAGAAGAGGTGTTTTCAGGAGCAACGCCTAATGGCGGCAAACTAGTGGCTGTGTGGTCGCTACAAGAAAGCAGAAGGCCACAGTGTATATCTCTGCTTGCAGCAAGACGGCTTGGGCTCAGGCTGCCTGTTTGCCGCGGCAGCGCATTCTACTGCTGCATGCCATGCTTTCTGGCGGAATATTGCAGCCTGATTGTGCATTAACAGGCGCCATAGCAGTAGCGAAGACAGCAAAAAGCGCTGCGGGTGCTTGGCTGCTGCTGCCTTCGCTAAGAGCAGCGGAAGCTGCTGCACCGCCCGCAGCCGCAAGTTTGAGCAGCAGTCGATGCCTTTAGCTGCAACAATGGCGTGTCCACAAGACGCTCCCCAGCAGCGATTGCAGGAAGAGCTGCAGCCGCAGGCTCCAGAGGTTTGCTGCTGGCGCTTTGAGCCCGTGAAGGCACTGGGCAGGGAGGGAGTCATCGTGTTATCTGCCAAGCGTCTGCTTTTCGCATCGCATAAAGGGAGCCCTAGCAAAAGCGCTGATGGCGAGGGCGACGCTAGTGCCAGCATTCCCAGCAGTAGCAGCAGCAGCTCCTCTTGCTGGGAGCTGCTGCTGCAGTTTCCTCTGGCCGCGTGGACTGCAACTGAGCGCTCAAAGAAAGCCGCAAAGGTTCTTAAATGCCTCCTGCTGCTGTTTCCTGCTGCCCTTGCTTACTTTTTCGCCTTTGTGTGTGCCACTGGTTCTGCCTGCCTCGCTGTCTCCCCGCCTTCCTTCAGGGCGCCGCACGTATGCAGCAGCAAATCTGGTGCTCGCGCTAACACGACATGCGTTGGTGCTGTTTCTTACCTGCTGTTCAGGCGCGCATGTCGTATTTCGTTCCCACAGCAGCTGCTGCTGCTGCTGCAGAGGCGGCTGGGGGGGGGACGGGAATGGCAGTGCAGTCTGTGGTTGTTGACTTCTTGGGAGTTCGCGAGAAGATGGAGCTCTGCTGCCGCTCTCTGCAGACGTTAGCCTCCGCGTCAAGAACTGTCCAATCCAGCAGCAGCCTTGTAAGTTGGCTTTTTTTTCTGCTGTAGGAGCTTCTGTCGCTGCCGCTACAGTTGTGGGGGTTGAGGAGCAGGGGGAGGGAGGCTCATGCGGAACGCGTGCTGAAGGAAGGAGGGATGTTGAAGGCTGTGATTTTGCCGAGAGGCTGATGTGCGCAGCACTTTTGCCTCTTTGTACGATGCAGCTATGCCCCTTGGAAGTACCACTGCTGCTGCAGCTGCTGCAGCTTCCCGCAGAGACTCCGCTGCGAATCGCGCCGGCCTTATTGCAGCAGGAAGATCTGCGGCAGCAGCAGCTGCAGCAACAGCAGCAACAACAATTGCAACAGCAGCAGGCACAGCTGCAGCAATTGGAGGGGCCTCAAAGCGATCGGCAAGAATCCGAGGCTGCAGGCAGTGCAGCAAAGGCAGAAGGCGCATCTGCAGCAGCACCAGCAGCGACTGACAGACAGCAGCTCCCACCAGGAGGCCTCTCTTCACAGAGAACTCTTCGTCAAAAGTCTTCGGCATCAGGAGTCGCAGGTGCCTCCTCCAGGTGTGTCTGGCAGACGGCAGTCTTGCGCGTAATGGGTGTGTCTCTCGATCCGCGTGCGTTGAGCGACGCCTCTATTTTTTGCCAAGAAGCTCTGTGATGCTTCGATTCGCTTACGCTGCCGCTGCGGCTGCTTCTGCGCTCGTGTGACATCAGTGCTGCTTTCCTAGAACCGTCTGCTGCTACAGCAGCTGCCCCTCTTTCACCTCCCGAACCACCGAGTCTCGAGAAGCTGTTGCAGCAGCAACGACAACAGGAGTCTGAACAGCTGCAGCAGTTCCAGCAGCAGTTGCTGCAGCAAAATCGAGAGCTAATGGCAGTCTATCAGGCGCTTGTAGGACCGCCTGACGCGCATCAGAGTGTAGATGCCACTTCCCATGGGGGCTTATCGGACAGTGAATTCTGGAGGCTGCATCAGCAGCAGCTGCAAGCTCTCCAACCCCAACCAGCACGTAATACTTCTCTTACCCTATGGCACAATTCTCCGCGTCGTCTGGCGCTTGCAAGGCAGTCGCATCGCGGCTTCAAAATTTTCTGCGCTGCTGTCTGACGCCACGGGGGTGGTAGTGGTGGCACTGCTGCCTTTGATCCTGCTGCCACCGCTACTGCTGCCTCGTTTCTGAGGCAGGAAGTGCCCTGTCGTTGTGGAGAGGAGATGCCACTGCTGCTGCCGTCTTTTTCTTAGTGCCTCGTTGTCGTGGAGAGAGAGAAAGCTGTCACTGCTGCTTTCGCTGCCCTTGCTACTGCTGCTACCGTCTTTTTCTTAGTGCCTCGTTGTCGTGAAGACAGAGGGAGCTGTCACTGCTGCTCTCGCTGCCCTTGCTACTGCTGCCACCGTCTTTTTCTTAGTGCCTCGTTGTCGTGAAGACAGAGGGAGCTGTCACTGCTGCTCTCGCTGCCCTTGCTACTGCTGCCACCGTCTATTTCTTAGTGCCTCGTTGTCGTGGAGACAGAGGGAGATTTCACTGCTGCTTTCTCTGCCCTCGCCACTGCTGCCACCGTCTATTTCTTAGTGCCGCGTTGTCGTGAAGACAGAGGGAGCTTTCACTGCTGCTGCTCTCGCTGCGCATATAGTGGTCTTGGCGCTACGCCGCTGCTTGTACTGGCTGCGCAGCTGAGGCTGTCTCCGCCTCCTTCTTGTCACGACCTCCGCAGTATCATATGGGGCCTCCCCAGTCTGGACAGGCAGGCTTGCCTGCAGAGCTGGTAGTCGACTGCAGCGAGCAAATGCTTAGTCAGATCCTGAAGGAAGACTCCACCATCAGGACTGCGCACGCTGCCCTCGTAGAAACAGGCAAGCCTGCAGACGCAGCACTGAGCCCACCAGTGCCTTGCTGCTATTCCTCCCGCTCGAGAATTCAGCCTGCCGCTAGAACGGTGCTCGGAGACACGGCAGCAGCAGCAACAACTGAAGCAGCAACAACTGAAGCAGCAACAACTGCTGCCAAGCGTTCTGCTCAGAACAACCAGTCCTTCCTAGATAGGACGTTAACCTGCCATGCGTTCATGTGTGAGTGTGTGTGTGTGTGTGTGTGTGTGTGTGTGTGTGTGTGTGTGTGTGTGTGTGTGCATTTACATATGTGCTTGTACGGGTGCATATGCTGTACATTCATGTATGCATACACACACACATACATACATATATATATATACACTTATACTTGTACCTCGAGGTGTCCTCGTGCATTGCTGCTCTGGTTTCTTAGGGCGTATGGCTGCTGACCGCTTCTGGGGTCGCATCTTTCGCTCACAGTACTTCCAGAGAGGCATCGGCCTCCCTGAGAGGCAGAAGGAGTCAGACGATGCAGAGGCTTCGGCTTTTGTGGCGGCGTTTTTGAAGGAAACGGTAAAGCTATATCAGCCAGCCAGAGTTGCTACCCCTTCTTGTGCTGCTGCAGCTGGTGGCGGCTCCCACGGCTTGTTGTGCTGCATGCTTCGCGTTCACCTGTGCTGCATGCAGAGGCTGCCCTTGCTGCTGCCGACTTTGCTGTCTGTCTTGGCACATACGGGGAACCACTGCAGCACCAGGCGCAGCCTGGCTGCAGTGGTTCCCCGTATGTGCCGTGAGCGCTTCTGTGGGGGTTGTTGAGCCTCCTGCTTTGCTTTTTGCAGTGTGTCTGTATAATATGTATGTGTCTGTATAATATGTATGTGTGTGTGTATAATATGTATGTGTGTGTGTGTATAATATGTATGTGTGCGTATAATATGTATGTGTGTGTGTGTATAATATGTATGTGTGCGTATAATATGTAATGTGTATGTGTGCGTGTGTATAATATGTATGTATGCGAACGTGGCTGCAGCCCCTCTCAGCACGTGATACACTATCGCTACCAGGGATAGAGAGGACGCTACTCTCGGATGCCGACTTACGGGTGAGGGGCTTTGGACTGCCAGATGGTTTGTCGTCTTTGGCAGGTGATCTCGCGGAGCTACCCGTGCCGCCTTCTTTAGGGTCTGCTGCGGCTCCCTCTGGTGATGCGACTGCCACTGCAAGCGTCGGCTGCCTCGTGAGTCGCTTCAACCGTCACTCTCAGCGCCTCCTGTTGCAGCAACTGCTGCAGCCAGCAGCAGCTGCCGCAGCCATCAGCGATACGACCGGCCCTCAAGAGAAGCTGCAGCTGCTACTGCAGCAGGAGCAGCGCAAGAAACACCCCAGAACCTCTGCAGGGGCTAATATGAGCATTCCAGCAGTACCCGCGAGCGAAGCAGCCACTCGTGAGTCCTACATGGAGACTTGTTGCCACTGACGTTGGCTTCCCCCGGCGTCTTTACCCCTGCGCACACCCACTAACGCTTTCTCTGCTGGGGGCCTCTTCTTCCGTCCAGCCACTGCATAGCGGGAAGGGGGGTGGCTGTCACCGTGTGGCTGCTGCTGCTGCTGCTGCTGCTGCGGCTGCAGTGGGTTACGGAGTCTTGGAAGAAGAAGCGCCGTTGCTGGCGTCACTGCGCCTTGAAGAGCTGAACGTGAGCCTTGCGTTGAGCGTATGGGAGGTCTTCGGCCCTTGCTTGCTAGAGGGTTCAGAAGGATCTTGTGCGCTCCTTTCGTAGCTCGCTACACACATGCAGAGTAGCAGCTAATTGGTATGCTGACACGTGTCGCTGCAACTGGCCTTGCAGGACGCTGCACCCGCCAGATACCAGACTCTTGAAGTGAGCAGGCGGCAGCTCTACGCCGCTGGTTCTCGCGTCTCTAAGGGCATGTCTCCAGCGGCTTCTGCGGAAGCCGTCAGGGGGGGCCCTTCCTCAGCTACAGCAGCAGCAGCAGCAGCAGAGGCAACAGCCGGAGCGCCACGAGGCAAGGGCGCCGCAAACGCAGCAGACACAGACACGGCCACAGCAGAGAACGCTCAAGCCGCGCAAGAAGCCAAGGCTGCGCATGCCTGGCTGTGGGCGCAGAAAGAGCGAGCAAACGAGAGGAACAAAGGCGCTCTCCAGGCTGTAAGCCGTACACAGTCTGCTTCGTTAGGCAGCCACGAGAAATTCCCTTTGGGGAGCCCTAGGAAAATGCAGTTTGGTGCAAAGCGAAGCGAACTGCGTCGCTAAATTCAAAAGGCAGAGGCTGATGCAAGGACCTCCGATCCGCGATGATCCCATGTAGACTGCAATTTTTTGGCCGGTGCTGCGGGTGCTGGCTACAGGCAGAGGAGGTGGCAGCAGTCTACGAGACTGGGCGCTATATGTTCGTCTTCAACACGAAACTGTGCCAAAAGGATAAGGCAGCTCAGGTTGCAACGCGTAAGGCCAAACCAGACATCCCTGCCGCGGGCTCCCTTGGTCGCCTTGCTCTTGCTGTGCTTTTCTTTTTTTACTCCGAAAGCTCCTTTCCAACAGAACGCAGTTGACACTTGCCGCGGCTCCGGCCTTCCCTCTGCGCGAAGGAGTTCAAAACGCTATCTCATATTTAGGGCATGCATAGGACCTCCGCTGCTGTGCTGTTTCATACACGTCTCCAGTCTCGGGTGCTTCCTGCTTCATTTCTTGTATTTTTGCCTCAGTGGACTATGAGCTGGCCACGGTAAATGCAGTGAGAACCCGACAGGCCCGCTTGGGAGAGTTGCTGCGGCACTTCTACAGCACAACGTTGCCAGAGGTGTGTCTAGAGTCTTAGAACACACACCACTTACAGCGTTGCCCCTCGGCGTGCCTTGCATCTGAGCTCTTAGAGTAATGATGGTGAGAACGCTCATCTCCCCATAGAAAAATAGCTCACGACGGAGGGGCGCTACAAGTCGTGCTCGCTGCTGCTCAGGACAAGAAGAGGACACGACTTGTTCAGGCGCTCGATGCGATCAAAGCGGAGCTCGAGAACTCCCAAGTGCGTCACTGCGCATCATCACACCTTATCAAGGCCATCTTTTCCGCTACCCGGGCCTGGATCCGCCGTACATGCCTTTTTGCGAATGTGCTCTTGACTATGGAGTGGTTGCCTGTGCTACGGAACGGGGGAGTTCGCCCGCGTTTGTAGAGTACTGCGCTTTGTCTACAGTTCAAGGGTGGCAGCAGGGGCCGTCCGCCATCGTGAGAGGGGAAAGCGGGTTCTAACCTTCCGTAAAAATCGGAGCACTTCGAAGGCAAAGTAATATTCGCCCCACTGATGCGTTTGGGCTGCCGCAGGATTTTTCCGGAGGGTTCACTGGTGCTGCAACGAAGGCCCTGAGTGCCCCACTTGTGGAGCAAATTACGGCAGCTCGCCGCCATGCGAACCGCCTACATCGACTCCTGCAGGCGGCCAGAGAGAAACGTGCAACGCAGCAAATCAGGCAATCGGGGCAGCTAAAGCAACAGGCTTCTGTAGGCTGAAGTGTACCCCTTCACAGAAGCGAAGAGAACTTGCCTAGGTGCGCGTCGTTTCGCCTAACGCCCCCTTCGCCACTTTTCTGGTTCTTTGCGTCAGGCCGTATAGATCAGCTATAGATAACAACAGGGTGGATAGGCTGCATTGCAGGGACATAGACGAGCGTAGCGCTTTGCGTCAAATGAGTAAAAGAGTGGATAGTGAGCAAGAACTGCGTAGGCGCAGACAGGGATAGGCACTGGGGATTTGGGGCTTGGGTTTCACCAACGAGGTGAAATATATTCCATTTGCAGCCGGGTGGCTTCGGTGGCGATAGAATGTAAACGCCGATGATAGTGAGCGAGAGAGTTGTACTAGCACGTACAATGCGGAACATAGAAGATTGATACCGATCTGATTCCTCAAGCTGCTGAAGTGCAAGCCTGAGAATTCCTACTACTACTTAGTGCCGATTTCTTGAATTTTCCAACTGACCCTTCACAATGCTTGCGTTCTTGTAGAACGCATCAAGGGCAACACAAAGGGGGATGATCTGTACTTACTCTGATGCACCCCCGTTTACTCTCTACGGCACGCTTCAGGCCACTTTCATCTTTTTTACTCTACAGATTTCGATGGAGCTAGTACACAGGTATTCGTTTGGCATTCCGGTTGCTTCCACTTCCAAAGAATCCTCCATGAGCATTTGCATCTTATTTATTGTAAACTTGCCTACGATTCTTGGCTACCCTTTCTACGGAGGCCTGGTGAGTGGTGCTGTTTTGCGTTATTCGTCATCAATAGCTCATTTCAGTCGGTGCAGTAAAATGACACTGCCTAAATAATGTAAAGAAAACCTCTGCTTGAAGGCCTCATCGAAACGAAAAGAAATTTTGCTCCCACACATCTTCGAAGAAGTGGTTTCAGGTGGATCGAGGTGCCTATAAGATTATTTTGCAGCCAGTGCACTGCCTCAGTAAGGCATCGGATGTATTTGATACACGAGTAATATGGAAGGAAGGCCCGAGATCGGACATGCAATCGAGCTTCCTTATTCACAGGACATCGTATGCAATATGCAGGTTTTGTATGTGGATGGGTGGAACTACATGTACACGACTGACGTATTGTTCTGCATGCCCCGGAAAAGTCTATCCCAAAGTAAACTAGCAGAAAGCTTAAACCCCGCCTTCACCAGGTAGCACAGAAAAAAGCGACAGCTGTTTGCGTGAGATCGCCTTATTTTATCATTTTAGCGTGAGACATAACCCCCACGGGGTCTGCCGACGGTTTGGCGTGATTCTCCGCGCCTTACTTAGTGGGGACCAGCTCAACACTGCATCTCTCCAGCTTGTTTAGCTTCCTATATTGCACAGATATTGCTCAATCCCCGACCTCATGCGTGAGACTTTGGTGTGTGGTCTATCACACAGCGGCGCCGCAGTGGCCAAGCCCCAAAGCCGCACATGTCACAAGATTCACAGCTATCCTTCTGCCATAACCACTCGGAGTTCTTTCAATTCACTCACAGATTATGGACTAGATACGTCTTTTATTAACTGCAGATAGAGAGTCCTTCTCTGCTGTGTACCGGATTGCCACAACTGCCAGCCTGAGGGCACCCCGTTCGATCGTGGTGATTTAGAGAGACAATGGCAGCATTCGGGGAAGAGAAGAGTAGGTGTCAATGTTCCTTATCACAAACGGCATGCTATATATGCAAGGGCTGATGTAAGCGTTTTGCTTCCTTGAGCATAGATAATTGGCTGCGGATTCTGTTGTAGATAACGCCTCCAGGTGCTGGGCTGCATTATTAAATGTGAAATACTGCAGAGTGCGTGCAGAGTTTATCCTTTAGATGATTTCCTTCATCGTGAATATGTGAAAGTGGCATCGTGCAGTGGTCTACGGTTTGCAATTGTTGTACAGTTGCCGAGTTGGAGGCGTTCGTGACGCTAGTACGCAACGACCCAAAAATCCTTCACCGGCCAGAGCTTGCCTTCTTCAAAGAATATCTTTGGTCATTAGGCGCTAGAATCCCCGATCTACCAGAAGAGGAGGAGCCTGAGGAACCAGAAGTCAGTCAAATACGCAGTTCCTCGTGGGTCGATGTTGCAGTCGAGTGAAATACGTCTGGCGACACGGATTCTGGGGTTCTGTATTGACATTGTGGATAATTTCAGTGTTCATTTATATGGCTGAACGAGGGAACATATTTTCATGTTTGCAGTCTGAAGAAGAAGTGTTTAAGGTGGAATCCCTAAATGACGAAGAAGTTGTTGCACCGGAATCCATACCACCACCCGAACTTGCACCTGCTGGAGAAAAGGAGCTTACGGATGATGACTACGACAAGCTTGCTAAGGCCAAGGAAGCAGCGACGCAGGCTCTAGAAGTAATTATCACATGAACACACAATGCTTTTTCCTTCTGCTTTGTACATTTGCAGTAAAAGGGTCGCGTGTATTGCTGGAGGGGATCCCCTGTGTGTTTAGGCTGGTGACATAGGGAAAGCGATTGACTCCTACACAACTGCATTGCTCATTGGCAACCCTACTGCACTTTTATATACGCGAAGAGCTGAGGCCCTGCTGAAGCAGAGGAGATTTGCAGCCGCAGCTAGGGACTGTGATGAGGCATTGAAACTGAACCCAGACAACGCAAGGGCTTACAGGATTCGTGGGACCGCCAACAGGCAAGCCACAGCACACTGTGTTGCATCGCAACTGCCGTATGTATACAGGAGCTATTCTGGTTATAGACAGGGTTGTTGTTGTAGGCACTGCTTCTTCCTGCAGGTATCTGGGAAACTGGAAACAAGCTCACAGCGACATAGAAATGGGACAAAAGGTATGGCAGATTGATTGTTTGCTTCTGACAACTAGCACATATCTCGAATTCAACATCCATTGGAGACGCCGTTACTTCTCCGGGTTTTTGTCCACAGATAGATTATGATGAAAACATTTGGGATATGCAGAAGCTCGTAGAACAGAAGTACAAGAAGATCGAGGAGCACGAGAGGTCTGTGCAGCGGAAGAGAGAAGACGTGAGTCTAAATATCTGAGCTTATTCTCCCATCCGTAGCCCTTATATGCGATAAGAGTGCCAATCGTGCAGCTCTCTCAGAAACTTGTCTGGTCTGCGTAGAAGGAAAGAAAAGAGCGCGAAAAACGAGCTCGAGCACAGCGTGAAAGCGCCCAGAGAGCCTACGAGGAGCAAAAGAAGCGTGAAGCTGGTAGGCAACCTATGATTATTTTCAGTATCATCGCTTGCAGGCAAACGAGGTTTCTCCGTTGAACCTAGATCCCGATACTGAGGTACAAATGCAATTATCGGTTTTCCACGACTGTGCGATTCAGAATTTTGTAGAGACGGCGGATCGTGCTGTGGAGGAATGCCAGGAGGAATGCCAGGAGGTATGCCAGGAGGAATGCCAAGAGGTATGTCAGGAGGAATGCCAGGAGGTATGCCAGGAGGTATGTCAGGAGGAATGCCAGGAGGTATGTCAGGAGGAATGCCAGGAGGTATGCCTGGTGGCATGGGAGGACTAGGTAAGCTCGGATACTGACTCAGGAGCACCTGTGCTTTTCTCAGTAGCTTAGTCAGACATTAGGAAACGCTGTATTGCCAAGTGCAAGCAATCTTTTATTTCTTCGTTTTCTACAGGAGGTCTTCTCGGTTCCATGAATGATCCGGACCTGCAACAGGTGTTTTCCAATCCAAAGGTGAGTACAAGGAGAACAAGGCGTGCACTCAGTTACGACGAGGGATCCTGTTCTGCCTAGTTTTGCATGGACTATAGACGTTCTGTCCTGCTGCGATTGCCTTCGCAGATGATGGCGGCGTTTCAAGACATCTTGGCGAATCCCGCGAACATGTCGAAGTACAAGGACGATCCCGATGTTGCGGAAGCGATTTCCAAGCTAACCCGCAAATTCGGGGGGGGAATGCCAGGGGGGTTCAACGTTCCTCATTAGCGGTTCAGCAAAAAATGCGTCTTTAAATGGATTCCCGGCATTCTTTGGGTGTATTATCATAATTTGGGTAACTTGCCCCATTAGTAACCTGGTTCCATCGATACCTCAAGCCACTTTATACATGAATGCATTTTGGAGTCAACCGTCCGTCGGACAAGTTCTTTGTGATTTCAAGAATATTACAGATGTCTGTCTTGACTTGAGTTCCCAAGTGCTTCCCAGCTGGGGCAGCCATTCGTCTTAGTACAGACGCGAGCAATGTTACTGCCATCCTCCAAGGCGCTGCCCTTCTCCCTGATCGCGTTGCTTATAAGGCCAAGTTGCTTTGAGTAATGCAGTACCGTGTACCTGAAATGGAGACCACCCCCTCCAACCGTCGCTACGAGTAGCAGGTTCAGCCCATCGTGGAAGGAAAGAACGCGGTCCACCTATTGGTACACATTATTCTTTGGGATTCATCTTGACTTGCGATCAATCAGATAGCGACCTACGGTAGGTTGGCGAGTCGAAGACATACTGGAGCTGGAACAACGCCAGACAAGAGGCGCAAAAGTCAAGCACATACACAATGAGCCTGCACTCAAATATTGTTTTTGATTCTGCATCCTCGCGTTCTTTGTATGCTTACTCTAGTTTTGTAACGGTGTCTGCTAGCCACACTTGCTGTTCAGTAAACGAACTGCATATCAACCGTCGTTCACGTTGTATAATGCAGCTTACTAGATGCGTGGACAACAAGATACTGAACCAGATAAAGCCGCTCATGAATAGTATTGCCAGGCCTGTACTTTACGAGCTCACTAAGCTCTGGCGCAAGCGCCTCTAATGTCAGTACTTACTCATGCCTAATGCCAGCGTGATGCTAAGATGAGTTGGCTTCCTACAGTAATAATACAGCAAGCCGCCGAGAATTGCCATGGCCAAGGCTCCTCCTACCTAAGCAGCTGGGTGAATGAGACACATGATGGCGTAGAAACAATCTTTCTTACATCTTGAACGAAAAAATGGGCAATCAGGGAAAGCAAGCTGTATCCCGCGATGGAAAGTACTCTCGGCTTGGATTTTTCGAACTCATCCCCCTCAATTGGAATGTCCTCTGGGCCGCCGACAAACATCGATGAAGCCGTGCAGTCTAGAGGAAAGGGGCACCTGCACAGTTCAGTAATTCGGAAGCACCGAAATTTGGCCGAATGGGTGAAGGAGCGGAGCATATGGATTAGACACCAACAATGATTATGATAGCGAGCACACGAGTATGTACACCCCAACGGACTCTCGCCAGGGCAGTTCGTGCTATTTCGTTTTCGCGGCAAACAGATGATGTTTTTTCAGTAATAATTACACGAGGAAATGTTTCTGTATCTTCTTGTTCTCAAGTGTTTCGCCATTGAGAAGGGGTCACCAGTCCCCACGACCTGCCGTCCGTTCATAAGCTAGAGATATGCCATTGAAGTGCTTGGTTCAACAGAGATGCCAATATTTTCAAATAGTCGTCAGAATTTCGATTGAGATCGCTAATTTATTTGCTCATTAACTGGTGGAGCCTCCTGGATACTCCTATGAGACTGCACCGCGCAGAGGCAGCGCTCCAGGGGATTCACATAGGCATATAACAACCCTACAAGAATACAGCTTAGACTTGGAGGCACCATTTCTATTCACATATGATTGAGACTTGAATATATCTTAATTGAGGGTTTGCGCCGGGAGAGGCGCATGATCAAAGATCACAAAAGTTGCATGCTTCTCGAAAGAGTATCAGTTTCCTGCATTGCCCTACTCAAGGTTCCCACAATGCTTAGTGTATGCTGAAACAGGCCAACACCGCAAGAAAGCAGAATACTTTTTGTGCGCTCGGTAGCTTCTTCACTATCAGCAAATGCACTCGTGTCACTGCGACTGACATTGCGGATCGATACGCCACAGGCTTCAGCAATGGTCGTTGTGGCTTGCAAATGGACAAGATATTGGACTCAGACCGTTTGCAGCCTTATAATGGCGACATAACCCTAAAGCGGGCCAGCTGCTCCCGTAAAAATCACTCTGCTCGTGAGCAAACCCCGAAAGATTCATCGAATCTGGCCGTACGAGGCGAGGGTAGGTCTCATGCAATATGCAGTGAATGAGGAAACGAAAAGCTCCACCCTACTTAGTGCGCAGGCCCACAGTCCAATTAAGGTACTGGCCCGAAATTTTGCATACTTTCACAGTGTATCGCTCCACCGTGAAGTACATACCTGACGTCTTTGACGTCGGCCACAGCGTTAAGCAATCATGATTTCGTTGTTTTTGTTTTTCTTAGACAAAGCTGGCTTGTAAAACCACAAGCACTGGGATAGTCCAAAAAATAATGACAATAAACAAAACGTAGTCAAGGTGGTACTTCCATTCACTGTAGATGCAAATTGTAGTAAATTCACGCTAATCTCCAGTATATGTGTGTTTTACAGGTAGTGATTCCAAGGTCTGACGCACATATTTTAGTGGTCTAGGTACCTTACCCCTTCCGATGCCGATGAAGGCAATCTCCGTCCCGTTCAAGATACACTTTACTTACTACGGCAGCGACTAAGCTTTGCTTTGCTTTTCGGGAACTCATTCAGGAAAGCACATTGTTAAACTATGGGAAAGGATGTGTGCCTCCCCATGAGCACCTTGTACCCTGCCGACTGTCCTTGAGGAATCCCCGAAATTCAATATCCAGTACACCTGATGAATGCCCGTTCTTAGTTATTCCGGATTCCATTGTGAGTACGACGATTAAAGAAGGATAGTAGAGAATTGCAAAAGAAACTGCTGGTAGGACGAGCGGTTTGTTCACATTTGTATCCTCTCTAGGTCAATCGTGGGGTGCCATATTGCAGGTCTTTGACAAAGTGGTTCAAGGAATTGCATACACAAAAAAAGTTGTCCTTCGTAATCGTGAGAACGTCAGGAGGCGATTGCGCCTCGAAATAGACTCCAAAAGCCCATTTCGGCTCTCTCTTCCAGCGTATCATCGAGATGGAGCTCTCACACAAGAACCGTATAGTCGCAACCAAAAGTCGCCAAATGGGTGTCGGGTCTTCGGAGCGATAGCGACGGGAATGTGCGTCCAGGTAGGCAGCTTGTCGAGTCCCTCATTGTGTAAGTGCTCTCTAGTGCAGAAAAAGGCGCTGAATCACAGTTGTTGGAATAGTGGCTTCCCCTTGTGCAAGGGAAGCTACAACGTTGTGGCTACTATCCCACAGTTTGATGCCACTAATACCTGTGGCCAATCCGACACTAAAGCACTCAGCTTTCGATAGTTTTATGACTGCACAGTTCTTGGTTTCCTTCTCTGCAACTTCTTCCGCTCCTGATGCAACTGGCTTCATAGAGCTACACACCGAGAAGGGCGCGTTCGCTATTCCGGTATATCCTCCCGCGTCCTGCCCCGAGAGCTTCTCCTCAAAGTTATGAATCCAGGCTTTGCTATGCCTTGTGCACCAGATGCATCCTCAAGGGCTCACTTGGGCAGACTTTAGCTAATACGCTGCACCGATTTCTGTGGAAACTTGTGGCAGTCTTCTAACTCACTGCCAGGGATAGTGAATCTGGCTGCCCCGGCCCCAAAACATGCACTGCTAAAATCTGTGATCAAGTTATATCTTGGCAAATGACTTTTCCTCAGATTATTGCTCGCAAGGAACCTCCCGTGTTACTTTCTTTGCCTCGTGTCCTCCATTTTGGCGCTGTGCGCCCCGGAGAGTCGACCTGCCGGGAGTAAGGAAAGCTCCACAGAATTCAACCATCTTAGGACCACAAGAACACAAAGATCATTTTGCGTGCGTGCAGCTGTTGCATTCCGGTTCTCAGTACGGTTGCGCATGCATTTCTTAAAGTCTTTAGCGATGTTAAGAGGATCCCCTCTGTACAGCCCACCATCCATTCTGCTTTCAGCAAACATGTCGCCCTAAAAAACCCCGTTTTAGCACAGTGCTCAAAGTCGACGACCTCACACATACGTGGGCTACTAGTTTTGATGTTACCTTTTTTGAAGAGGTTGGCTCAGGAGATTTGGGTGTTGGCGGTTCTCAGGTTAACGATACATCATAAGGGGGGCAATGCTGCTTTGAGGACCTTCATAGTACCAGCAAAGCCGGCCCCATGTTGTCAGCACGCTGAAGATCCATCCCCTCTGTTAAAAGCCTCCAAAGCAGCAGAACAAGCTGATTGTATAAGCTTCCTTTTAAATCATGGCAGGCGAAAGGACGAGGATACGTTCATGGTAGCAGAACGAGAGGTGCTCTTGCTGCAAGGGCGGAAGGACCCGTCACTCTCTATCCGATTTTCCCCAAGAGAACCTGGTCTTTTTAGAGCTACCCTGTTGCTTATTCTTTCCGAACGAAAGGTCTCTGCCGAGGCTCGGCCTGAGCCGCTTGGCGTGGTTGAACTGCAAGGGATCGCCGACGCGGCCGCGCTCACTCTAAAGGAGTTCTGTGGCACTCAGTTGCCCATGGAACTACTCACACCCCTGGTAGATCAACAGATTCCCCAAGGGCATACGCTATTAGGAGGAGCTGGTACTCAGACACCAGCCCTGGCATGCGACAACGCAGCTGGAATAGGGTTAGCAGCAGGTGCGATAACACGGCCTGCAGGCGCACTACAAGAGGATGAGTTGCGGCAGCTTCAGGAGTCGTACGAGACTGCGCTTTGCCTGACGGCCAAAGAAACTCTGTTTCCACAAGTCGTTGACTTTGGATATACCTTAGTACGAAGCTGAAATAGCCTCTGTACCCAGCCATGCCTCAGCCAGACATGCTCCAGCTTTATGTACCGTTGAGCTAGCCACGCAAGTACTAAAGCCATAAGGGGCATTGGGTTCTTTGCGGTTTTACAGCCACAGGGCCCAAGGATTGTCCAAACCCTCACGCTTTGCAACGAAGGGGCACTGCCCATTCGCCTTGCATGGCACCACGATACAACCACTATCTCCGAGCACCTCACAAGCACCGACTTGTTCGCAACAGCACCGGAACCACCCTTTATCACATCCTTATCTGAGGCCTTTTCAGTGTCGCCAAAGGAAGTTTTCCTTCAAGCCAAGGAGAGCTGTTCGTTCCGCCTTGTAGCGGACCCAAGACTGCTACCGCGCACACTCTCAGACTCCCCAGAAAGCAATGGCATGGAAGATAGAATTGATTCGTTCTGCTGCTGGGTCTCCCTTCGGGTGTGTACAGTTTAGGTGAAGCTCCTCAGATCCTTCTCCCCCTCTGGGGACTTTTTTCTTGTCCCTTTGCATTGCCTTGTATGATAATGTGTGCCTGTGTTGCTCGTGCGTTGTAGATGATGGGAGTCCTTAAGTGTGCTCTCCTCTCTCCTTTGGTCTACCTGAAGGGTCTGAGTGCTCCAAGCTGCCCCTGCTTAAATGCCAAAGAGATAAATATGCAACGCGATACGAACGATAGCATGGCGGCACCACCCCTGCGCTGGATGCCGCTCCTCGCTACTCCCAAGAAGATATGTCGTCAGCCGAATGGAACTTCCTGCACTCAAGCCGTGGAGACATCTCAAGCTGCGGAAGCAGAGCAGAGAGAGTGGGAGATGCTGCGATTCCAGATGCGCCTCAAAATAGATCGCCCCCGTGTGGTGCTGCTCGGGCCCCTTCCTGAAGGAACAGCACCTTATGTTGCGCGCCTCAGACCTGGAGTCGTGCAGAGTATCGCCTTAAGAGCTCGAAACGAGGGACGTTCTAAAGTGCGTTTGGCAGTGCGACGCGACGTTAGGGGCTTGAAGGCCCGGTGGAGGATCCCCTACGCGTGCTGTGGCAGTTCGAGCAGCGGCAAGCCACCTGGCGAGGACCCTAAGACGGCGTGGCTTCTCCGTGTCGACGAAGAACAGCTGGAGGCGCTGCAACGAGAACAAGACTTGGCAAGTGTAGACCCTAGCCCGTCACTTGTGCCCCCCCTGTACATCCAGCTTCGTGTTACTGCACTGTATGCACTGAGCACGTTTGCTTCCGCAGGTCGTGGGTCTAGGACCTCAGCCATTCGGGTACTTTTGCATTTCCCCAAAAGGAGGGACCCCTCTCTGCCCTGGAGCGGAAGAGGCACTCATTCTTCGGGTGCTGCCACTCTGTTGTGGCTCATTCTCCGCGAGCGTTGCTATATCCGTGCTCCCTCCGGCCTCAGAAGACAGTGCAGAGCCGGACGAAGCAGAGCTTGTAGAACAAGCGCGCTTGAGCTACCCAGTGTCTGTTGAAGTGGCTGTTCCTCGTGTATCTGCAAGTTGGCCGCCTGTCCTCGATTTCGGGACGGTACAACGTTTTTGGCCCTTCACTGAAAACACAACGAAGTACCTCGTTTACGTGAAGCTACAGGCAGCGAGCTGGTCGGGGGGCAAAGCTTTTCTTGAGCCTCTTGCAGCACATGTTGGCTGTGTGTCTTATTCCTGTTTAGGTGCGAGCACATAGCAGGACAACGCGCGCCCTGTTGCTCTACAATCCCGCACCGGCTCCCGCCATCGCTCGCATCCGCATCCTCAGTAGCGAAACCACCGCAGATGCTGCAACAGCCCAGGGAGCGACGCTGGAGATGCAATCGATGGCAGGCGAGTTTCCCTGCCACTTTGGTTCCTGCCTTCTCAGGGGCCCCTCCGCGGGGGCCTTTGCCCCACCGGCGACCGCAGTCTGTGAGCCAAGCACAGAAAAAGGCACGGAATCGGCGGATCCCACGTGCAGCGTTGGGGAAGCCGCCCCACTTGCAAACCCCAAAGTTCTACCAGGAAAAGAAGAACCGGAGACGTCCAGGCTGCGATCCTGCATCCAGTGTCTATGCGTAGACGAGTCCCTACAGACGGCAGAGCCCTTCCTCTCACACGCTGAGAAAGCCGCAGAAGAAGCAGCAGCGGACTTCGCTGCTGCTCTCCATGCGGAAACTGCGCGTGCTGGTGCGAACTTGAAACGGAGGGCCCTGCATTGTGCAATAAAACCTTCATGCCCAATAACACACCTAGAAGCCTCGAAAGTGTAGCCGTCAGCCAACAAGCAGACCTGTTCGCAGCCCACCCTGTATGCGCTGTAGGTGGCGGCGAAGAAGTGCAACAGCAGCAACAAAACGTCCTTCTGCATCACTTGAAAGCGTGGAAACAGCAGCAAACATTGCAACAGGGTCTGAGAAAACCTTTGGCAGCAGTGATTGGCATGTCTGGCCGGGTAATAGCGTATCCAGGGCATGTTGTACTACCCCCTGGAGGACATGGCGTGTTTTTGCTGATATTGCGGGCGTCTCACCCCCAAGAAATTGACTCACATATTTTTGTAAGGGGGCACCAGCTTTGCAGGTGGATTTTCGTCCCCAAAGCACCCTTTAACTTGGCAACTGCATAGTGTGTGAGCTTGCAGGTAGAAACCTTAGAAGGAGGACAACCTGTGGTAGTATCCATAAGGGCGAAAGTCACGCTTCCAAAACTTCGCCTAAGCTCGCACCTTTTGGAGCTTCCCCGACTCTTTTTAAGGCAACCAATGATGCTGAAAAAGCAGCTAACGGTGTACAACGACTCCGATATTCCAACCAAGATACGGTGGACGTCCTTAGCACCAATGCATCATAAGGAGCAGGAGCAAGACCAGTTGCGGCACAGCGCTTGTGGGGAGGGACCTCATAGTTGTCAAAGTGACCAGGGCGGCTTGCTAGTCTCCCTGAGTCCGGCTGAGTCTATCCTGCGAGAAAGAAGCTCAGTGAATGTAGATATTTGCTGCGTCGGCCTCTGTGCTGGCACCCGCTTGGAAACCAAGGCTTTCTGCAAGGGAGACAGCCTGCTGGTGCCCCTGCAGGTTTCTCTGGCCGGCGCCTGCAGCGGCGTCTCCGTCACATACGCACTGTTCACCCAACATCAACTAGTGGCCGCTGCATGTCTTCTACAGCAGCGAACTCGACAAAACAAGAGCCAGGAGCGCTCAAGCACGCACCCTGATGCAGCTGTAGAGCAGCACACTCATATTAAACAGGAGCACAAGCAAACACCGTTTGAGAACAGACAGCAACGAAAATCGCCTAGCTGCGTCAGCAACGTGACCAATAACGGCAGCAGAAGTAGCGCTTGCCGCATGCACAACAGCGCCAGCTGCAAGGGCAGGCATGGCAAACAGCATAGCGACCTGGCCGCACGCAAAGGGAGCTGTAACATCGCCAGAATTAGGAGCATTAACAGAGACATCGAGTGTACAAGTGCCAGCGAGGAATTAGACTGGGGAGTAGAGGCTGTTGAAGTACTTCAGGCTAGCGGTATTGGCACGTGGGGTGCCTTGGAGTGCGGTGTTTCCAATTCGCGGGGAAATAGTGAGGGATCACAAGAGCTGGCGCTTCCGAAGCTGCATGCCGGAGGTGACTCTGCGTTCGTGTACCTCCTAGCCATTAACAACTCTCCGATACCTGGAGCTCTTCAGGTAGAGGCATTCACAGGGCAAGCGCCGCAGCAGTCGCTGCAGAAGCGGCAGCTACATGCGTCAGCCATTCGACACCCCAGCTTGTACGAAGAGGGGAGGCCAGTAGGAGCCAGCATGTGCCCGGATTGCAGTGGAGCCAATGCAGAGTGGAGTTGCAGCAACAGCCGCAGCCTTGTATTGGGAACGGCGCGTAGATCCTCCTGCTCCAGCACTCCCACCACCAACAGCCTCAACAGCGCAAACAGTATTGAAATAGGCTATGCTTCATCGCTGACAGCAGAAGCCTTGCTGATTCAAGCGGCATCCTTCAAGGCTCCTTCGGAGCTGAAACAATTGTTGCCGCACACATCTGCTGCACAGTCTCTGGCCTTCAAGACAAAGTCTGGTGTGTATACCCTACAGGCCGCTGCCGGGCGGCAGCGGCGGCAGCAGCTGCTAAGGATGACTGAAGATGGCGTGCTGATCATTCCACATCCTGAAACCCCATGTGAGCTGCAGCAGCACCAAGCCGTGCTCCTGGCCATCGAAATTTTTGGTGCAGTGCCTGCGGACTATGAAGGCATGCTTAGGCTTGGCTTAGCGCCATCCGAGCATCTGCAGCTTCCGTTGAAGGACCCCCAATGGGCACAGGAGCAGTGCCAGGTGCTGATCCCAGTAAAAATTCCGGTTTGTGGATCCTTGTTGCTCCTGCCACCACTGCAGAAATCAATCCGTTACCGCGAGTGCGAGCCGCCGCTTATTACTGCGCAGATAAGCCTGCAGCAGCCCCTCATTGCGGCACAGCTGCAGAAGGAGCAGACAGCACTCCAGCGGAGCGGTGTTGTAGCTTGCTATCGAAAAACCGCTTTACTGCTGCCACTAAAAGGCACCAAGAAAAACACAGAATGGCTTTTCGCGACTGCAGCAACCGCCGAGGAGCAGCAGCAGAAGCAGCAAAACGAGACCCGGCAAAAGCTACGCCGACAGAGGCACGACGAAGAAGTGCGTGTGAACTTTAAAGTGGAAAACAACAGTAACCAATGGCTGCAAGTCAACTGGTCGCTCTTTGATCTCGGCCTCTGGGAAATGCAAAGAATGCTGCAGCAGCGACTCCAGCAAGCTGCAGCAGTACGGGATGCTGCCCTTGAGGCACTGCGACAGCGCGCAGTAGAAGCTGCACGTGAGGCTGCAGCTGCGGCAAGCGTCGCAGCTGCAGCAGCAGCAAAAGCAGAAGCGGCCACAGTAGCGTCTCATTCGTCAAGCCCTGCGCCTCCGAGAAAGCCAGGGATGCTGCAAACAAGCAAGGCACCCTCTCTGTCATCAGCTCTAGTAGCTGCAGCGGCTGAAGCTGCTGCAGCTGCTGAGGAGGCGGCTCTGAAGGCGACAGAGGCAGCGACAGCAGCGGCGGATGCCGGCATAGAAGAGGGCAGCCGCGGGTGGGAAGTGCTAGCTGGAATAGTGGCAGAAGCCATGGCATCAACGACTTCACACATGGCAAATGAGGAGCATGCCCCAAAAGAAGATCAGCACCAAGAAATCGAACCGCCACTTAAGCCCATGGAAGAGAGGCCCGAGCAAGAAGCTGCTAGTGCACCCAGATCAGCACCGAAAATGGCGATGGAGATAGAAACAGCTCTGAGGGCCGAAATAACAGCACCTGAAGGTGCCACACACCAAAGTGCTGCCGCGATGCCTTCTAAAGCAAAAGATGCTGCAATATCCCTAAATAATAGGGCTGAAGGGGTGGCACCGACTCCGCATGCGGCTCCAGCGACAAAAACACAGATCGACACGGAGCTGCTGCCACCACAGGAATACTTTGTGAGGGAGTGGATGCCGCTTTCTGCTGAGGCAAGGGGCATTGCAGCTGCCTCAGTAGTCCTACGGACTCACAGGGCCTCTGTGCCAGCCGGACAAACACCCCACGACGCAGCTGTACCGAAAGCAAACGTGATTAAACATGCTGACTCTCCTGCTGCTGCCACATACGAGCAAGTGGAAGACGAGTTTGCTGAACCAGAACCACTTAGACAAGGACGAACAGCAGCAGCAAACGACGGGCTCAGGGTTGTTACAGAAGGCTTTGTGTCTGGCCCAGAAGAAGAGTCGAGCAGCAGCAGACGCAGCAATCTGGGCAGCAATAGCGGGAACCGCAGAAAAAAGCCAGAACAGTTTTCTGAAAGAGAGGGGCCTAGTGCTTTGGGCCCCATCCGTGGAGATAGAGCGGAAACACTCCTTACCGAGGTGATCCCACCACTCTCCTGTGCACCCCGCATAGAGCCGTGTAAAGCGATTCTGGCTCCTTTTGAGAGCCTGGAAGTATCCCTTCACTGTGGACTCTTGTTGGCAGCCACGGGAGTTCACAGGCTGAGAGCTATAGCCCACGCAGTACCTCTCGCTGCAGGGAAGGCCTTTGCAGCACACGACGCATCACCTGCAGCTGAATGCCCTTCGGGGCAGACGACACCGGTGGGGTCGAGCACCCAAGTAACGACACATGAAACTGAATCGCAAAGGCAGCAGCAGCAAACGATGCAGCATGGATTCGCATCACGGACAGAATCAGGCAAAGGTCAAGCTGTAGTCGGGTGCACGTCCAGCGCAGTAGACAAGCAGAAGGAAAAGACTTTTAGAAACACTACATCAGCTTTTCCATTGGTTTGGCCGTATTCCCAGCAGCCACTATACACGGCATCGGATGCAAAGCTTCATAGCGTTGAGCAGCAGCGTACTGGCACTATGCCTGGTCCTCATGTTGCTACCAGTGCCACCAGAACTGGTGCAGGTCCGACGCCTATTACAGCATTGACAGCCACACAGCGTTCTGATGCTGAACCACTTATCGTGGACTTTTGCATTGAAACAAAGCCCCCATGTTTTCGTTTGAGCTCCAAAGGCGAGAGCCATGGAGAGGCAGCGGCGACGGAGGGAACAGTCACACCGCCTAAAGGTACTGCGCGTCTTGGTACTGTGTGGTTCACCGCGTCCCCAGTAACAAACGGAAGCAACGGACAAAAGGCTGACGTCTCGGAGGGCTTAGTCCTTCGGGAAGTGCTGCTGGAGCCACTGCCATACTGCAACTCCATTCGCTGCGGTGTCAGCCTGGAGGGCAAAGCTTTCAAGCTATTCCAGGCAAAAGTGCAGGACCGGCACCAGCAGGAGAAGTTTCTGCCGCAGCAGCAGCAAACACTCCACCACCATCCAGAGGATCGTCTGGTAAGAAGGGTTGGGCAGCTAAAACCCCTTATGTCCTCATAGCCGATGTGCATTCGGTAGACGTTCAGTAGGCAGCCATCTTAAACCGATATATCAACACGTGCAGAGTGTACGAACCAGCACTGCTGGCGCTACGTGTACAGATGTTCACGATTAAGAAGGGCCAGCAGCTAAGACTGGTTGTGGGGTTTTTGCCTCCAACGATTTGCGAGCTGACGAGGGAATCCAAGACAAACTGCACCGGCAAGATCTCTATCTTTCTCCCTGGAGTTTCACCGCTAAGCAGTACTCAGACAAACTCACCACACGGGCCTTTTCCGGTCTGTCCAACGTTGACAGAAGAGCAAGCAGCGATAGAAGAGCCACTCTGCCACACCCTGCTGAGTGGCATTTTGCGAGTCTTGCGTCCTAATGAAGATCCGAGGCCCTTATTGTCACTAGGGTTGGCAGCCCTTCAGCAGTATCACTACCAACAAGCACCGCCTTTGGAAGCTGCCAAAGCACTGCAACAGGTCCAGCAGCAGGTTCTGGTCCAAGGCCTTAACACTGCGTGGCCGACTGTTCCGGCAGCAGCAGCGGCAGCTATTCTCGAAGGAGGAGCAAGCTCCAGTCAGAAGGCGTTTGGTGTGTCAGCAGCCTTGCAAGCATCAGATCAATCAGCGGCTGCGGAAGCAGGACCTCCAGAGTACACCCAGACCATCGCCCTCGTGGGGATTTGCAGGCAGTCCCTCATACTAATGTGGTGTCCTCCTGATGAAGGCGAAAAGGAGACTCACCGCGAAGAAAAGAGGGGTTCATGGGCTGCGCATTGCGTTCCCAGCGACCCCCTGGTCATAAACTTCAGCACCACACATGTGCAAGCCAGAAAATATCCGGCCAAACTGCTCCATCTCAGGGCTGTCTCTGGGACACCTTCAAGATGGCAGGTCGAAGAGTGTCAGAGCAGTGAAAAGCCTGACGCTGCCCCTGCTACAATGCCAGTCCACATGGTCAGTGCTTTCTTCTACTGTTCAGTCTCAAGCCAGATGGCTTCCCATCTAGAATGAACACGGTTAACCTAAGGTCCTATGCACGGATGTCTCCCCCCGTTCGTCTTTGAAACCTTCTTCAGAAAGAAACCCAAGACGGCCAAACCAGTAGTTTCAAGTTCAGCTTCACCACCGGAACACTGGGAAGCCGCACAGGGGCAGAGGAAGGCCGCAACGAGGCGACCATCATAATATGCTTTACGTGAGAGATGTGAACAGATGACGCAAAACCAGCAAGCCCAAAATTCTTGCTTTCTTGTCCTGTGTGTGTTGATATTATGCTTTCCATCTGATTCTGCATCACCCACGGCCTCTGAGAAATGTGTATTCAGCCGCTCCTATGCTGTTTGTTCCTCTCGGCTTGGCAGTTCTGATATTGAGGATGAGTTCGCTTATGTCTGTGCCTCAGACCAGCCCACGCTGGACACCACAAGTCTCTTTTTAGGATCTCGGCAGATCTTGCAGCAGCGCCGCAGTACGTAGAACTACGGGGATATGCGACAACTGATGAGACCTTTGATGTTTGCGCCTCTTTGGGCAACCTCGCAGAGCCCCCATACCAATGCATTCCCTAGTGTCCCTTTATCTAGAGCTTCTGCGTCTCTCTGCTTTGAATAGTGCAGCTAGATTACACTGGCCCTGACGGCGGTCTGCAAATGGCGACGTCTACCTGGATACACTAGCCATTCAGCCGCAGCACACCTGTGCAGCTGGCTGGATGGCTGGCTGCCGGACTGTTATCTCAAATCCTTCGAGCCTCGTTGAACTCGAGCACTGCATACAGAGCTTGTCGACAAAACGTTCGACAGCAGCTTCTTCGGTGGCTTGGTGCCAGATTTTTGAGACTAAAACGCCTGAACCCCTGGGTGTATCTTACATGTGGCTTGTCACCGAGAGCGCCATTGCCCGCCGGGAGTTGCATAACTAAAAACTATGTTTTTTTAAAACACCTTATCAAGTCACGAGAGAGACGGTTGTAGCGCGATGCACCACAAGAGAATACCTTGTCGCCTGCACCGACCCCTGTGTGTGGGTGCATGAAAATTGTAGTCAAGCGTCCCTGCATTGTAGAGTGTTCGAGAAGCCGAGAAAAAGGCTTTAGAGATCAAATCTGAAGGTGAAAAAAGTGATCCCGACTAGAGCCAAGCTTCTCTACTGCCACCCTAGCAGAATGCGCTCTGTAGAGGAACGACGCGCAGCAGCGGGCTCTATTCAGTGGTACCTCCCGCGGGTGCCTTGTGACACTGTCGGCAGCAGTGGATCTGGCTTTCATGCCCCTCCTGGCTCCTTATCGCCAAGCCGTCAGGTCTATTTTGACTTCTTGAGTGCCTCTCCAGCGTGACTGTGTGTGCACCTTGGTGAGCAGCAGCCGTTGAATCCACGTCGGGGCAGCCACCAACAGAGCCGCACAGTCGATCCACAGGACAGCCTGTGCTTTCTCACCTCCCGCTGCCTCTTGCCGTCGGCTAAAGGGGAGGGAGAACTTCTTGCGAGACGTGCTCCAGAAACCAGCTAGCCGTGTTGGTCCAGTAGTCAGCGTCCGTCACTGGGGTGTCCAAGCTGTGGTTATCTTCCGGGTACCAAAGCAGCTTGCTCTTCTTCCCTGCAGCAGAAGGAGATGCAAACGCGAGAGGAAAAAGGCGCACAATCTTGTTATTCAAGAGGAGGAAGGGCAAAGAAAACGCGTGCGGTGGGGGCATCGAAGAGAGCAGAGGGACGCGCACCATTGCCATTCAGAAGCTTCCAAAAAAGAAGGCCTTGCGACGGCGGAACCTGAATAAAAAATAGCACAAGTGGCAGGAGACTGCAAAGGGGTCGTGAAAGAAAAACAGTCCAGCAAGGCTACGAAGAGCATGACATTATCCGCTAACGAAACACGAAACGGACCGCGATTTTCGTTCTGCTATATATATGCCTTAGGAAACAGAAAAGAGCAGCTGTAAACCAAGACATTTAGGATCCCGCAACGCATGCGCGTAGTGCGTGGACACAACGGTGCTGTTTGCCGAATGCAGTGGATGCTAGCAGAGGCGCATGCCCTCCCTACTCATGAGCATACAAAGGCAATCGTTTCTAGCATAGCACTGCAGCGACAGTCAGAAGGACAGAGACGCGTTTTGACTCCGCCTGCAGCTCGGGGGTGTCCTGATACAAAAAGCTTCCCAAGGGCGCATTGCACTGGAGAGCAGCAGCCTCAGCTGTGCATGTATTGTGTGCTTTGTTGTATGTGGTTGTATTATGCTCTATAAGACTGACTCGCTGGTCCTTAGCGCCGAGTGCCAGGAGAATGGGGGTCTGTATAGATCCCACATACTCCGTGGGGGAAAGATGCTGCATTTTCACGATAGCTTCTTCTGTTGGCGGTTTGTCGAATTCAAAGTCTTTTCCGCAGGAGACTGGGAAGACGAAGTCTGCAAGAACGCATGAGGGAAGGCACAAGCTGATGCAACATGCGATCGTAATTCGGAGATGGATCGCCGCGAGGCCAAAGAAACCCTCGCACGTGCTTGCTCGATAGAAACAGGCAGCGGCAAAAGCAGAAAGAGAACCACGGGCTAGTTTTCAGAAGGTGTTTTATGCAACATCGAGACATTGGGAAACAGCCAATTGGACAAGGAACCCAGGAGCTCATGGCACTGCAGTAAAACAGGCGAAAAGCGACAAGGGCTCACGAGGTGGCCGCAAGGGCACAGTGAGAGCATCACTTCTGCGGTTTATATCTGACGACAGGAGGAAGTGGATCCGCTGGTATGGCTGCGGCATGAAAGCTTAAGAAGCAAGCAGCTCCTTTCTCTGGTGTACCTACCGGGTATATCGGAGGAGGCAAACATAGCCGGAATATAGGTGACGGGGTTTCTCGCGGACGCTGCACTGAAAAGCTTAGGAAACTGAGCAGGAAAAAGAGCAGAGCGCACTTTGCCTTGACATCTAGCACTATGCACAGTTAATTTGGCAGCCGAGAGGATATGAAATCAGAGTCAGCTCCAAATGCGCGCCTTTCAGCCCCTGAACGCGCAGTTTGGGGGCAGCAGCTGCCTTCCGGAACACCTTTTCACGACAGCAAGGCACCGGAAGCAAGCACCGATATATATATATTTATAGATATGCAGAAAATCACACAGAAGACAGACATGGCATTTCACCAGTGCTATTAATAAAACGAACCTGCCCAATGAGGTGGCAAGTAAGAAATCCCCCGTGAGATCCTCCCATGACCACGCAACGGTTCCGGTTGTAGCCGAACCTGAATGCTTGGCGCAGAGCCTCGAAGATCGTGGGGAGGCCCTTGTGCAGAGGGAGGCCGCAGTGTATCAGCGAAGGGTGCGCATGGATGTATGTCACTGTGTGTCATACTGGCTGTCTTGCATACTAAGCGCCAGGCAAGAGCTAGAAGACGTCGCTGCAGCCGAGAGGCACCCCTCACCTTTGAACAACTCTACTCACAATCTCTTCCACGTCCTCCACGTCTTGACGGCCAGCGCGACCTGAAGCAGCAGCAGCAGCTTTTCAGACCTTGCAAAAGCAATTTAATGGCCATCTCTCTGGCCCTTGCACCAGTTCACAAGTCAAAAGGAAAGGAAAACGCAGTGCTTCCTTCGAGGGGGCTGCTACATCGTATAAGCTGACCGGAACGGAAACAAAAGAGGCACCCGGACTCTTTCTGTCTCTCTCTCTCTGTGTGTGTGTGTGCGTTTGTGTGTCTTTCTCTTTCTGTCTTTCTCGCTCTACGGACCGTGAATTGAGACGAGTTCGTCCTGACCGAAACCTGCGGAGCCTCTGTAGTTCACCACCAAGACATCGAATCCTATGGTGGTCAAAAAGAGAACATACCGGCTGTACGCGCAAGTTGCGCATGCGTGGGGGCCCCCGTGGATGAAGACGGCCAAACTGGGGAGGGAAGGACCTTTGGGGGGGGCCCCTAGCCGCAGCAGCCAGTGGCGCTGGCACTCCAAGTGGTACAGTGACAGTGTGAGCATATGCAGCTGCAGCTTGTTCACTGCCTGAAGAGAGAGAACGGAAGCACACAGGAAGGCTGCCGACATGTGCCCACGGCCTTCTCAACGAGAAAGCTAATGCGAGCAACAGACCCACATGTCAGGCACAGCAGCACCTTGAAGACACGCACATCTAGAGTGGCTTGCCCCTTTGTTCGAAGTGCATTTGGACCCCGTTTGTCCCCGCTCACCCCGTCTAAGGCCTCGTGGGGGCCCCTCAACACCATGGCGTGGACGATATCTGCCACAATCGGAGAGCCCATCAAGTCGCCCTCATTGCAGCTCTCCTTTGCGGAAGCCGAAGCCCTCAGTTTTGCAAGAACGAGAGCAGGAACATGCACAGGACTGCTGGTTTGAACGAGAATCCATTCACCCCTAACGTCCCACAGGCTCACATCTCCCACTGCTGCTGCTGCCGCTGCCATCTTGATTTCCATGGAAGTTGACGGCCCTTGAGATTTGTTCAGCTGAAGTTGCCGCACGCGGGGCCCTTCAGCTACGCAGCAAACAGCGCACATGCCAGCTCGCCGAGCTCCACACATTTCAAGCCCGTCATCCCCCAGCCCTCCCTCCGTAAAAGAAACAAGGATCTCGACAGCTGACAGCACAGACGTCAGAAGCAGGATGTGATCTCGGCAGCACTAGCCCCTAGAGTCGACCTGACCGCGCTCGTCTGTGAGGATGGCAACGACGGTCTGTCGGCAGCCGATGAAGGTGTTCGCCAGGAGAAAGCCTTGAGTTCTCCATGGTGGGAGATCGAATCCGCAGAAGCCTCCAAAGGGCCTGACCTCTCTGCCCCCTGTGGGTGTTTCTGTCTCCCGCAGAGGCCCCGCCACGCAGCTCGACCAGCTCTCCGTTGGAGAGCAACCCTCACTGGAAGCCACGCAACGGCCTGCAAGGTGCTTGCAATCTGCTAGGGGGTTTGGATTCAACAATGTGCGTCTGCCCTCCACACGCCACGGGTCCAAAGAACTCGCTCGGATAACAGTAACCACGCGGAGGCGGGTGTTGCCAAAGTGAGGCCGCGTCTCCTGCGGCAGCAGCAAAACAACAGACCCCAGCTGCACTGCTTGAGGGCTTTCTTTTCTTGGTATGCTGTGCGTGTAAGAGAGCGAGTACCAGCCTTCCAGAGACGAGCTTGTGGTGCTGGTGGCAGTGTCTTGTTGCCTCTCGTTGCGTGAATGGTGTGCAGCTCGTGTGCGTGTGTGTAAGTCGAGTAGTATCTGGGGTGCTCTGTTGCTGCCTTTGCCGTGCCTTCGAGGTGTTCGCATTGAGTGTGCCGCTTCCCCCATCCTTCCCCCCTCATGACCCCTTTTCCCCATCCTTCCCACCCCTTTCCCCCATCCTTCCCCCTCGCTGAAGTCGCGCTAAAAGGGGTTGCTAGGTGCCTACACACCCTGCAGTCCTCTGTCAAGGAGGTGTATATCACTTCAAATCTCAGGAGGGCCTCGCGAGGGGATGCGGGAGCTTCGCACACCCTCGCTCCCCAGGCAGCCCAATCCTCCTTTCCTGAAAGCTGCAACCAAGTCGGCCTGATGGATCCGAGGGGATCTCCATGACAGGCGGCCTTGCTTCTAAGGGCCTCTGCAAGGTGTCTCCCCGACGAGCCTGACGCTAAGAGGATCGCACATTGGCGGTTGATGCAAAACTTGAGCCCCAGTCTACAGCGCAGAAAAGAAACGTGGCTGCTGACGCCTCACATTGAGATTATTTCGCGAGGTGACCCCAATGCGTACGTTTGCATCCAGGAACAGCAGCAGAGGGCGTAGCTAGGCACGCTGGAACATACCTGTAAGGCGCAGATCGAATCTCCGTGCAGACGATGGCGGATCCGTCGGGAACGAATTTGGCCTGCAAGAAGCGCAATTTGATTGAGAGACCCCGCACGTGACAGCGTGTGGCTTGGATGCAAATGCGCACCTACCCGCGGTTGAGCCAAAAGTGTATTTGCGAGGCAAGCGCAGCACACAAAGCCCTTAGAGGGCCCACCCCGCCCCCAAACTGACTGACTTGGGCGTAGCTTGCGGATGGCTCGTTAGGCTCGAGAGAGGTCAAGACTGCAGGTGCTACACTCCCCAGAAAGACTCTGCCGATGGAGTGGTGCAGCAGCTGCTCTCCCCAGGTGTCTTTATACAGGAAAGTGTCGAGAGGAGACTTGTTCTCCGGCTGGGCAGCCTCCGCGACGTATGCAAAGCTGCAGGGCAGCACGCAGCAGCTACCGAAGGAATCCTGTGTCGCCACTCTTAGCAGCGCTTGCGTGTGCTGACTCCTGCCGCTGAGAGTCTATGCGACTTGCCAGAGGCTCCTAGCTACCCGGGCGTGCGCGGCGAAACAACAAGGTGTGTCGGACAGAAATGAGGCCCCTAGAGCAGCGCGGCTCCCTGAGAAGGTCGCTCACAGGTTCTCATCGCCAGAGCAGAAGGAACCTCCGCCGTAAGGAGGCAGCCAGGAGACGCCATGAGGGGCCGGAAGACACAAAACACACCCAATGCCTGTGTTGCTACTCGAACCCCAGATCTCGAGCCGCTGAAGAGGCAGTGCTCCTGCTCCTACAGACCCTCCCGTAGCCTTCCCATTGTCGGCACGAGGCGTCAGATGGGCAACGAGTTTTCCTGACACGGCCCGCAACAACACGCGCACAGTTCATGCATGCATGCACGCGCTTGCTCGCTCGCCATGCCTGCAGGTTACACCCCATGAGAGACGTTCGGCCTCCTTCAAAGAACCAGTCGCTGTGAACTACGGGCATCCCAAGAAACAGCCGCACTCGCACAGGCCGACCCATCCAGCAAAAGGCGCAAGTTTTCTGCCTAGGTTGCGGGAAAGCAAAGACTCGCTCTGTCATGAAGCTGGTGTCTGGCTGCCCTTGAACCAGCCGTCGCACTGTGAGGTGAGCTTGCTCGATGAGACGCGCAAGGCGGGGACGATACTGGGGTCTCTTAGGTCTATACGGCAAAAAACGTACCTGAGGGCGAACAAAACTCGAGGGTAGGCGGCGTTTCAAGGGGCACTACACTTAGCAGCGGTTGCTGCTTCAGTGTGGGGGACCAGGAAATCGAGAGACACCTCTTTCTCTCAGAGATGCGCTGCATAATCACGCTCAGAGTACAAGCCGCAAACGGAGCGTCAGATGAAGAAGGCGCTTGGGGGCGTTTGAAGGTGACCAAGGGCACAGGCAGAGGGCAGCGGAGACTCTTTCTGTTTCTCTCTCTGTTTCTATCTATCTTTCTATACATATATATATCTCTCTCTTTCTATTTGTCTTTCTTTGTCGCTCTCTCTTTAAAGCGTTGTGGCATTAGACAGTGTTCGGAGTCACCTGAGTGGCAAAGACGCGCACAAGGGCGAGATCGCCTTCAGGGCCCACCCCGTGCAGCTGGGCAGCACCGACGTCTAGAGCATTTGCACAGCAGACACGGAACCGCCGCTGCACTTCCTACGAGCACACACACGCACCGGGGGAGCCTTAGCTCGGAGACTGAAATCCAAAAAAACGCAAGTCCGAAGTCTCTAGCTCTGCATGCGTGGGAGTGCCCTGTTGGCTAGAAGAGAGGCAAATCTCAGCACTGATCCAGGAAGACTCACAGCGATTCTGCCAGAAGGATCGATCAGATCCGCATGTTCACGAGAAGCGCGGCATTGGTCCTTAAGAGAATCCTGAGGATCTCGCTTGAACATGCGCTGCTGCTGCTGTCCATTGGTCTCTGGGCGAGCTGTCTGATGCTGCTGCTCTACTCCAGGTGGGGAGGCATCCTCGTGCCGTTGCTGCAGGTTCCTCTCGCGTGAATGCCGCTGCGCCTGATGCTGCTTGCCGGCGCGTTTCTTGTGCGTCATTTGCGAGAAAATGTGTGTTGGCAGTTTTGCCGTTCCGGCCGAAATGTATCTGCCCCCCAGTTGCGCTGCCTCTCTCGCCACACAAACTGGATTCCACGAACACCAGCTGATTCCACGTCTTCTTTCACCAACTCTTGCCTCGGTGTATTCGAAAATTTTAGCCAGAGAAGTTGAAACACAGCCTCTGTGGCCGTGGAGGCGACCCGGAGCTCGCCGGAGGTGGTGATAAGCTGGCTCTGAATAGTAGCGCTAATGCCTTAACCGTTGGTGTCGGTTCACACTCAAGTCTTGAAATTAAGGCTACTAAAAGTATTCGAGAACAAGCGGTGATGAAGTTTCTCTACCTGTAGACATTTACGACACACATTGCGAGCTCGACGGGGCCGCATGCACTTGCAGCAGCAGCAGCTGCACTTGCTGCAGCTGCTGCTGCCGGGTTTTCCGTTGGTGGTTGCTAAAGATACGCTGGACTGGGGTTGTAGGGTCGGCGGGTGATTTTCTGAGGCTTTTTCTCCTTGGCTTAAATTGCGTGTTGCTCTTGGACTTCCAGGGTTAGCGGCTTCCCCTCACCCCTCTTGAGGACGCCTTCCTTGCTGCAGTTGCTGCGGCTGCTGCAGCGCCTCTGGCCTTGCTGCCCCCTTTTTGCGGTTCCTGCGGCTTTTTGTACTCATAGAACCTCAGCAGCTACATTTCACGTCGCCTTGCGCTCGTCTGTTTCTGCTGAAGGGCTCTCAAGGCCCTTGACCTCCCGAGGGTAGCTCCAGCACTCGAGCGCCTCCAACGGCGGAGGGCGACGCAGTAGTACATTTCTGCTGCACCATCCCGTGTCTCACGCCTCTGCAGAGATATCGCTCGCCTCTCGTCACTCGTGCGGAGAATGAGCACCGCAGTAGAGCTGCCTCAGAGGCCTTCGGCCCCTACCGCAGTCTCTGCAGCGCCCGCTGGAGGGGGGGCCCATGAGGGCTCTCCAGGATCAGCCCATCCTGACTTGATTTTTCCACCAGCAGATATGCGCGGCGTTATCGAGAAAACAGCCCAGTTCGTGGCCAAGAACGGCGCAGAGTTCGAGTCGCGCGTCTTGCGAGAACAGAGTGCCACCAAGTTCGGTTTCTTGCTGCCAAACAATCCGTATCATGCTTTCTACAAGCTGAAAGTCAGGGAGTTTGCCACAGGAGAGGCTGCTCCCACCCCCCAGGTGCCGCAAGCCATTCGGGACATGCAGCAGAAACAGCAACAGCAACAGCAAAAGCAGCAGCAGCTGTTAATGCTTACCCAAATAGGGGAAAGCGAGAAGGAAGCAAGCAAGCAGCAAATCGAACCGCCACCCCCAAGTCAGTACATTCTGCAGCATCCATGGGTTGCTCCTGTAGACCTTGATATCATCCGTTGCTGTGCGCAATTTGTCGCCCGGAACGGCCAGAAATTCCTCGCTGGATTGGCTCAGCGAGAGCAACAGAACCCCCAGTTCGCGTTTCTTAAGCCCTCTCACCATTTGTTTTCCTACTTTGCTTCCCTCGTGGACGCATACACCAAGTGCCTTCTTCCCCAGAAAGAGACCCTCGAGGGGCTGAAGGAGACGGCTGGTAACCGACAGGCGCTGATGACACGGATCCGACGGCGTATGCTGTACGAACGGCAGCAGCTGCAGCGGCGGAAGGAGAAGGAAACAAAGACGCAAGAAGAGAGGCGACTTATGATGTCGCTGGAGTGGACAGACTTTCACGTTGTGGAGACGATTGATTTCACGGAAGAAGACGAACGGCTGCCTCTCGCCGCACCGATCGACTTCAAAGCAGCACCGAGGGAGCTACCGAAGGCACTGTTGTCTGAAGTCGCTTCTGGCGTTGCTGATGCTCCCACAGGCACAGAGGGAGAGAAGGTGGACTCGATCGCGAAGCTTATCGAGGGAGCAGGAGCAGATGATGATGACGAGGCTATGGAAACGGAAGACGAGGAGGAGACTGCCAAGCAGCAAGAAGCACAGAAGCAGCAGCCGGCCGCTGCCGAAAGTGCTGCCGGTCATACTGCTACACCTGGTTCTGCTGCTCCAGAATCCGAACAACAAGAGGATCTGGCGAGTCTACACTGCGGGCTCATGTATCTCGTCGCTAGTTGTCTTCTGCAGTCGCTCAAACAGAAATTTCCACCAAATACGCTTCCTAAAAGTGGTCTTATCATCCTTTTTCCCTGTATGTATGGCATTGGACTGCGTGCGCTCTGATGCAAGGCGCAAGCGTCGCGAACGTGTGTATGTGTATGTCTGGTTTCGGCGCGGTGATGAGACTTCGCCTCAAAAGGCGGAACTGCATCTGAGGGTCTCCTGTCGCTCTCTTTAATTGAGAGGAAAAGGAGGCTCTGTGACTCTTGCGCAGGGGAACTGAGAGATGCGCCATGCTTGCCTGTTGATGATGCCCACGTTACGAGCGGCCTCGTTTTCACTGTCTCTGACATCTTACATAGTGTGCCGTGGAAACTGCGAAGCGCCGTTACAGTGGAAAGTGTGTATTGTAATGGTCTCCGACTGCAGATATCTATATCTCTCTATATATATCTGCATGTGTATATTTCAATATATATGTGTATACATATATCTATGCATATGTATCTGCGGACCGTCGTGCCTTTCTGAGTGTCTTGAGAGGGGCACAGCTATGCATTTTTTCAGCTTTGTGCCTAGCCACCCCACGTGCCTTATTTTTTGCATTGTACGATGCATGTCTGCGCTTCTTCTTCAGCCAATGGTCCAAACTGCGCCCCTCAGAGTTGTCAAGGGATATGTTCGACCCAAGAAGCGGCAGGCGGCTGCTGGTGCCGCAAGCGGTTTCCAGAGGTGCCCGATCACGGGTCAGCTTATTGCCGCAGACCAAATGACGAATCATCTCAGAATCTTGCTGCTCGATCCGAAATGGAAGTAGGTCTGCCCTCAAGCAGAGCTTACACTGCTGCACACGATGATATGCACAAACCCTGTGTGTGCTCGATGATTCCATGACTTTTGGTTGCCGGCTCACGTCAAGGAGTCCACCCTATTGTGGGCCGCTCTTGAAGGCGATTTGCTACGGGGAGTATTTCGACAGTGGTCGCATTGCAAGGTTTTCCACGGGCGAAAGCGGGGGAAGGGGTGGAGATGTTTACTGTTGTACTGTTTTAGTGTGTTTGAGAGAGCTCAAACGGGCCGAGATGTGGTGCGGTGTTGGCGTCTGTCTGTTAATTGCAGAGAGCAGAAGGACCGCTTTCTGGAGAAGGCACAGGCCGAGTCGGCTTTTGCTCCACTGGAGGATGTCGAGGGATACCTCGCACAGTTTGTGGCCAAGCGTCCTGATCTATTTGGCTCAGTTGATGACCATGCGGTCCGTCTTGTCGTTAGCATAGTAATACCTTTTGCTAGACTTGCTACGCTTACCTTGGGCGTCGTTTTCGCCCTTCGTTTCATCTTGTGCCTTTTCTGTCGTTCTTTGGGTCGTTCTCTTTTGATCATACAAAGCGTATTCCTTGCCTCCCTGCTTACTTTGTTTCGCGTCCGCCAGTCAAGTATCCTTCGGTGCTCACTCTCCCAGCACCTTTCCGCTTTTTTCTCCCCAGCGAGCTTTTGTGAACGCGCTCTCGCACGCGCTCATTTCGCGCCTTCCTCCCCTGTCTCGCCGCTGTGTGCAGCGTCTCGAGGCGGAGGCCGAGGTTGACCCTCTCCGTGTGGAGGCTGCAGCCACGGGGTCACAGACGTCAGTAGCTGCTCCGGAGGCGAAGAGACAGCGTGTAGACAACACATCTGCTGTCGCTGCTGAAAGTGGAGCCTCTGCGCCGCTGCTTCTGACAGTTGTCTGTCGGGAAGGGGACGGTCTCGAGGCTCAGGAGGCTCAGGTAGAGGTTGATCGCAATCTCACGACTGCGCAGCTGAAGCAGTCGCTGCTAGATGCGGGTATTGGCGCCGAGACCTTGAAAGCTCGAGACTTGCAGCTTTCGAGCAGCATCGACGGTAATCCTCTCTTGGTGAGTTAGAAAGTTTTTGGCGTGCCGCTCCTTTTCAGTTCTTCTATGCTCTTCCTGGTTGCCAGCGGTTCGTCGAGTTGCTGCTGCTGCTGCCTGACGCAGTATTGATGAGGAAACGTTTCGCTCGAGTAGTGTCTCTTGTGTGCTGCTTCAATATAGGACCACCTATCACTCGCCGAAGCCGGCATTCGTTCCGCGGAAGGCCGCCTCTACCTCTCAGTGGTTTCTCGTTAAGGATTGGTAGCCACACTTTGGAGGGCTGAGCAGGCACGTGACGGAACATGATGGCTGGCTTCCCTATGGTTCGTGCATCCCTTGTAACGGGTAGTTGCTGTACGGCCCAGGCTGCTGTGCTCTGCAGTGTTCTTTCCTTTGGCAATGTCGCGTAGTTGGCCTCCTTTCTCGCTGTGCGTGTGGCCTGCTGGCTTAACTAGCTAGCCGGGGCCGAGGGGTTTTTTGCAGCTGCACTGTCGAGCTTTCCCCTGGGAGCTTATTGAGTAGCCGTCCACAGTAGGCCGTTGATAAGTAGTGGACTCTCCGGGGAACTGTCTTTCACACCCACCCACAAGGAACATGCATTGTCTTTTGGGTAGCACAAAAGCAGCTTTACGGGAAGTTGTGGTCACGTACACACAATGCCATACAAGGTGGCATAGTTTTGTAGACTTTGCCCCTGTCAGTTCTCTGAAAGCGGCAAAATGATTTGGAGTTACTGGTCGACATATGTAATGGGTGCGGTCTAGTAGATGGAGAAGACGATGCGCCCTACGAACCCTAAAGCTTAGTACAGTTTTCCGTATCAAAGACAACCATGGTCCACAGAATAAGGTACCTCGAAGGGCTTCCGTCGTGGCCACCCTTCCCCCCAGCCCTCGCCGGAGGCAATACCATTCGACCAGGCAGCAATCTACACCAACGATGTGTTTCAAGGAACCCCGTGTCTTTGCGCGCATATTACCGTTTTAACCGGAAAGCCGCCGTAGTAGTCAGTACCTGTCATGTGGGACGCTACAGTTCGAGAAACCTTTCGTGGTTAGAAGCACAATAGCCCACTCCATGGGGAATTTAGGCAACTCGAGTGCGGACAGTAAGTAATTGACTGCATGCAACACTTGGATGTTGATTCGACTAGCGCTCCCCGGCAAGCCTTGAATTATATCATGTGTTTACTCGCCACACTAGAACATAGTTGCATCCTAAACGAAGACTTATCTTGCCTATCGATTTTACTTGTGGCCTTCATTCTCAAGCTCATGTGGAGAGCTTTATGCAGGTATAATTCATTAGGTCTGCACCAACTCTTGTGACAACTAGTTTACAATCGTGCCTAATGCCCATTTCGACCAATCGTTTGTCGATGCATACCGCTCGCACCTTATTTCGATAATACGCACTTCTTCGTGCATTCGGACACGTCTTAACCATAGTTCACTGATCTTTCGGGGTGTGGCAGCTATGCAGCTCTTTCTTTATTTAATGGGAAGAAACGCACTCATCATTGTTTTTTGCATTCGGTCACGCACAAAACTGGTCGCTACTGTAGCGCGCCCCACAAGATCCCATAGGGGAATCAGTAGCCGAAAAACTCAACTAGTATAAGCCCAAAGTTTCTGGGAGCTTCTTCGAATGGGGTATCTCCTCTCTTTCATCTAAATCAATAGGTTTCTAATATTGGGGAAAGAATGCAAGGCTTGAACGGCAAACAGGTGTAGCGTTTCAACAGTGAGTGTGTGGGGGCTTGCTACAGTTAGGCACTATCTATCACACGCGCTATACTCAATTAAGAATTGTTTAACGTCTGACTACTTATTTGGGCTGTTGAGTTATCTTTTAAATGTAGAGCTAGCTCACTACGGTTGCTTTACGATTAACTGTGTATGAGTGTAAAATAGAAGCTATATGCAACTGGATTAAATGCTCCGACTGTTTTCATGTGCAGCAGCGCGTCCCCTAGCTGTCTTCTCTTCTTGCGGGGATCCCGAGCGGCGGGGCATTAAAAGAGGAAGCCCTTTTAGGCGGACGATAAGATGGATTTCTTGGAAGCTGTTTTTAGTCTGGCGTTGACTGTCCCAATATGGAGACCGTAGAAAGTGCGTTGAAGCTACAAGCACGCATGGTTCGATTTAACTGCTCTCCGGCTCATCCAGTGGCTGTGGATGGAGTGGGATCCCATGTAACCCTACTACACATATATAGAATCAATAAAGCCATTTCATTATTCAGTAATTCAGAATTGAGGTGAACAGTTAAGGGGGATTGTTTTCTGGCCGTGGAGGCTAACGGTGGCAAAGAGCCTATATAGGCGGCGTAGGTGGGCCTGCGAACAGATGTGAACGCAGTAACTCGACAGCTGGCAGAAGGACACGATTTGTCAGCCGACAAACTGTTACGATTTACATCGACGAGGCCAGGCCGCTCAAAAACACACTACTTTCGTTAAGATAGGGCAAGTGCTCGAAAGTTTCATGAGCCTGTTGTGTTTGTACCGCGCTGTGAACCCCCGGGATGAAGAGAAAGGGATGCTTCCTTAATCATGTCTGCTATAGAAAGAAGCATTTAAATGGTGGCTCTAAGCATGTAAAAGGTATATCGGCAACCCTGCTACAGTACAATTATTCATATGAGCCCTGACTCCTTGATTTCTACGGAAATCAACTCAAAAGCAGGCACTTTTTGTTGAGAAGTCTAGAACGGGAAAGCTATGAAGATATCGGACCGAAAAACACAAACTTTTCGTTTGCCGAAGCAACAATGCACACGAACAGCTGCCTACTTAATGATTTATTCCAGTTCAAGCGTATATTAGTGTAAAGTCAAGTGGTCGCACGGTGGGCAGTGACTCAGCGGCTGAACACCCAACCGGTTGAACCTACGCACTTAAATGACTGATTGAAGTTTCGGGGGCCAGTAAGCATGGCTCCTGCAAAATGAGGATTTAGAACCTGTGGATTTCGGGGTTCCGTTGACTTGTCCTAGCTCACATTCTGAGGTGCACCACGACAAAATGACCGGAACTGACCCAGGAGCGTGGACAGCCCCATAAAGGCCCTTGCCAACGTACCTGATACTACAATGGGAAATAAGGTCATACGCTCTGAATGGGAAAAGGTGTGAAAAAAACCCGAACTCGAGCAACACGACTGGGCCCAGCTGAAGCATGCTGCCTGGCATGCAAAGAAGGTGCGTCAGGGAAACAGCAGAACTTCCAGGAAGCCTATTCAAGGTGCAGGGATCTTCAGAGAATAGACCACAGTTGAGGGCTTCCACGGCTCGATTGAGGATAGAGGTCTCAAGCAATGGTCAAGAGCTGCTAGGGTTACTTTCATTGGCTGCGCATGGTTGCTGTTACACGAGCAGGGGGCAAATGGTCCATCAAAAGCGCATTTGTTGCCGAAAGACGGCAGAAAATAAGGATCGATAGTGCTGCACACCTAAAGATGAATATATTGTCCCATCAGCCTGGTCCATGACTTTTGCGTTGGACCGTGCACCACGAAATTTTCTTAGGTGTGTCACGGGTAAACCATAACGCGCAGCCATGGCTGCATGGATGCCTTTCACTATAGGCTAGTGTCACACGATGCGCTAGAAACAAGCAACACTTGGTCTTCAAAAGCAACTCTCAGTTCATTCATTGCGAGCGGATAGAGTCGGTGCCTCAGCAAGGTAAGAAAGGGGCTTTTTGAGGGCGGCTCTGCGGCACAGCACGAGAATATGGTTCTGAGCATGCGTCTTATATTAATAGTTCCAAAGCAGGTTTTCAACGAGGAAACTCGTTTACCGCTTCAGCCAAGTAAAATCTGGAATAGGTAGATATAAAAAAGGAATTTGCGGATGTGACAGATAATGGCGAGCTGCCAGCAGGCTGGCTACCCGCTAGTGGTCCTGTTCACTGTATTGAGCCAGTCCTTGGGCCAGCCTCATGCTATATTGCATAGTATCAGAGGTTCTTTCGGCATAAAGAAGAGACTGAAAGGCAGACATATCATTTGTTGAGAAATGGAAACGTGTAGAAATCTTTCATCGCCTGTGGGCTTAGCTTGCCTACTGCCTAGAAACAGATGAATTTTGGCACATCTGCGTTAGCTTTACCCCCTCTTACAAGATCACTGCAGAAAAGTCTATGGTGCGTCATATCGGTCAATCTACAGACAAGCTACAACAATGGAAATTGTAATTAACATGTGACTTCACAGACGCCTTCCTACATATCCCTATGAACCCGCAGTGCATGCACGGACTGTCTTTCCACACTCGCATGCGCGAACCTGATTAGCCCTGTATGCTTTTTGGATTTGCCAATGGCTCACCTAAGCGGCAGCGGCACGTTTGTTATGCGGGAGTTGTATAATCCTGTCAAGAATAGGTGAACACGTCGATATGGACGCTGCTTGGGTGTTCGGCAGAAGCGTTCAAACGCACCTACAGCACGCATGGCGTGCACGGAAGCCATTGCGGGACAGCCAGTAGTATGTGCAGGCACGCAACTATTCGTGCTTCGTGAGAGCAGTCGTGTTTCTGGACTTCCGTACTTCGGCTGCAGTAATTGAGCCAGATCTGGCAAATATCGAAGCAGTCAAGCCATGGCCTTTGCCGTATCCCGTCGCAACGACGTTGCAGAGTTCTATGGGCGTGCAGCTTATAAACGAAACTGTATTCCTGGATTTGCTTGAGTCTCTGCTCCTTTTACTGGTCTATGTTAAAAGACGCACTTCGGACCTGTAGAGAGCGGGCTGATGCCACAGCAAGCATGCGTATCAGTTCCCTTTTAACTTCTCCAGTACTCGCACTGCCCGATTTCGAGCGTCATTTCTTCGCAAGAAGCGGCTTTCGAGGCGGATCTGTGTGTGCTCTTCACTTCTTGAAAGAGTCCTCGCTTCCCAAATACAACAGTGCGTTTTTACTTATCATGGCTTCACCGAAACCAAGCATCGGCATTTGATGGGGAAAGATAACTTCTATCTGGTGTGGTAAGGAGTGAAAATGCATGCACTATTTGTATGGATATTCTTTACCTATCGAGACCGACTGCCAGTCTTCAGTGTAACTTTCGAAAACTGCTCAGGACTTTAGAGTTGTTCCCTGGCCGTCGTACCTCCCGCACATGAAAGATTACCATCAACGTGATAGTGGACACGCTCTCACGATGCTTCGCCTGTTTACTATTGTGCAGCTCAACAGCTCTTGTTTGTACTAATTTATCGTTCATATTGATCTTGAGCTACCTCATGCTATCTACGTTGGTGCATCAGCTTTTACTGCCAAAATCCAGGGTATTCAATTTGAGAAACCCTACCACATTGGAGAAGGCCTACTGTGCTTTAAATGGACGCAAGGAGTCCGCCATCCGTACATTCCGACTTCATTTGGCAATAGAATTTTGTTCAAAGCAGAGGATCACCTTATCTAGAGGATTTTGGAGTTCATGTTACAGTTGCAAAGCTCTACTGGTCCGGCTAGTGGCCTAGGATGCATCTCACATTGGTGAAGACATTGCCCGTTTGCCCAGATCGTCAGTAGGTAAACTCGCACAATTTTTGTACCCCAAAGCTTTCGAGGATTGAGCCTGGTCTGACTGGATTTTTTTGGACTGTCGGAGGTCAGATACCACAAAAGAATCGATGTCATTGTCGAAGGATTCAAATACTCACTTTAAACTTAACACGATGTTATTGGGAGTAATCAAGTAGTACTCCTTCCATCTTATGTTTACTCACCTCAAGGTTCTGATATGAGGAGAGAGGGGCAGCTGGGGTGCGCGTGAGCCTGCGCTTTAGTTGCGCCCAGCATCTGGCGCGGATGCATGCAACACTGCGTCTTGTTGTGCCCAGCCTGCAGTACTCTGCAGTAAAGATTGCATAAAGAGTGGTCAACAAAGTATCCGATTGCCTTGTGGTACTTAACTAACCGTTGCTATTTTCGTGGAAAGGGCTTGGGTGTACTTTAGCCCATTACACTAACTGCCTCGCTCATTTCATGCTGAAGTCCTAAGCGAGGTAGAAGTGGTCCTGAAGAGATACTCAATTACTCCCTCTACAGTTTCTACTTAGGCTGAAGCTAAGCGTCCACCGGCGGAGACCGTAGATGCAGCGTCACTTTCCCGGCCTTCGCATACAGAGATACATGAACAATTCTCCATTGTGTGGGGCGGTAGCTGCTCTGGAATATACAAGGAAATAAAAACCAGGACACATACTCAGCACCTAACGAGCTTCCATTCATACGTAACTGTGCTTAGATTAGTTGCCTAAGGCGGCTAAAACCGTTGCCAATGCCATTCCAACACCCAATCGCCCAGTCCTTAGTTCTCCGCATAACAGTAGGATAAACCGACGGTCTCCTAAACAAGGCAAGACCAAGTACTACATGGTTGCTCAAAAAGGCATTGTGTTGCTTGTGCTGCTGTTATATACTACGTTGCAGCTTCATTCATGATGGTCACTTGATTGGCAGGCGAGGTTACCCTCCGCCTTTTCCCTACTCCAAATCGTCAAAAATTTCATGTTGTAAAAAATATGTATGTCAGTAATCAGATTTACCGGTCATTGATGCAAAAGTGAGATACTCACAGGCTTGCTTCACCCAGCATGTACAACCAGCTCCAACCCCCCCATGGACCACCATGCCGGCAGCCAGTTCATTTCGTCAACAATCTATTGATATATTTTGGAAATAAATATACACGCTTGTCTCTACTGCTTATTGTTTTTATATTTTGTCTTGTCACTTTTTCCGATTTATCAAGCATACCAATGGACTGTGTACCAGTGGATCGGGCATTCGCCGGGCATGCAACTGCACCAACATCCGTGCATTCCCCGGTGATAGCAGTGAGCAATATGCAAAGTAAATATCCTGTATGTCAGCAGGGCAGTTCGTGGACGCCTGAAGAGGAATACACAAAACCGCAACCAAAAGTGGAACAACGGAGCATTCTTGTGCGCGACCTCCCTGGACACCTGGCCGCTGATGAGGCCACAGAGGTCCTTAGGCAACTGTTTTCTAATTCCTACCGTCAGCCAGGTCACTGTTTGCCTAAGAAAGGCCCTTCCCATGGGGCGCCACCGCCAGTTCCTGCACGGCAAGGGGCACTGCCCCAAAGCAGCTGGCTAAACAACCGGCGCTACGCCACCGAAGGGACGATAGAAGACTCCAAGAGAGAGAACCAGCGTAACCATGCTCTACAGCAGCTACCCTATGCTATGTCCAGCATTCGCATTGCAGCGGACACCCGGGGGGCCAGTTTGTATGCCATTGTTGATTTCACACACGAGGTGCACGCCAAACTAGCGCTTGAGCTCCTCGGTTCAGCCTCTGTTCTGCCAGGCACTTCATCGTAAGGCTTGGATTGGTCATATTTCACTTCAACTTTTGTATACTATAGCTTAGTCTCCCAGGCCTACGTCCTAAAGATTAATTAGTTTTTACCTTTTAGTGCCTGTTGCACTAATTTCAACTAGCAAGATAATAGTACGCCTGCAGCATTGGAAAGAATTGATGGGGCATTGATGTGTTTCCTGCTATATATGCGTGCCACAGGCAAGTTCGGCTTTCTTTGCACGAAACGTGGAGTACTCCGTTGGTGGTTGATGAATACCATGTCTACATTTCCGGATTGGCCCCAGGTGCCACAAACCCTCTGTTATAGACCCCAAATATCCGTTCCTAAATTTGACACTGTAGGGCGGAGACCAGGAGGGTGTATTGCCCTAACAAATACGGCCTTTAGGGGTATTTGCTTTGCATAAGCTGTACTTTATTAACCATTATTTTGTATGCCCGCTCAGTACAGCTTGCATGGTGCCATGAATCGAATTTCATCAACAGGCATCTGTTTTTCCGGTTTGCGCGCAGGTGCCACAGCTGACCAGGTTGAGGACCTCGTCACAGCTGCAACGCAAATCGTGCCAACTCACGTCAAGGTATCCCAATCTAGTAGACTCCACGATCCCTGAAACTACTGCCCCTACTTCAAGTCGCAAACCAGGGAAGACGATAGAGTGTTACGGGTGGTTGCAGATGTCGTCTGTTGCTGGACTTCCCTCAAGGAAAGGGGTGCGCGAGTATGCATTCCTCCGTTATTCCGATGAAGATGTAGCAGAGATAGCCCTGAAGAGACTTCAGGTGAGAATAAATTTCCTATCCTTAGAGCGGAGTGCAAGTAGTTTTGCTGATGTTAAAGGTTCAAGAGTGCTGCTGTTCTGATGATGAAGTAATCTATGCGTAAGGGCCAACCTATGAAGCCGATTTCAATTCCTGAGCGTTCTGTTCTTAGGAAGCCTCTCCCAAGCTGAATATAATTGTGCGCAAGGTGTATCAGCATCAACGACGCGGCATGTGAGTTTGACACCATTCTGCAGCAGCACGGGCAAGTGCTATGTAGGCTGCGCCGGGAAGCTACCGAAATACAGAAATGACTGAACGGTTGTGCATGTTTTTGCAGCCCAACAGAGCCGCTGACTCATGCAGCGAATTGCAGCATTTTTATAGCAAATCTGCCTCCTCTAACCAACAGTGTAAGCACGGAGCCGCCACCCTATGTAATATGGACTCTTTGAAGGAAATTCCCTGTGGAATGGTGCACCTTAAAAGGAGAAAGCGGCATTCTTATAGAATTTCATATGTACTCGAGTTCACACCACTTCACAACCTGAGTTGCTCACTATGGCCGCATTGGAACCTGGGGCATGTGCGTTGGTTCGCTTGACTTTTGTTTTCAGGAAGAGCTCAGAGAAATTTGTTCATACTTTCATGTTGTTAGAGCTGCTGAAGTCCACCCAACCAGGGTAGGCAGTCAACCCGCGGCCATTTTTTTGCGGCTGGCTAATAACTTAAAAATTAGCGCCAAGCAGTGGCAAACTTGCTAGCATAATGAACCTGACCCGCTTTCCTGTTGTCTCAAACATCACAGCCCTACTCAATCATTACCTGTGGAAAGTTTTGAATCCTCCAATAGCAGTCTCCTGCTTTTTCATTAATGATGCTGAGCACAGTATAGTGCCCTTGCCAGGCAATTTATCTGATGCCTTGTCTGAGCCACAATAAAAACTGTAGCGGAAGCCTGCCAAGTTTATTCTTAATTGCATGAACTCTTTGAGCTGAGCGCAACCTGCTTCTGACACTACAGAATTTTGGTTTCGTTCGCCTAGCGTCGCACGAAGCAGCTCTGGCAGCCATCAGTCACCTAAACGGGATGAAGCTACACGGCCGGGTAAGCACTAAGGGCCAAGTCCTGCAAAATATATGCACATGTATCCTTACCTCTTAGTTCAGCATCAGTCTGGGCCCGAAAAGATGCTTACCGCTTCATGATTTCGTCTCAGTGCCGTATGACCCAAGAATTCGGGCATCAGTGAAACCAGGAATTTATGGATGAATTGGCAAATGCACACGTCTGAATCGCCTTTACGCTCCCGCAGACGATGGCCTGCGCCTGGAGTTCGAGGTGCTTGACTTCCAATGTAGAGGAAACCCTTGATGACGCCTGGGAGCGAGCTGAAGAGGTATGCTTGGATTTGGCACACTTATAGGAACCAACGTTATTTGCAGATTATTCTCCTTGGCTTTAGAGTATGTGCAGAGGTGTACTTCGTACATACCGACACGTTAGCCACCGAGAGTAGCCTAAGAAATAACTTCAAGGATATGACTGGCTTTTTATTCAGGCATATGCAGTGATGTCAGCGCAATGCATGGAATATGAAGCCCAGCCGGCTCAGCAATCGCTGCCCTCTGGCGTGGATGAAGCCAGAGCTGTTCTGAGCCCCAAAACGGCAGCAAGGCGGGCAGCTGTTGAAGCAGCAGGACAGACTTTTTGGTTTTCTGTCCTAGCGGAAAATGGCCCCGTAACTATAAGTGACATTGCAAGTCGGATGCGTCAACGCCAAAGGAAGCTACGCGATCGATTGGAGCACTGGCAAGCCCAAGATTGGGAAGAAGACACAGAGAGCACCGAGCTCCAGAGTACTGTGCCCAGAACGGGTGAGCAATAGCGGAATTTTCGCAAGTTACTCAATGAGTATGAGAAACATACGCGATTCAGAGGAGGAATGCGCACGTATACAGTCTACCTGTGGCAGAGGCTGTCTCTTTTGGTTCGCCAAGTGTTCATTTGTAATGCGATACAGCGCTCACGCTCAGAATCTAACTAGCAATTTGTACTCAACTTTCCGGTGTGCCAATTGCAGTAGAATGACCACGCTGCCCGCCATATAAAACAAACTGATTTCTGACGGCAGCCAGTTCTTAAGGCTGTGCATGAATGAACCCGAATCTCGCTAGTTCTAGCAGCCGCCAGCGATGCTCGTAGGTACTGTTGCGGCCGCCAGCCTCAACTGTCGAACACTTGTATTAAGGAGGTATCCACCGCTACATGGGCCTTTTGTTGCAAGACATAGTGATTAATTTAGGCGTATAGCACCTCTTATCGGGTGTCATGTTCCAGCTGTAAGACCCCTACGGTTCCTATTCAAGACCCTGTCGCCGAAACTCTTCAGGAACTGCTATGAAGTTATTACCTGCTTCCCTAAAGGAGCTTAAGCTCCTTGGTCAACCACATTGGTGAACAGCCTCTCGCAAGAAAGATCAACCGGTATTCAATTATCCACGCCGTAGCTCTCCACAAGCACCTAACATCAGACACGATGCAAAGCCTAATAAAAAGTTGAGGTTGTTCGAGAACTCCCTCGTTCCCCAACGCTCGGTCCTTCGAGATTTCGACACAAGGGGAGCAGGGCAGTTATTCTGTGATTAGATGCAGCCGGCATGCACAGCTAGTTGAAGCAGCATCTAGTGCACATGTACACATTGCACCGTCTTGCAAAGTATCGGGATAAGTAACCACTAATAAACAAGGGATACGGATACACCAACCAATTTTTAAAGTGATTATGAAATAGTTGCTAGATATACTGCAGTAGAATACGTGTATGTACAGCTTGGCTTGCAACACGCACCTTCTGAGACCGCCGGAAATCACACTACTCAACATGTTGACAATGAGCCCAGGTACATACCACTTAAACAGTACGATTTTGACCCCACCATGCAGAAAAAAGGATGAGTGACTCCAAACTGTACAATCCATAATTGTCTAAAGCGTTTTAAAATGCTACATTGTAGAAGTTTCTCACATACGGCTTGGCCCGTTGGAATAACGAAATTTTCTTCGCCTTCTGTGAGTAAAAACACATTTTTAGTTTTGGGTTCGGTTAAAAACGTTTGCCGCACATCAAAAACAAGAAAAGACGTATATCAGCACTTCGGGAATTATGAGCGTAGCCCGTCGGTAATTTCAGAGAATCTGATAAAGACAGTGTTTGGTGGCAGTCAGTGCACTGATGGGAAGTCCCAGTGACTCCACCAATTTCTGCAAATGCATGGAGTCGAGACCAGCTCGAATGCTTACCTCGAGGGCCAACCATTGTGCGTGACCATCGGATACGAGCGCAATAGCTGTCAAGATGCTATCTGCTGGGGCAGCTAAGCAATTCAGGCGGGGTATTCACTTGCAGTGGCATAGTCAGGTTTTTCGTTGGGAAGCAAAGCCTCACGCTAATGAATGAAATTCGCAGCTGCATTCAGGTGCTTAAAAACGCAGTGTATGACAAATGAGACAATGTCTTGACTCAAATGAGTACGGCATTAACCCTAAAAATTTGCTTGAAACAGGATACGTGTATCTTCCTTCTAAGTTTTTCCGATTACACTAAGTGTAAAATTGAAGTTAAAGTGCCCTGAAGAGCAAGTTATTGCGCGTCCTTTGCCGCTTTTGCATCTGTCCTTCGGGGCCTGTGGTCTGGTCTTTTGGCCAGGTGAGCAGCTCATGGGTAGTGAAGTGTTTTCCCCCTCGCAGAAAGACTTTGCATGCACAAAGAAGCATAAATTGCTCTATTTTCATAAAAACTATGCAAGCGATGGACGGATTAGGGGAGGAGCCTCGCCAAGTGTGCTTGTGTTTTCGTCTGGGCCTGCGGTGCAAAACATCTTGACAACTCAGCTTTGGGTGCTGCCTTGAAAGCCAAGTGTTTCTTCTGGTTCATATATATATATGTCTTAGTTCTTCTCCTTTTTGTCTTTCCGGTGTCTAGTGTATTCCGTTTAAGTGGACTTGGTTTCAAAAAATATGCTTGAGTAGCCTTTGCTGGGCGCGTGCTGCTCCATGCTGAGAAACTTCGCGTGGATTCCGCAAGATGTGCGCGTAACAATCGCCATGTATTCATCTATCTGTGACTATTTGTAGTGTGTACGCTGTCGCTAACTCTCTCACGAAGCTTCATGGGGCACAAGACGCCGCCTGGAGACTTATTCGGCTGGATGGAGTACTGGCTCACTGAGGCCACCCTGAGCAAAAGGCCGATTCGAGTGTATGCAGTTTTGATCAAACTAGAGAATTTTCTCTGGTAATGTGCCAGGTTGCCTGACGAACTCGGAAGGGGGACTTGAGAGTCATGCTGCACTCCCCACCAAAACGGTGCCAGGGTATCGGACTAAGCTGCCCAGCTTGTCATTGAGTGGAGGATCGGCTTTCACAGTGCCTTTCCAGGGCAACTGAGTTTCTGGGGACGTGTAGTGGCAAAAGGTACTGAGAGACAACTGGGGTATCTTATTGACGCGATGCGACTAACTTGGTTTCATCCAGCTCGATTAGTTTATCTGCAGTTGTCAAGTGATTGCGCCTATGCAGCAGCGAGTTTTCCCGCCGTAAGGCAACAGAGGCATGCAGAGTTATTATTCTGATCTTCAGTATGCAGCCTCAAGGCCCTTTGGAGGCACTTGGTCCAGCCAAGGCGCCGACAGGCCCCATGATGCCGCCAGCAGTTGCAGATTTTTCAACTGACCCCAGGTCATATGATGACCAGAATATAGAGCGGCCTCCCGCCGGTCTGCAGAGGATGAGGCGGGAATGTACCATTCTACAGGAATTGGAGGCTGGTGACAGGCAAGCGAACGAAAGAAACAGCCTGAGCACAAGGTTATTCGAGCTTGGCATGGAGCTACGCAAAGTTAGGTATGACATGCACGACGTACTCTTAACTGCCTTCTCTCAGTGTCAACATAAAATTTTCGTAACATTCGCGCTGATTGCAAACACCAGTGCTACGCTTATATTCAAGTACATCTGTGCATTCGTATGCATTCACATTACCTATGTGCATACATCGGGCCGGCATCCAGTTTTCGAATTTTAGTGACGGCCGCACTCATATGTTCCTAGGAGACGCTTTGTCCTCTGCAGTCTACAAAGGGTGCAAAACCGCTGTTTGCGTCCGCTGCAGGCAAGTAAATGACATACTCGAGGCTGAAAACGCAGATCTGCGGGAACGTATTTTGCACCAAGCAGTAAGGCGCTATACACGGGGTGTGCGTATTGTAGTGGCCCTTTGAAGATTCTGGCGTACAACGTACCGTCTGATACCTGTGTGAAATTTGCAGGATGCCTACCCGCATGCCGCCGAAATAAGAGCTCTTGCTCGCCGTTCGGGCCCTGAGTTGGCCGAAAGTGTTAGTTACCTAATAGAGGAGAACAAGTTTCTTAGACTGAAGCTACAGTCATCGATTCGCTCTCAAGCGCGTTTGCAAGGCACTGCTACAGAATTGGGCAATGCCCTTCGAGAGCACGAGGAACGTGCTTACGCAAGGGAACTGGCGGAATCAGGTGTCAGCAATGAATACAAGATGGCCGCCACTACAGAAAAACCAGGAGACATACCCAGCACATCGCCCAGAACGCTCTGTGACAAAAGTCCAGAGCGACCTACTTCTCCGACACGCGGCGACTTCGTTAGGCGGTACTGCGTGTGCTCGAAGAAGCTTCAGGAGCTATTAGACTGTATTGATTCTCAAATTGGAGACTACGAAAGGGGAGTATGGCAGACTCAGGTCAATGTGCTAGAGGAAGAACGAGACAACCTCATGCTCAAGTAAGTATGATCAGCACGCGCTAGCCGAGTTCCCGAGCTTTTACCCTTCCCCCCTGTGCTCCGATTTCCCCTTTTCCCATGCAATGTTGCTTTGTTTCTTTGGCGAGGGGACTATCCTCAACTAACCTTTCCGATACAAGTTGCCTGTGTTAAGTTTTCTCACATCCGCTGTGGCTGCCTGCCCCTGAGCTTTCGACTTCAGGACCGTTGTGATGCGCCAGCGACTAGCCGAAGTCCAGGCAAAAATAGTCACTGATCCGTTCTTAGCTGCACGATTTGGGGCAGTTGAGGATGGTCCAGGAGCCCTAGGCGCTGGCAGGGCAAGAAATCCTACGCTGGAACTCAGAGACACAATAGTTCAGCTGGCAACCGTCCAGGTATGTGAATCATTGGCTCACTATCAGTGCGCCTTTCCCAGTTGCACATAGATCTAAGAGCCGTATAACCAAAGAAGCTTTTAGATTATGCTATTCCTACATCCTCTAGTTTAGTGGCAGGACTGGATGCTTTTCCACTCAGGATGTCAACGCTGAGTTGGAGAGGCGCTTGGCCAGTGAACGAAATATTTCACGCAGTTGGCAGACAAATCTGAGGGCATTGCAGCGAGAGGTCAGCGTTGATATGTCATTCTCCTGGCGTACAACACGTTCCTAAGCAAAATTTTCTGCTTCCAAATTAGTGGCTGTGTTGACCTGCCAACACAGTGTTACAGTTCTTGTACACAGTTGCAGCTTATTAGTAGGTACTTACTCCGGCGAAACGCCAAAACGCTGTGTAGACAGTCGAACACCTGAGAACTTCTGGACGTTGATTTGCCTATGTGCGATACTCAGCTGAGGGATCACTTAGCTGACTTGGCTGCTGCATCTCGGGCATCTGGACTCCGTTGTGACATTCTCCGAGGGACACTGGCACAGGCTGGAGAAGCTGCCGCCATGAAGGAAATTCAAGGATTTACACGTAGCGAGAAGGAGAGCTTGAGGCTATTACGACAAGCCAGAGATCGGATCGCCGCAGATGCAAACAGTGAGTGCCCTTAAAGACCACTTAGGCCTCATGCGCTCGGAAATTCAGTCTAGCTTTGTCTATTAGGCAGATCCATGACGTACGTAGCGTTTCCTCGCTCTTTCGGATTGCGGCAGATTCAAAGTAATGTACTATTGGTGATCTGCGCTATTCAGGGATCGAGGCCTATGCTATCCGAGTCAGAGAGCTGGAGCAGGAAGTCGCCAATCTGCGGGTTAGACTTTGTGATTTGGTTGACGATTCCGGAGCTAGCGCAGAAGCCTGAGTGGCCCTAAGCAGGCAGCATTCAAAGGGGATGCGTTAAGGGGCACCAGCTGCTGAGCGAGTTTATTAGTGGTGTCAACCCATTCAGCCGTGTAGTAGGTTACAGGCCTTCCGGACAGAATAGGAGTCTTGAATTCGGAGTTCTGCTGCGGATGATGGATTTTGAGCTTTTGGCTAGAGCAGCAGCTACGATCCTTTTGGCTGCTCGTGGCTTGACCAGCGCCGGGAAAATTCTGAGAATGCGAAGCTCTCCAGAGCTTTTTGTTTGGCACTGGGGATTGCATTTTGAGGGGCTGCTGTCTCCTTTTGACTGTTCATTTTTTAATTATTCCGTTTTTGCCGCGTATCTGCATCACTCTAGACGCCACGTTGGCGCATAACGCGTTCGACTTAAAGGGCAACTTGAAGTGTTCCATGAAGTTAGGAACTTTCCGTTGCATGCGTGCGTGCTGCGTTTAGTGCGACTTGACACAACTCGAAAGAGGGGACACATACAAATGGGAGGAGAGCGCGCAAGTATATACTTGCGACTGCGACTTTTCTGTTGCAATAACGGGCGGGGACAATGCGTCATCTGACTCTGACTGTACGGTTTCAGCTCTGCGCACTGCTAGACAGCTTCTGGTTGACCGAGCAGAAACAGCCAGGGTGTTAGAGTCAGTACAGAAGAGAAAGCATCAGCTGCAAACGCAGCAGTTAGCTAGCGAAGAAGTATTGCTGCCAGAATTGGCCGCTCCTGGGGGACTTAGCAGGTCGCCTCTGGAGGACAACACTTTCGCACTGACAATGGACATCACCCCTATAGCAGCCGCGTTGTTTAGCGATCAGCCTGCTACTGGGATTTCAGTTTCAAAGGTGTACGACGCCTTGACGGTAGAGAGAGGACGTGATATATTTAGGCGGCTCATGGTGCTAAGGAAGATAGCGAACAGCGCCACCTTCTACACGGAAGGAACCCCAAGTATCCCTGGAGCGAAGCTTGGGCCATCCGCCGAAGTGGATACTTCGGAACGTCTAGATGAAATCAAGCATATCCAAAAGAGCATAGATCAACGTGAGCGCTCACTCCAGCAAGCCGAGGAAGCAATGCAAGCTCGAGTAGCTCTCCGCCAGGTCGAGTCCGAGCTTATCAAGAAGCTAAAACAAAATCAGGAGCAGTTCGAGGAGCAGAGGAAAAAAGATGCCATGAAAGCCAATGAAGAGATGGCGAGACAGCGAAGGGAATACGAGAAGCAGCTGGAAACGGAACGAGCTCGGTGCGAGGTTCTCCGAAAGGAACTGGAATTGCAAGCAATGGAACTCGATCTCCAAAGGAAGATCGAGGAGGAAAGAATTGTAGAACGTTCACAGAAAGAGAACCTTGAGCTGGAGAGAGAGCTTCAGAAGCTGCGCAATCAGCTGAGAGCAATGGAACTCGAAATGCAACGGATATCTGCAGACGCAGCGCGAGAGTCATTGGCTGCGAAGTCAGCGGCAGCGGAGGAAAGGGCCACTCTGTCGGCTGCTACTCAAGCTGCCGAACATAAGGCCAATGATGCTCTTAAGCAGCTTCATGAGCATGAGAAGCAAGACGAGATGCGAGCGGTAGAAAATAAGCTCAAACAAGCCTTGGCAAGTCGTGCTGGTCCAGCGCCAGCGCCACCCCTTTCACGAGCTCCTGAAGAGGTGTCAACAAAGGAATCTATAAGCCCACTGAGTAAGCCTGCTACTGCTGAGCTAGGGGGAAACGCGCATGCCCCTAAACATCATGCAGTACTGATGCAGCCGTTCGAACGAAACTGGAGTGTTTTAGCATGTCATTTTCCATTTATGCTACTGCATAGGTGCATGCTTGCGGCGTGTCTGCCGGGTTCAGAGAAACTTAAGGCCGCCGCGCACAAGGTGACCATGGGACAAAAGTTTACACGGCTGGCAAGAGAAAAGCGCACGAAAACGATTGCACCACCCCCATCCAAATGTACGGCCGTTGTTGTAGTGCGATCCCTAAAGATTCGTGCCAGGAAAGCCGGGCAATGCAAAGGGTACAATGTGACTATCAAGGTACTGAATGATTATTGAGTTTGTGGATTCTTTTCAGCACAGTCCCTGGTAGCTCTTCCAAAAGTTCCGCCTAGCCAAGAGCCAAAACCAAAGCCCTCCGACCTCTCACCAAGATCGTACTTTAGAAAGATGGTAACTGGAAAGTACACTTCTCTTGCCAGCGCCTTCAGACACATGGACGTGGACCACTCGAACACTGTTAAGCTCTCAGTAAGCATCATCCGGCACTGCATGTGTCCGAAAAATTATAGCACTGTGCGTGCTCGTGCGCAAGGAAGTGCAGCTGACTGCACTGGCGCGGGCTGATGGAATTATCTGCAGAAAATCAGAGTCGACTGGAGCTGCAAGTTCGATGCGGCATAAAATTTTGTCAGCTACCTTTTATTCATATATGCTATTGTACATTCACCTTTACAGGTGTTTTTGCAGCAAAAGCAGCAAATTTGCCACCGGATTTGCCCAAAGTTGTGCAATGTACTACAGTGTTGTCAAGCGACAACAACAACCCTTCCAACCCTATGATGCTGGCTGTGCATTTACACTCCAGGAATTCGCAAACTTTGTCGATGATTTGGGCATGAACATACCATTCAGTGATACGCACGACCTTTACAATACTCTGGCGGGTCCTTCGGACGGCATGCTGTTGCTGAACAATTTCTACAAGAACCTTCTTGGCGATTCGTGCACTCTAACAGAACTTCATCGAAGGCTTGAAGAGGTACCTCTAAGCAGCTTTTGTAGCCTCGAACTGGCTTTTGATGCACTGGATGAAGGCTATTTGCTTTGCGCCCACCCCCAAAAATCCCCTTAGGCGGCGGCAAGCGGCAAACGTTTCTACATTTATTGCGGAACTACCTGCAACTTCCTGCTGCCTTCTAAGTACCTTTCCAGATTTTTGTTAGAACGACCTGGTCAGGGTATATTAGATATATATAATGTGGGCTTCCACCGTATCCGTTGCTGCTGTGTGCACATGGGAACATCATAGATATTCGGAGACGTGGAACAGCCGTTCAACGATGCCGGAATTCCCTCCGAAGGCCGCGTAACCAAGGAGCAATTTATCCTTATCGCGGAAAAATCAGGCGTCTCAACTGCTTGTGCAAACTCCCTGTGGGATTATATGGATAGGTGGGATTTGCGCGGACTCACAGAACAAGGAATACATTGGTTGACAGAGTGCATGCACATGCGAACAGCCACCAACATGCCATTTTCCCACTTTTCTCTCTGGTTTCGTAGGGCAAATCGCGGAAGTCTGCAGCGAGAAAATGTCCTTCTTTTGCTGGAAGGTAAGCCTATGTCTGTTGTTGCCAGACCATAGCCACCGTGTACACACTTCGGTCACCCAGCCATTCCACCTGACGCCTTTATGCCTACAATCGAGCAGACTGTCGTATTCGTTATCTTCCATTTTCAGACAATGTCGATCTGGATGAAGTGGAACGCGTAGAGCAGAGCGCATCTAATGTGCTGACCAATGTACTAAACGTGTTTTCGGGCACTACTGTGACTCCAAAACCTGCGGCGAAGAATCCTAGGCGCTCTTCGTTTAAGAAACTTACATGTAAGACTAGTGCAGCTTTCTGCAGGAACATGGTCGATCAAAACCGCATCAAATTTATGCATTCCTTGAAAGTTTACGTCTTAAAATATGTAGTATGGGCTCGTGTTATTCCTGCTACACTAAAGTTCCTGAGACACCGTTGCCCTTTTCGGCACTGTGCGCTTCCTGAGAAGCTATATCCAAGCACGGCGATCGTCTGGTTCCTGCATGAAGCTCAAGACGTACACGTGCTTTGACGTATTATCGCTCGATCTTCCAGCATGTGCACGATTCCATGCATTCGCTGCTCCTCTACAGACACTGCTGCTAGGGAGGAGCTGGGCTTCACGTCTAAAGAAGCGCAGGTCGATGCTGTACTAGCGGATTGTTCTCCCTGGGATTGCATCTATCCGGAGGACCGCAAAGAAATGATTGCAGACATGAAGCACCGGACTGTTGGAAAGGGTCAGCTGATTCAGAAGGAAGATGACCCCAACTGCCCACTTTACATCTTTCTTAAGGGGACTGTCAGCATATTCCAGCCGGTAGGTGGAAACCTGTTGCTCCTTTTGTAGCCAGCACATCCCCTAAAACTCTTAACCTACTTACCATGAGCGTCTGCATGCAAGCATTGGGATCGATGAATTTGATTGGTACCAGCTGTTCATGTTCCTGCCTGTTCAGGGCTTTATACAGTACAGCTTCGTCGAGAGCTCACCTGCTCCATGCATGCTTTACTCGGAAAACTTAGTTGAGGGCACACCAAACAAAACGTGTGCCAAGGCAGACAGCGACGAAGACGTGGTTATGTATACGCTTGATAGGGCTGTTTTTGAGAGATCTTACGAGGTAAAACCCCATGGCATGCAGTTTTTAGCTTGGCACCAGATGGTCTGCACCTCCCTGTGCACACATCGCAAATGCCTTAGCAAAGCTCGTACTTTCCCTAAGCTTCAGTAAAGCACAGAAAACCTGATTATGGTGGAACAATGCAAAACAGTCTCCATCCTGCTTAGTGCTTGCCTAACCGGCTGTTTCCAGCGGCTGCTCTTCCAAAGGCAACGCGAAGTTGAAGACTACCAGAAGCTGCTGCGCAAAGTCCCAGTTGTCAACAAGCTCGACCCTCCGCTGCTGCGGTGTCTTGCTGCGGTAAGGCATTCGTGCATATTTGGCTGCATGCTGCCAGATAGCTCTCCGGAACGCCTTTCTCACCTGTTGCACCCTGGACAAACACAGTAGCCGTTCAAAATTGTTTTACATCCAGCACGGACGACAATGCATCCACCCTCGTATGGATGACTGCCTTTTCAGTCTTTTAGAAAGCAAACTTTTCAGCCGGATGAAAAGATAATATCCGAGGTATGCGGGAGTTCCCAGGGCCAATCTCAGCATGTTTGGCTTCAACGATTACGTAAAGTGCAGAATGATTTATGATACGCTATCATGAGAAGTAGATGCTAGTCTGCTTTCATGTCTGCCTATTTGACGAGCATTCGTATGCTCAGTGCTAAAGACTTTACACATTCCGCAGATGTGCGCACTTCGTTTCGTCAGGGAGACCCTGCCAATCGCGTACTAATGGTTAAAGATGGCGAAGCTGTTGCCCTGGGGTTGCGGACCTCCAAAGAGGAAGTTGAAATCCGGGTTTACAGGCCGCTTGACTTTTTTGGAGATGGCACGCTTATCAAGAGTCACACGCACACTGCCTCCGTCCGAGCAAGAACAGACTGCACTGTGAGTCATTTGAGTTTTAAGGAGGACAGCTGCATTTTGACGCACAAATCATTACGCCCGACGGCGTATCTTGTGCAACACAAATCCGATTGTGAGCGTGCCCTGCACAATCTTTTCGTATTTGTGAGTGTTGTCAAATTTCCAGGTTTTATGGATGGGGAGTAACATATTCTACGGCGTTCTAAGAACGCTTGAAACTGAGTTCCGGAGGCGTAACGGGCGCGCTACTACATTAGAAAGCGGCGTTATGGAGCTTCAGAGTCAACCCAGTGCAGGAACGACAGCTGGGGACGAGCTAGCTTCTATGCAATCAGGTGCTCTCGCAGACGAAGATATACGCAATGTGCCTTTGGTCGGTGCACAGCAGGAGAGCCAGGAGCCTGAGTCCCTTGCTACTGCCATTCCAGCACAGGAAAAGACCCTCGTTGACGCCGAACTCATTGAAAAACTTCTCCAGGAAGAAACTGAAAGGGTGCGCTGCTATTGAGGGGCAATATCTTCATGTGTATGATATTCAAAGCAGCCTCCAGAGTATAGAGGGAACAACGCCTTGTACATTGAATGCAGCCGTTGTTCGCGATAGTGGCATTCTAAGCAACATATGGGAGAGCGGAGCGTATTGAATCACGCATGTGCCTTGTTACACTTTGACGTAAGAGCTTCATAAAGCAAAGGTCTATTGCCGTCTTATCATGACGTTGCTTGACATGTTGTGGTTGTTCAGATGCATGAAGAATGTGGCTTGCTTATGGAAGCGATTCCAGTGCTGAAGAATCTCCCGAAAGAGCGCAGGCAGGAGTTATGCAATGTAAGGGCTCCGGTCGAAATTCCCTCTGCATGTACTAAAGGATGATTTATATGGCTATAATTTTCGTAGACTCGGGGCCTACGTGGACGATTACACGGTTTGTCGCTGTCTGCCTAGCCCTTGGGTATGGTATATTGCAGATCGCTGACTCTATCAAATAACGTGACATAGAGAATGGGCGCACCCGAATTAGAGTTAAAACCACAGGCTTTAGACAGTCCTACATTGCAAATTCGACGTTCTAAGTGTGTCCTTTCATACATGATGACCTTATATAAATGTTTTTCAGCGCATGGTCCGCGAAATTTACTTTCCAAATCAAGCCATCGTACTTCAGGGTGAAGCTGCGGACAAGTTTTACATTGTGAAGTCTGGGACAGTTTCCACAGAGATTTATGTTGGATGCGGTGAGAATGCACTTTGACTATTTGAGCATGGAGAGCTCGTAATATTAGTGACCTTTGGGGTGTGGCAGGCAGCTACGAATGCATGACGTGGAACATATTCTATGGTGCCTCAGGCAAAATGCAGAAGATTTCTGAGATGACATCGGGATCGTTTTTTGGAGAAATGTCCATTATAAAGCATGAACCCAGGACAGCATACATCGTTGCCATGACACCCGTATACGTATGAGATATACTTAAGAATCAGTACACATGACTAAAAATGCACGGCATCCACGGCAACTTAATTCGTCAGTTGTCACTTAAATACATGGTAATGATGTTTTTAATCTGTGGCGTAATATTCCTAGCCTAGTGCGATGCAGCAGTGCATATGGATCATGCGTTTTATAAGATCCTCCCGCCCATGTTGCCTGCCAAGGAGGTATTTGTCATGATAGCCAATTCTTGGGCCAGTGTATGTGTTTACGATATGTTACTTCTCCAGGTATACGCTCTTAAAGCCTCAGACTTTCAGGAACTACTGGGTGACACACATGAAGCATTTCTGGAGCATGCACAGAGGATGTATAGCCAGAAGACAGCCAAACCGATAGCTATGGAGGAGGAAGCTGCCCATTTAGTGAGCATAGCAGACTGTAGCTTATACAGTTAACACTATTGTTTTGAGTATCAAAGGACAACACTGAGGCATTTTATTCTCTATCTGATGCAGTGTGTCACTTCGTATGAACTGCGTACCATGATCGGCAGTGCATGCATGCATGAATTTGTGGGTTCCTACTTGCAGAGTGAAGCAGAGTTGCCCCCTGTGCTAAACCTTCTCTCTGGTGTTCCTGTTATCAAGCTGCTAAATCTCGAGGAATTGAACGAGCTGGCACGTGCTTTCCAGGTGAGTTACCGTTGCAGTGCCAAAACAAATGGAGCCACTCGTTCAGAGTGCATGTTGAACCAACACCCGCTCTCGGGGATAGCTGACTGTGTACATTATTGTGTCCTACTTAAGCCTCACGCCAAAAAGTGAGCAAATGGATCCCGTGTGGGGGATGCATGCATTGTAGGGCAACGCTGCTTGCGAATTTCGCGTGGGAAGAGTGCTAATGTCGTTGGCGCACCTTGTACCTCACAGGTGATGAATGTGCGGGAGCGTGAAGTTATCATGCATGAAGGCGACCCAGCAGACAAGTTTTGCATTGTTATTGAAGGCATGGTATCTATCCAAAAGTCACTTGAGCCTGGCAAACCCCGACAAGAGGTTGCAGTGGTTAATGCCGGAGAATATCTAGGGGAAATCGGTTTCCTAAACAATCAGCCGCGAACAGCGAGCTGTGTTGCAAAAACAAAGGTCAAGGTGGGTTGCTCCAACGTAATTAAAGTAAATATGATCAATTATCATAGCTTTGTTGAGTCCAAGCAATGACATAGGCTTGAATTCGCTACTCTTACGCCCCCTGCGGGACAATGTGTATCTTCAGTTGCTTTATCTAGGTCGTGCTGAGTTCGATCAGCACCTAGGTCGCTTGGCTGAGGCATTCCTACAACAGGCAGAAAGCACATATTCTACTCAGCAGGCAGATATTCCGGATTGGCTGCGTGACGCAAAGGAAAAGGGGGCCTTTTATGATCCCAACGCAGCCACCGACAGCACAGAAGACCTAGAGGAACCCATCCGCAAATTCAGCCTAACAGAAGCATCAGACGAAGCAGAAGCTAATGTGTATAAGAAGAAAAAGGAAAGAAAGACATCAGCGGAGGGCGGGGCTGCAGTCGTGGGAGCGGCAGTTTCTGTCGAGAGCAGTGAAGATGAAGCCAAGAAGAAAAAGAAAAGTAAAAAGTCAGGAGAAAAGGATAAGCCAAAGGACAAGAAAAAATCAAGTAGTAAAACTGAAGATTCTGCATCAACTTTCACATCAGGGGACCTTGATCGGCTGAGGGACCTCCTTGCTGGCACTTTTAAAAACAAATATGGATCGCTAGCGCATGCATTTGAAGAAATGGATGTCAACAAAAGCAGCATCGTGGATGCAGATGTAACTTGAATGGCCTAATTTCCCTGAAAAAACCAGAGGATTGGCCTCCATAGCGACAGGTTGTGTCTTTCGAATGCATCACTTTCCATAATTTGTGGTTCTAAAGTTGTGCCCGTGCATGCGTCAAGTGTGAGTACTGACCAACATTTCGTGATCTGCTATTTCACATGAATGTACAGGAATTCTACGCATTCATCAAAAAGAGCAACGTTCGAGGTTTCCGCAAGGCAGAATTGGACGCTCTATTCGATGAACTTTGTCGTCCAATTAAAGGCCGCCTTGTAGTAGGAAATCTATACCGGAATGCCAGGGGAGTTGAACCCACGGGGGCAGAAATTCATCTTCGAGCCATCGAGATCTATGGATCAGTGCTAGCGGCATTTAAGAAGACTGCAGGCATGGATTCGACGGATCTGTGCACGCGGGATAACTTCACAAGGTACACGATGGCACATCACTACTAAGCGCTCCAAGGTTTCGCTACATAATAACAGTTTTGTAGGCCCGACCTCAAGTGCGCTTCGATGGATCAGGGATTAAGGTTATCAACTAGCGCTAAGACCATGGGCTGCACGCAATACTGGAGAAAGCTACAGCATGTCAGTACCAGCACTAGTGATTTTTGCTTTTCGTATTCGCAGCCTAGCTGAAAAAGTTGGAGTGGATAACGACAAGGCACAGCGAATCTGGGAGGAGTATATTGACGGGTTAGCTAATGCGCCGGGAGCGGCTGTGCTTGGGTAGCGCTCCGAGGGCCTTAATTTGACTAAACTGCACAATAGCCTCATTTGCGTGTTCTGCTGGCATGCAGGCATACAGCGCAGACAACTTCTCATGGATTTTTTTTGCACTTAGATATGGTTTTGCTGTTGTCTTGACCTCAGTGTGAAATCTACCGACGACTGCGTCACACTGTCTACGCTCATCGGTTTGATGTCTGGTACGAACTATGCACACGCTGTGGTAGAGCACTACAAAACAATATCATTCATTTTAATAGTTGGAGGTGTGATTGCCACTGCTCTATCTTACATTTTGGATTTACTTTCGCTTGGCGTGCCTGGCCGAGCGAAGCACCGAATGCAGCGCTGTGGCGAACTCTGATGGATGCCTTTACTCAATCAACAGCATTAAAATTCAACGGAGGTGCGGTTTCTCTATGAAGCTCGCGACTGCTTCGCAAAATGTTTAAGCAATCGGTCACAGCGGGGGACTCACCGAATGGCGGAACGCGTTCGTCCTGCAATGCGTTGACTATTTCGCAGCTATGACTGCTGAGTCCTTGGAATGAGTATAATTTAATCATTGCATTGAATTTAAAACCAATTGCTTTCGGAAAGTTATACTTATAAGGCATCAAGTTGGACAAGGGCAGAGCTGTTCGAGATGCGTCGAGTGGTTCACTGCTATTGGCAATGCATGGCACTGCATGCATTCACTTCAATGTTCTGAGTCCCAGAAAAGGAGATTTATGCAGAAAATGCGGGGACGGATTAATGAAATGCGGATCTTTCGGCGGCGAGCTGACTACCGAGTAATTGTCTCAAGGAAGGATTCCTCGCTGTTTCGCCGCTGAGATGGGTAGTTGATGCTCGAATTCGTGGTCAACATCGTTATCTATGCTGGCTCATGTATAATTGAGATCAAAGTGAACAGATCCCAGTTTATTGTGCCCGCAGGCAGCTTAGTTGCTCATTCCGCCACCAGATCCTCGCCATTTAGCAGTTTCAGTGGTCAGTACAGACAGGATCTGTAAGGCTGCGGAAGGCATTCGAGCCAATGGAAAACAGTCGCTGGGGAACAGGGCTGTAGCTATCCACTGGTAGGAACTCGTAAAACACTGCGAGTCGGCACTATTACAGCTGAAAATCGGGAGCCTACAGGGGGGCAGAACTGACAAGGAATCTTTCCGCTGCTGTAAGAACGTGCAGCAGTGCCAGTGGACTCCTTGGAAACCAGAAGCATAATGAGGAGGTGCCTTTCCGGAGCTTTTAGATGCTGAACTATTCTCCTGCTGGAAGACGTCCTGGACGCCTACCTGCGTGAATGTGGGGGATGTACGGCAGGCATAGCAGCATTCAGTTGCACGTGAGTTATGTAAATGCTTGCAGTTTCACGGTCATATCCAGTATGCGGTGAGTCAAGCCATCGATGCAGAAATTGAGGAAAAGGCGGCATCCGCTAATGTATGGCTGGAGCCAGGGAGAGATGGGTGTGCAGACGATCGAAAATCCCGTTTGGCTACATGATGTTGTTCTCACTTCCCGACGTAATTCTGCTACAAAAGTACGAGACATGGGATGGCTTTACTGATGGAGAGACGGCGTCGGCTGTGGCGGAGAATACTGCCATATTCCCAACTCACAAAAACGTGGACAGCTGCAAGGACCGGTGTCATTCTGTGCGGCTAGGGTTGCATGAACAAAGTCGTGGGGGCGTTCGTTGTGGCCTTCAGCACGCTTCGAACAGCGTGGGTAAAATGGCGGCTGGAAGCCGTTCTTGCGGGACAAGTCATGGTGGCTCTCATTCAAGGAAGCAGATGCAAAAAGGTTCAGCAAAAACACCTGTGGCGTGTTTTACGGCTTTCCACGTACCTACTGCTGTAAGCGGATCCGACTCAAATGAAAATCAAGGTCAAGCGACGTCAGTAATCATGCCAAGTCATGCGTTTCCGAGCGAACAGTCCCCTAGAGAAGCACAAGTAGCCAGTGGCGAGAGCTTAAACGCTGGAACAGCACTCGCAGCAGCCAATACCTGTGAACACGGACCCAGTGAAATGAAAAGTGCATTGAACCAGGTCAACAAAGAGGTATTCCAAGCCCAGCCGCTTCCTGGATATACATCGCACTACCCTGCTGACTCTGCAGAACTACTAGGACTGTCCGCAATAGTTTCAACCGTTGGATCGTGGGTAGCTGCCGCTTTCCAGCAACATGAGAGTGACGATGAAGATGACACTGATACAGAAGATCACCAACTTGACAATTATGGATATGAATCGCGCGCAGTCATATTTGATGGGCAAAAGGGGACAGAAAAGGCACCAGATGTGGTGATCACCGATACCGCAGCTTGCCAATCTGCGGCAACAGCAGGAAGTTCGGCATCCAGTATTGCAGTGGGAGAGTCAATGGCGCTGCTGGTAACCTTGGAACCCAGATACGGAGGTGAAGAGCCCTTTGAAAAGCTTACCAGCCAAAAATCGCAGCCAGATATTATGTTGCATTTGTGTGGCCAGCCAGCACCTATTCTCTGGACCCCTGATGATTCTGCCCCTCTGGAGAGCAACGAGGTATTGAATTCAAGTGACCTTGGAGATGATGCTAAAAGTTTTGATGCACATTTTCTGCATGTGCAGACTTCAAGCCCATCTGCCAGGGGTGGTGTTCTGAATCCCCCTGTTCCGCAAACGTCACTTCACCAGCTGGCAGACGACATTGAGATGTGGCTTCTGAATACCGCGACACGGGAGCAGGGGAATGTAGCAGAGGAATCTGCCTGTTCCAGCGAATCTTCTGACGAGGCAACAGGCGAGCAGCTGCTTGACATTGCAACCGTTTCGGCCTATCTTGTGGGAAAGACGGAAGATGAAGACATGAGAAGGGACTCCGATGACGGATTGGCTGGCTTGCATGAAGCCTTAGCTATGCTCCGACCGCTGGAAATTAGCAGTGCTACTCCGTCAGACTTATCGGCTGCTTCACCCCTCAATTTTAGTACCTCATATCCTATTGGAGGGGCAGCCATTACAAACCAAGGTGGGGCCTCGCAGGATGGGTCGCCACTATTTGCTGCCGGGGGCAGTGTGTCTGCGTTGAAGTCTACTTTTCTACATGCAGAGGCAGTGCATTTTACAGACACTTTATCCCATAAACTTGCAAGAGGAAGGCTCCTAGAAGATTTCCCGGAGAAACCACAGGCACAATATTTATCGACCGCAAAGGAGAAGAGGGAAAATGGAGCCGCGAAAACGACTGGCTCACCAAAGCTCAATGCCAAGTCTGACACAGGATTGGAGTTTGTAGAGTTTCCTCAAAAAAATACCGTCTCAAGGCATGTGGAAAGTGCAGGGACCTCACAACAGGCATCAGCAGGAAAAGATATATTCACTTCTGGAGAACCCAGTGCAAATCTAGTTATGCCTAACCTAGTGTTGGAGAAAGATTATAGCAGTGAGGTTTTGCCTCTGTAGTGTTCGGACATTATGGATCGGCCCTAGTACCACGAGTGGGGTTTGCGATAGGACTCATACCATTCCCAATCGCCAACACGAGCAGTGAAGTGGCTTCTTTTTTACGAATTGGTTGTTCCTATGCTATTTCTGAGGAATATTGGACGTCTTGGGCTACTACCAGACTATGGAACACTGAGTGTATGTGCATAACATGTGTGCACTGAGACCGTACACTGGCGTAAACACTTATTGTACTTTGCTGCGGTTTCTGTGCAGGTGAGCTGACGCCCGAAGAAGCTGCGGCAAAAGAGTCAGAGGCTCGTTCGTTGGGTAACCGCATTTGGGCTTTCTTTGGAGGAGGCGCTGGAGTTGAAGCAGCAGCATCTGGGAGTGACGCTCCCACCGAGGGCGAAGCAGTCGAGGAGACGATTCCATTCGAAGATCCTGCAGTAGTCCAAAGGGACGATCATCGAGCTTTTCCCAATGAGACGCAACTTCTTCTTGAAAGCATAAAGAAGGAGCCTCCATTGGAAGTTCTTAGCCCACAGCAGCAAAAATATGTGGCAACTCTCATGCGGCGAGAAGTTGTGCCCGCAAATACTTCTGTAGCAGAGGAGGGAGGGGATCCCGCACTCATGTGGTGTAGCTCAGGCGAATTCGATGTTACTCAAGCAGTTCGTCATCCTATTGGCATTTAAGCTCCAAACCTTGAGGCTGGGCCTTAATATTGCCAACCCTCTCCTGCATATCCAGAGCCTTGAAGTTTAACTCCTAAAGGGACCTTTCTTGAGGGGGGGAGGGGAGAAGCAGTTTAAATACCTCTTTGTGGTGCAGGCGTATCTTTTTCCTCCTGCGGTTATGGTCTGGCTACAGGGATTTTTTGGAGTATATGTTATACGAACTCTGAAACCAGGAGACTTTTTTGGCCTGGAGGAGCTGGTATCAGGAGAAAAGCTGAAATGCACTTTGAAATGTCGGCAGAGTACAAGCGAATGTGCGCTATGGGTTTTAGACAGAGAGATGTTCCTCGACTCTGTAAAGGATATGCTGACGAGGCGTCAGGCCTTTGTAACCGTGGCTCAAGCATTCCTTCATAAGGTTCCTCTTGTGCGAGATCTACCGGAGGAGCAAATTGCTGCTGTAGCAAAAGCGTGCAAAGTGGAGCGATTTTCAGAAGGCCAAACTGTCTTCAAGATGGGTTTCCATGGCGATATGCTTTGCTTTATATACAAGGGCGAAGCTATCACCCAAAAGCCGCAAGATGATGGTGGAATCCTCGAACTGGCGAGACAGGGCAGAGGCGAATACTTCGGAGAAATGGCACTTATCAGAAACACAAGGCGCACTGCGTCAGTGGTCGCAGGGACGGAGTTGCTTTTGTTTTGCCTGGATAAGGAATCATTCGAAAATCTTCTTGCCCCCGTGAAAGAAAAAATGGTGAGCCGTCATTCCATTGTACCAAGCAATGGGGGAATGTGCATCGTTGGTCACTTTCCTCGGGATGTGTACCTGTGCATTGGTTTCATACTTTGTTCATATAATTATCTAGAACGTTCGAGGCCTTACTACCTTACGGTTTTTCATACTCATACTGCTAACGCTATTGCTTTATTCGGTGATGCTCGCCAAGTATTCCGCGTTTGTAGAAAGCACGCATGTTGTCTGCTGGCCTCTTGTATCCTCTAGATTGTGCCGCCCGTATGTGCAGCTCTATTGAATGGAAATTAATATGCTTCACAGCCTCCATAATCAAACTGTGCTTTTCAGGCAGCAAAGGCGGCCTCTTCATACAAACGCCAAGATGAGGCTCCACCGACTGAGGCCGAATCAAAGCCTTCGGACGTAGCTACCACCGGTCCGGTTCCTGGATCCCGAGACGCCGGTGAAGCCTGTGTGAAGAAACGAACGCGCAAGAGCTCTCTTGCCTTATTGAATTACTCGAAGATTAGAGATCAAGAAAAACAGGCGGAAGAAGGACCAGGCGAAAACGCTGAAGATAAACCTGCAGCGCGTTGGCGATTGGCGGAGGAGCCTGGTTCCACTCATGAGCCGCCACCTCTGTCCGCTCCTGGAGGCCGAAGCTGTATTAAGCGGAGCAGCTCTCGGGATGGAGTTCGCACGCGGAAGTCGTCCGTGAGGTTTGACGAGGATTCGCTCTTACCTTCAGATACTTCATCCGACGAAGGCTGACGGGGCTTTTCATGTTCCTTTCGCCTTGCATTTTTGGATAGATTCTGAGTTGACCACTTTTTTCAACTAATATATTTATACTCTTTACTTCAGTTGAAGGTATACTAGATCGTTATCCCCAAAGGAGTCGGTACGGCACCAGACAGCACACGGTAGTCCTGCAGTCACATACTGTCCTGATCTCCAGTTCTGTTGATGGTATTTCAGATAGAACGCTAATGCGGCATAAGGCTACCGAGTGCTACTTAATAGTTCATGTCTATCAACTAGCAAGGGATTAGGATTTGTTTACGTACGTGCCTGGCAGAAGGTTAAGATGCGCAGAACCAACGGCACAGATATGGACAGCACCCTTAGCTAGTGGCTCCCTTACAGATGCGCCGTCTAGAGCTTGCCTTCCGTGAAGTGTTGGAGAATTCAGGTCAGTAGCTAAGCAGTAGATTGTCTTAAAATGCATGTGGAAGTTGCCGTATAGTACATGAGAGGAGAGGCAAGCAGTTGGGTGTGATTCCTGGATAGGAAACAGCATTGTAGGCCAAAGCGCGAGTCCACAGGCAGATTGGATCTGCACTGGGTTGTAAAACGTAAAAAGTATAAAAAACTGCGGCATAACAATGGCATTGATCAGTATCTCAGAGTCCAACACAGAGCACAAGGATAAATGCAAGAGAATCAACCAAGTACTCCCAGGGCGGTTCACAGCTACCCTATTGCTTCGAGTGTGAGGAATTGAAGCATATTATTCGAAAGACTAATCGCTTTTCAGAACCAAGGAATACTTGCAATAGGACTTGGCACAGAGCACGGAGACCCTTAGAAGGACAAATCAGGAGCACTGGGGATAGGGCAGGGCATCTCATGCATCCCTAACGCCATAGAGGAGGATTTGAATGAAGCTGTCGAAGCTGCACATCAGCCAGCACTCTTTTCGGTGACTTCTTACTTTGCAGTAAACTCACAAGTCATTGTCTGTGCTTTGCAACAGCTATTAAGTATATCCTCTCCCCGTAAAGGCAACGAATGTAGCATGTCAACTACCATAAACGTAGTTGTCTGGATTCGGTCTGGATCATGATTTTAATAAAGGAGTACTAAGAAGAAATTACTCTCGAAACGCATACTAGCCTGGCCTCTGACTTTAAAAAGAAGCTTATTTACACCAACCCACTCAAAGGAATAACATGGAGCAGCTCCTATTGTAGACCGACGAACACGCATAGTGGGGCCCCGAAGAATTACGGGAAATGGCTGCTGAAGCGAGAATGCAGCTCTGAATGTTATGAGCAGTGAGGGTAACAAAAGCGGTGAGCAGCACTGAGTCAACGCCTCGGCAAAGCGAGAGTCAACTGCATACAAATACCTTCCATCGGCTGTCCACAAAGGCACAAAACATGAAAGATATCTCCTACTACTGCGCTCTAGAAAGGATTTTGGCACCGAAAAGACGACTTAGACCAGTACAGAGTTTTTTCAACCTCCTCAATCAGCTGTTAACCCAGTTCTTGTGTGGTTTTGTGGAATTATGCTAGCAGACACTATAGGCATGAGCCCCCAAAGATAGCAGACTCTTAAAAGTGCTTATGGTACAACTAAATAAAAGGTCTGAAGCCTGTGTGTGTTTTACAAAGGGTCACGACAATACGCAGGCCAGCACAAGCGATGCAGTCCCCTTTTCGCATAGCCCGTCCCAGTAAACAAAATCATACAAAAATTTATCGGATAACTCGAAATAAATAAGCAACATTGTGTACCTTACTCTAGGTGACAGACAGTACGGATATACAAGCTTTTTAATACTTGTACTGCCAAGACAATGGCCATTTATCAGGAGCTAGAACAGCCCGAACTACGAAGAGTATGCAGGATCTGAGTTCGCAAGATCAGTCATGAGTGCAAGGGTATGTAAATTAAGACAGTGTTCGTATATGTGTAGGCAACGCCTACTTCATGCTCGCGTCAAGTAAGATCACTATCGCCTACTTGGCCTGTCGATTTTATGGAGGAGGAAAACAGCGCAAGATCAGTTCCAAACAATGCATACGGTGCATACGCCAAAGTCACTGACCTGTACATAAATAGTGTGCAGTCTTTTTGTAGTAAGCAGAAATGACTGATCGTTATACATGTTTCTACTCGCAGAAAGGCCCCTTTCAAGGGAAGGCAGGGTGGCAGCTTGTATATATTCGGGCTCATGTGAACCATAACATGTGAAGCAACTTTCATAATCCTCTAAAACATGCTGACGCGGTGATAGACGCTTTTATTAGAATGGCACAGCCGTCACTCAAGCTTGCATTCACGACATAAATGCTGCTCGATACTGCCTTTTGGGGGTAATGTGTCAACATGGAGGATCTGTCTATCTACGCTCAGATGAGTGGGCAAGCGTTACTAAGTGTGCATTTTACAGAGAAAACAACTTGGCAGCATAAAAGCTTCATATCCAATCGTAATGAGGTTCGTCTCACAATGGGGTCTGAATAAGTAGACTTGCAACCTAAAGGCAGTTCATGGACTAGGAAAGGCACCCTTGTAACTCTCAAACTCGCTGTTCCGGTTGCCGTGAGGCCAGACGGCCCTGACTTAGGAAGAAGGAGGTAGCAGAGGCAGAGCTACCTGTAGTAGCAGAACAACGTAGGCAGCCACATGAATCGGCAAGATAATGCATTACTATTCGCTGTTGATACCTGTGGCAATTCGTTTGGCATTTTCCGAAGAGCTTTAGTCTATCCAAGAAATCTAGGAGTACCAAGCAGTACAAAATCATCCACAGTACTAACTCAACAGCTTCTCACCCTTTGACGCCATACGAGTAGCGGTTATCCAAGGGTCTCCATATGGCTACCCCTACCGCAAATACTACCACAAGCTGAAAGAAATTCCCTATTTCGTTGTTTAGGAGAGCTGGGCGACTCTCCTTGTCCAAGCCTGCATGCTTTTCAAAATTATGACGAGGCAGTGAATAATTCCAGGAGCTGCACTCTAATCGTTTGGGCGTCGAAGCATTGTTGAGCATAGTAACCTGACGCAAAAGCAAAAGGCATACCTAAATTAGTGCGGGGATCTAGAATCTCACCTCAGTAGGTCACAACGAGAAGAGCATAGTGGCAAATCAGTAAAAGAAGCAACCATTATCCAACTGAAGTAAATACAAAAATCAAGTGTAAACTATTCTGGTAATACCAGTTGTAGAGTGGCTTAGCATGCCATTGTCCTGTAGCGATTAGTCTGGCCAAAATGGAAATTGAATACCTCCTTAGCAGATTAGCATAGTCTTTAATGACCCTTTACATAGAGTAATTAGTTACTTGGAGCAAAACAACGCTTATAAATACAGTGATCACAGCCAAGAATCGTGAGAAAATGAAGTATTGCTGCTGGCGTCGTCGATTTCTAAAATGTTGTACTTTCTTGTCAGCTTAACATGCCAAGTAGAAATTTTTACTTGGGCTCTGCAGACAGTCAGCATTTCTGCAGCCCAGAGTAACAAAAGACTCAGAGATCCCGAATGTCGGAACCCCCACAAACACCACACCACCGTGGGCCGCCGACCACCGCCAGTTCTGCATGCAAAGTGTCTCTGCTTCAGGAAAATATTCAACAGTTTAATACTCCCACTGTTTCATTTACACTGTCTGCATTAGTTAGAGGCGCAGACAAGGGGGCATATTTGCTTAATGGGCTTGGAGTTCGTGCACTGCGTGCGAGTGCTGAGGCCATGCCTGCTCATCAGGACCACTGTTCCGCTTAAAAAGAAACGTGGCTCGGTATTAATTTGAAGCACTGCTATTTAGCATGTCATTATTTCTGTCTGGCTGTCGCACAGGGCGAGCCTACTCATCTGCACATCTTCTCAGTGTCAGACACCCAATCCCTTGGGCGTACTGGTGGGTGCGGCCGACGGTTTAAAGTCGAAATGCCCCCCCTTCAGAGACTGTCATTTTGGCTTCGTGGCATATCAGTCAGGCTGCTTCATTTCTATTGAAGCCACTGAATGCCTCCGCCATGTCTGTTCTCCCTTGTTAAATCACTTTTGAGCTGTGCCTCCTGGCAACTCCATCCAGGGCACAGAGTGCTCCTTTAGGACGTGAGTTTATGCTGACGACGCCATTGCCAGCCGTCTCCCCATCATTCTGATCATGAGGCCTCTCCGAATTTCCCCACTGATGCGTCGGGCATCCCTCCAAATCTTTACCACTAATGGGCGTCTTTCAGATGAACCTCCTAAGGGGCCGACACGGCGCAGCAGCGGCGGCTCATCTGCGCAGAATGAGCACTCAGAGGGCGATTCAATTGACCCCTCTGAGCCTCAGGAGCCGACGAACCTCTGCGAATCCAAAGGAATAACTTATGCGGGAAAACGAAACCTCACAGACACGGAACCACTAGCACTGGTTTCCACACCCACTCGTGGCAGCTCCAAGGCAAAGGAAAGCGGAATTACAGCATCTAACAGTGGTACAGCGGCCGACGCAGATCAGATTCATGAGAAGCTCCAAAAAATGTGGGATGACGGAGAACTATCACCCCGCGCCCCTCTTGATCGGTCACTAGGTTATTTCTCCTCCTCCTCTCCAAACACCAATGGAAGAGCCTCTGGTTCTTCAGGATCCTTCATTGCTGCATCAGGAAGCTCTCACGTTCACAAATCGCAGGGGCATCAGCACGTTGCGGGAGCACCGCTGTTTATCAATGATGTTCGAGCCTTGCGGCAGATGGCTCCGTTCAGTTCCACAGAGGAACAAGTTCTCACAAGGTCCCAGCGAAGGAGGAGCAGTGCAAGCCTTTTACAACAGCTCGTCGCATCTCAAATCCATGATGTTTGTCGCCAGAACACAGCGGCTCGCTCGCAGACTCAGGAAGACGCCCAGACAAAAGCGCAGCTCCACGATGCCCTCCTGCCGGAGCTGCAACAACCGCATCACCACCACGTTCCAGCTGACGGTGAACAGGCGCAGGATCCATGCAAGATGGTTGCACAGCCTGTGGCCTTGCCTATGTGTTTGTCTTGTGAGACGGATTCCTCCTGCCCCGAGGGAGTCGTCTCGCGGGGTTTGGGAGCTCGCAAACGCCGTGCCAGCAGCCCTACAGCCTCGAAATATTCATTTTCGCTGCATGCTTCAGGAGGCCAAGAGGGTTGTGATCCGTCGGAGGATGGACAACCCCGCCATAAGGGTCGCAGGTACCTTTCTCCCACTGCTGCAACGCCCCACACTGCTGCTCCCCCGCTGCTGACTTCGACTCCCGCCCGCGTATCCCACCGACGCATATCGGTGGGCACGGCCGAGCCGACGAGTAGCAGCAAGAGCGCTAGCACCGGTGGCATGCTGGATACCACCATGTACTGCAGCATCAGCATTAGCAGCAGCAGCAGCAGCAAGATTGATTCGCCATTTCAAAAGCATCCTCCGCCCTCCCCCTCAGACTTTCCCGTGTCGTCTCCTATCAGCACCAGTTCGTCTTCGGCGCAACACCGCAATCTTGCGACAGCTCGTCAGCTCCGGCAGCCCCTCCAGCAAGGCCAGAGCACTTTGAGTGCGACGCTTTGCAGGCGCTCTGCTTGTGACCCCGCAGGTGTCCAGCAGCAGATGCTGAAAAGCCCTCAACGGCTATCCCCCCGTCGCACGCGTGGCGGAGGAGTGGCCTCCTCGTGCCATCCTTTCGAGACTCCGCGGGAGCCCCTTTGCGCGTATGAGTCTAAAAGAGGCGCTAATTGCGACTCTCTCCAGCAGAGAGGCGTAAGACAGTGCCCTTCGTCGCCTGCGGCTGCTCCACGGGGTGGCGCACCGAGCAGCAACCTTACCGCGGATAAGGGCTGCAAGCAGCGGGTTCATAAGACCGCTGGCGAAGGGGCCACGCAGACTTTGGCAACAGAGCTGCAAGCGACGGTTGCTTCGGCTCCTGCGAAGCCAAAACTTCAGGCAGGGGCGTCTGGGGGTTCGCGTCGTCGTGCCTCGGCAGTCCAAGCGTTTTTGAGGCTAAACGGTTCGAGTGGCAGTCGCCTTCCTTCTCCTGCTGTAGAAGCTCGGAGCAACCGAGAAGCGGAAGCGCCAAGCGGAATCACAGACATGCCAGCACTGCGCAGAGCCTCCTCCCCCATGACTTCCAGAGTATCGAAGTTTCCATGGAGGGGCCCAGCGCATTTAGGTGTTCGCCCTTCAACGAACGTGGCTCCCGCTGAAGCACAGCAGTTCAAGAGGCGATTTCCTCCCTCCGCGCTTTTAACAAAGCAGGCGTCTAAGAGAGCGGGAGAGAAGGCTGCGGAAGCTAGGGATGGTGATGCCTCGCGCGTCCGATCCGGGGCACAGGAGGAATCTCCAAAAGCGGCAACCTCTTCTGTTGCCGGTAGACGCACAGCATCGAAGACGCGGCGCAGCTCAGCTCTTCCGACAGCTGCTGCCAGTCGAAATACGTCAAAGATCCCGATATCTGTTTCTGCCGGTTCCTCCTCGTGCTTCTCGTCGGGATCGTCTCACGCGTCCGCAGGGGCAGCGCCTGCGCCAACTGCCGGTGGCTGCTCCACGAGTCTTGCGAGGCTGCCGAAACTCCCCAGACGCAAGCTGGCTCCATGTCGCTTCGCCGTTTCAACCCCGGCGAGATCTGTAGCCGGACAGGAACCCTCCAGTTCAGGAGGAGCTCGAGGAGACGCCTCTGCTCAGCTATGTGGGGCTGGAGGCAATGCAGCAAACAAGGGGGAGCAAAAATTGGCAGCCACACCACGTGAGTCTCTGTCCGGGAAAGCCACGCCCGTTGGAGGTGCAGGGAGGCGCTTAGGTATCGCAGCGATGCGTCGTTTGCCAACCGGAAAATCAGGAGCTACCTGCACAACTATCACGCTACAGCGCCCTGCGGCACGCAACAAGGTGCGAGTGTTGCCGATTACGAAGCCTTTAAGGCTCATCTCGACCGCAAGCAAGCAGCGATGTCAGAGCAGCATCCGAGGCACCAGTGCAGTAGCTTCTTCGGGAATGGTTTGTGAGGGTCAAAAGCTGCTTGCAGAAGCATCAGGAGCAGATTCTCGTGAAACATGTACAGTAGGGGTGGGGCTCGCGCGGCAGCGTTGCTTACCAGTGCGCTGCAATTCCACGAGGCGCGTGCAAGGAACCAAACAAGCCGCTGTGCCTACGGCAGATATGGCTGCTGCATCCCCGAAGGGTAGAGCAACGAGTGCACTCCTTACGGGAAGAGCTAATAGGGATGCATGTACAGAATCCAGAAGCACGCTGAAGCGTTTAGACAACCAAAAGATGCCCTCTGGTGCCAGTACACCCTCGGCAAGCTCACAAGAGATTTGCCTCGACGTCAGCAATGCAGAAAGCAGCGCTTGCTGCGACGACAGCCCTGACAGCAACGCTTTAATGGGGAGTTCTTTCATCCCCAGTAGTGCAGAGTCCGGTAGTATAGGCTCCGGTGTCTCGGAGTCTGCTTCGGGCGCGATAGCGGCACAAAGGGCATGTAGCAACAGTGTGTCGCTTCCCCCAAGCAAGCGACGCAGCAGTTCCCCCCACAATTTGGCATTACAAAAGGGGGCGAGTGAAGAGGCCGAAGAGGTTCAACGTCAAAGGGACGTCTTTCCGCCTGTTCGTCGAGCCTCGAGCGTTTGTAGCCTCGAGGATTGTGAGAGGCGCGTATCGGCGCAGCAGCAGAAGCACGAGGCCCTCCACCAGGAATGGGAAGACCGTGAGCGGCAGTACCAGGAGAAACAACAGAGCTTGCTCCTCGAGCAACAGCGAAAAGAGAAATTGCATGCATGGGAGCAACGAGAAGCCGAGCTTTTGAAAAACAGAAAGGCCCTTTCCAAAGAAGAACCTTCATTCTGGGGATTCGATCCATGTGAGCTGCGAGAGAGGGAGTATATATATTGCGTTTGGTGGACAGAATGAAAGTATCCTCGCTGCATTTCTAAATATGCATGTACCATGTTGTCCATGTGCCTGTGTGCGCCATCTTCTTCCTCTGACGCTACCAGTAGGTGCGAGCTATCTTTCTGCATGATCTCTTTGTAACTAGCGTACCAGTGCAAGATCAGGGCTGTACACCTCTCCCCCCTTTTGACTCTTGCGGATTTCGTGCCGGCACTGCGAAACTTGTAATGCGTGCTGGCTGTCTGTGCAACAGCTATGATGAATTTGCTACTGTGCCTTCTTCTTTTTGTCTATTTACAGTCATGGTGGATGAAGAGGACGAACGCGTCCTTACCACAGAAGAGCTGCGAGTAGAAGTATCCCGCTTCCTGAAAGGAGTGCGTTTTCTTGCCCCGTCGAAAAAGATCAGTAGCCAGAGAACACTAGGGTCTCCTTATTCGCTTGCCGCGTGCCAATCAGCATGAAGCAGCCAGTGTGGAATGTGAACAGGATTTGCGCTTTCACTCACGAGCAGATCTTCTCCGCGTCGTCAAGAAGTACAGTGAGCAGACTCGGACCACCACTACAACCAGTAAGTCAAGCTGCGCTGCACCGGAGTTTGCAGAGCAAGCGTGTCCTCAAATGTTTGGCGCAAGGAAAGTCGAATATTAAAAAGGTTGTTTCCCAAGAAGCCTCTAGATTTCTATGGAGCCTCCGTCTATGCGCACTCTCCCTTTTGCAGCAAGCTCGCGCCTAAACTTCACCAAGGTGGAGCAGCGTGTCGTACCCATGGCGGCTCGCCAAGTGCACGGTAAGCGCTATCTCGCTCGAAAGGAGGCGCTCTGTTTACACACTGCTGGCTGGCGAGTCCCACATACGCCAACACCACTCCCGAAAGCTCTCAAGAACTATCAGGTGTTGTGCGATAATTATCCATAGGAACAGAGGCACCCACAGAGTGGTTGCTGCCAAATATGCCTCGTTGTAATCTTGTGTCCAGACTTAGATAAATACGTGCGCGCATGTATGAGAGTACATCCTACGGTTGCCTACGTATGTGCTTGGCACTTTCGCTATAGGCACAGTGCCTCATGAGAGACGCCGAAAGTCCATACTGCGCAACAGCAATGGTGCACAACCACCCTCTGAGTGTAGAAGGCGAAGCAGGGGAATCAGCTTTTCCCCCTTCAACAAAGTGGGTCCTGACAACACACTATCAAACCATTTTTTCCTGAACGGCGGAACCGCGATGCAGCCTAATTTGCGTGTGGGTGGGCATTCCTTTGCTGCCGGCTCATCCTCTTAGCGAAGCCATGTACGGTGTCAAGTTGTGCTGGCCCTTGGCCAATGCACAAGCAGATTCGCACCAGATGCCTTGAGGGTTTGTCCGTGCAGGTCCAACTCTACATGCTGGATGAGCACGAGCGCGCAAGCAAAGAAGCGGCTGCAAATTTGTCTCAACAGGGAGAACAGCGGCAACAATTACGCCAGAAGCTTGCGCAGCAGTTTCAATTCATGCTGTTGCGAGGAGACTCGGACTTGGAGCTGGCCCTGATCCGCCGCGAACTGGCAAACCTGTACGATCCTGAAGAGGAGTGAGTGATCGAGGCTGGGCAGCACCTTTTAGGTTTTTTAGGATTAGTAAATGTCTGCTGCTACCAAAAAACGCACAGTCAGCCTTAGTGTGCATAAGAATTATGGATCCCAGGCCAATATACTCGTACGCGGCGAATTGCCAGCCCAAGTGCAGCTGCCCCCAGTGCAGTTCGTGCCCCTTTGTACTTCAGGGATAGCCTTGCCTTCTTGTCCCCCACTGCGCCTCCCCGCCATGATCCAGTAGCGGACAGAGGAGCTTCTTCTGTTTCCTCTGAGCAAAAAAGTTCCGAGAGCGTCAAACCAAACGACGCAGAGCCAACAGGATCTCCGATTTCAAGGGGTTGTGGCACAGGTGGACGGCTTCCTTTTACAGTTTCACCTTCATGGCGGCAGCGACCCCACGGCATATGGCAAGAGTCCCCCTGTGTCACACAGAACGAACCTGCAGCCTCTGAGTGGAGTCCACCTCCCAGCCCTCTGGGGCAGATTCGTCAAAATATACCAAGAGAAAGGGAAGCCCTTGCGTGCTGGGGAACCCCCATAGCCACCGCAGGAGATTTCTTAGAGGGTGAACCGAACAAGATCGACACTAATAACGATGAGAACAGCAACTGTAACGCGCCATTTCACGCCCCTCAGGTATCGTGGGACAAGTTACAAAAGGCAGCCGAAGAACCCACCAAACTTCAGGGATCAGAAGCGTCCAGGCGGCCGTCTGTTCTAAGTCGGCGCCTCTCTGTTGTCCCCAATGTACCCCCCCACTAAATCTATCTTGTTATTCTGGCACCCCTCTAGTTCCCATAGCAAAGCTCTGCATATTCCGGAAACTTAATCATTTTTTTACTTTAAGCCCTTTTAAGCACTAGGTGTATACTGGCCCTACTGACACGCTGCGTTATTGGACTGAGAACGTCTACCATACAGACTCAGAGATGTCTGCTTCTAGAAGCATGTTGTTGACACAGACTGGCATTCGTTATGTCGTCTTAAACGCAAATGAGTGCGAGTTTCATGCCCTAGTGCGCCTTTATCACGGCAGCTGTGCATACAGCACTTGGCTAGCTTATCAATAAAGCGAAGCAGTAAGCATTACGGGCAAGTGTGGAAGTGGTATCACACTTCCGGAGTATGCGGCGCCAACGTGGCTCCGTGGCCATGTGTTCACCTGCACCATCGGCAGTTTGACCTTGCTACGGAGCAAAAGGGTGTGTTCCTAACGGAACAGGTTCAACAATATAGGGCTTCCATTCCATCCATCCCTGAATGCAATCATTAACCAGCTCGGGAGCCAACAAGAGGTCCACTGCACGGTGCTGTGCTAACCACCATATCAGCGTGAATCGCTGTGATGTCTCACGGGCCTGCTTGTTGAGGTTCTCGTACGCAGGCGAGGGCGCAGGTGGGCATGGAACGCAAAACTCCCCCGGGAGGCTTCTAGATGTTCTTTGTGCTTCGTTTGCAGACGACAGCCTCCTGCAATACCTCCCCATAGGGCAGTGCGAACCGTTGGTACCGCCTGCAAGTGCTTCAACGCGTTGCTCCATTAGCAGTGTTGCCCAACTCTGAGAGTTCTCAGAATCAGGCTTTACTGCACGCTTCAAAGCTCGGTCGACACAGGTGCAACAGGCTTGCGCACAGTTACTTATTGGTGACCGCCTTGGATCCTCCGATTTAAACCAGTTGTTGGCAGCGTTCAGAGCACCACAAGTGCAGCGTGGGACGAGCCAATCAAGGATATCTGCCTTTTTGCTCCACAACGCACGTCGTGCTGAAAACGCTGAAGTCATAAGCTGCGGAGATGCTGAAACTTCGTTAGTCCGACCTGTGCCCCCAAGGCCGGAATGTCGTCTACCTTCTCTCTGCTCATTCTGCTCCAACCCCTTGTATCCTAAAGCCGGTGTTCGTGATGCGGATGACTGAGATTGAGCGCGAGCCTCTACGCCCTTGATAGTGGCGAATGCGTGACCCTGAAATTTCCATGTCTGTGGTTGCAAACCGCATCCCAAAGCATGCAGCTGTGGGCTGTGGCGCAATACATTATCACTCTGATCATACCCAGACGCACTAAAATGGTCGCTTGCCAATGCTTCTGAAAGATTGGCACCCGGACGCCCACGTTCCGTTCTCCAGGATGCACCATCCACGGATTCATCAGCAACAACCCACTTGCTTTCCATGGATTTAGTGGACGTATCGCCCGCTGGGGCTACAGCGGGAGTGCTTTCTTTGGGTACCTGTCGCTTCATAAGAGCTGCAAGGAATGGGTCTTTGGGCTTCCACGTGTCACGTGAGACCGCCCTGTTGAGCTGCGGCAGCGGTTCCTCCTTCGGTAGGCCACTTCGTACCAAGTGTTCGCCGTTCGAGAGCAGTGCCTCCAAAGAAGCAGGTTGCTCTGCCGCAGGCCGCTCTAAAAGCGCTGCTTCATAACACCGAGGCAAGCTCGTCGAATGCTGCTCGTCATTCAGAACGGAGGGTGACTTTGGTCTACCAAATGACGATGCCCCAAAAGAACAAGAGCTATGCGCTGTACGAGGAGGCATACAATATATCTCTTGTGCTGGAAAACCCACAGGGTCCTTCTTCCTCAGAAAACCACCGTCCGCAGTAGGACGAACCATTCGGTTTTCCAGGCCCTTAATTGGAAACCGTGCACCGCTATACATGCGATTGAATGCCGAACGCCCCCTCTGAATGGCTGGATCACAGCGGTGCGGATGACAGGCTACATCAGAATCTTCATGGGTAACTCTCGGCCGTATCGACGGAACGGATAAATGGGTATGCTGTAATCCATGCCGTAGTGTCTTCATGGTATGTTCGCTGTCGGTTGACCTTCCAAGCTTCGTGGATATGTACCTACCTCCCACGTCTAAGGATTCAAAATGCCCGCTGAAAGGTGTTTCATCAACACGCAACGGTGAGGCAGGTAAAAGAAGCCTTTCTGCTGACCCATCAGAGCCCCGCACTGTACGCTTTGGTGGTGGCTGAGCAGATTGTTGCCAGAAATAAATACGCTGAGTTGAGTAAAAAAGGGAAGCATAAGTTAGAAAGAAGGCCGGCAGTATTATTTCTCCCCGGCGCGCCCGCACATGAGTCGCCAAGTACTCTCGCACAAAGGCAGAGAGCTGCACATCGATGTCCCTGAAGTGGTCAAAGAAAACAGGGAGAAACCTGCAAAAATCTTGTTAGCAAACTTTGCTCGCTTCCAGTCTTTCTTTTCCAGTGCAAAGATACGTAACAGGCAAAAGACTCCTTCCTTCATCGCCCGACGACACCATGCCCCAACATCCAGTGGTAGAAATTCATTCTAAACAACTAAGGGGGCAGCTATCTGCGCCGATATTGAGCCCTCTGACCATCATGTCTGTGCCTTACGCGTCAAAGGCAAGCAATGGAAAGAATCCGCAGCAGCCGCCCAGCATGAAGCATAGGGCACGAGGGTCTCCAATCTGTATCAAACCAGCCATACACAGTAGAAAGCTAAGCATGGTCAGCCGCAGTACACTTGACACGCAACAGCTAATTGCTTTACCTGTGGTCTAGAGCTGCAGCCGTTTAGCTATAGCAAGCTTTAAATTCCCAAGAGGTTTAAAGTATCCTTACACGCCAACCAAAGGCTTCTGTTGGGCTGCTTGTACTTAGATACTTAGAAAGGATCGAAGCTGACAATGGCTTCCCATATAAGACAGCCTGGCACATAAACCTGCGACAACCAGGAACACAAGCCAAGCAACTCTACATACTACCCTCAAACTCCATAGACTGTTTTGTCACTGCATGACATTGCCTTCACAAGTCACGGAATCCTTTACCAAGGTGACATCTGGCAGCACGCATTCTCTGGCGTTCCTTCGAGGGGTCGCTTTGGCCTCAAGAACCATAAGCAAGCTCCGGTGGCAAACAAGACAGACAAACTCAGGGCACTGGATAGAACATGCGCTGGTGAAGCACCATGTCCCGCTAGAATGGCAAGCAAAACTCCTAAGAATACATATCGCAACACGCAGAACAGCAAGCCAGGATAACGAATATCGGTCATCTGGTTATTTCTTCTTACAGCCGCAAAAGCCCACAATTCATACGACATCTGGAGGCACATACCCAATAGTGTGGCAGCCCCGGTGTACGCTACCACTTGGCAACCGCTGAGTTTCGTGAGCATCGAATAGCGGCTTCGCAAGGACCCTGTATCATACAGAGGATCACCAACCCTGTTCACGCCTTGATCACCACCCATTATGAAGCTACGTCGCTGAACAAGCTGCGCCATGTTCATGGCGAAGGCCAAACGCGCGTATACAGGAATATTTGTTAGACGAGATGTTTCCAAAGCTGCCATCGATGATATGTGTCGGTTGATTCTGGAGCAGGAAGCAAAAGTGCAACTGCAAAGCCCGTATTGATTGTACCCCGCAAGCGACCTATTGCACTGCCAAAGAAGGCTGTAGGAACTGCAAGCTTAGTGAAAATCGCAATCTAGGACACCTGTCGACTGTACGTAAATACAAAAGCTGAAGAAGCCACATTAAGGGAGAGCTACACTTACTCGCAGAAACTCTCTGACTTCTGGAGGGCCAGTACATCGTTGTTTACAAGCTCCGGTGGGAACTCGAATGCTGTGCAGCTGCATAACGAGCAGCAGCTAAGCGGAGTGCTTCTAGCCGATTCAGTGCCCAACATATTGCAGTAAGCACGGAGGAGCGCTATAGATATCTGCCACAGCAAAAAACGAAAAAACGTCCTTTCCTTCGGTGCGGGAAGAATACTTACGGTTGACGAACGCTAGCACACAAGGAATTCTGCTGCTTGTGCCAGTCCCTCACCCACACCGCAAAATTAAAAGCCCAAGAACTCGCAATCTAATAACAGACGCCTGCGGAGGCGAGCGTACCGCTAGCATATGCTGCAGGCTTGGATAAATTGCATGATGAGAAGGCATACGTTAGTATGGTGAAGGCTCGACAGAGTATGCTGGCAGAGAGCACATAAGAGATCAGCTTACGAATAGTGGATCGTCATCCAGCTGGATAACGAGATGAAGTCGGATATTCGTTTTTGAAAGGCCTCTTCTCTTGGACAGTTTGCATTCGCTAACACCGCTAGGCTCCTCGTTCCCCCACAGGCCGAAACATGCAGCCTGTGCGATGGAATCCGCATACGATAGCTGCCTACCAGGCAGGTATCCGTGGCATGTGCTTTTACACTTGAATCGATTGTCTCGAATGTGGGGGGTAGCGCGAACTAGTGACAATGGGGACCTGGTAATAAACCCGATAGAGGGTGGGCAGTAAAGCCGCCCGAGAAGCCAATCTTGAATGTTCTGAAACCATACGGCTAACTCCCATAGTCCCGGAGAGATGAGGGGTTCTGTGGTGAATACAACATCGTAGAATTGGCTGTCAACCATATCTGCACAGCCAAAAAAAGCCAGACCGCAAGAAGTTTTCCTCTCCCAATGAGCTTAGTTCACAAAACCAAAACCTTTACGTACGATCAATGACCAGCGATTGGTTCAGGTTTTATGACTCACTCTGCAGGAGCAAGATAGCTCTTTCTTTGCTAACTTGGAGAAAGCCTTGAAGCCAGTCAAGTGCTACAGAAGCTAGATGTAGACCGCCTGACTCTCTTTGGCCAAAACATCTTCCACGTCCCACTTCAAAGGTTACCGTCCACAGCAGAGCTGACGCGATTAGGGAAGCAAATAAGAATTCACCAGTTGACAGCGCGTGCTCGTTCGAGATGTCCCTGTACATAACTACAAGCAT